GTCGACGGCGTCGAGGGCGTCGCGTCGACCGCGCGCGGTGGAACCGAGCGCGGCGGACTGTGCGGCGAGGACGCGCGCGAGGGCGCGGATTGGTGAGACCGTCATCGAGCGTCACCGCGGACGCGGGCGAGAGAACAGGCGCTCGTGCCACAGGGCGAAGCAAAAGAGGTAATGTCCGGTGGAACGGTCGCGAGCCATGATTTGTGCGGGCTCACCGTCGGTGTGCTCGGCGACGTCGATGACGCGCGAGCGGCCGAGGATGCCGGGGACGTCGACGACGTACCGATCCGGCTTGAAGAAGTGTTGGTAAAAGTCAAACGTGTAGACGTGCTCGGGACGGAATTCGTGGCGCGAGGCGTGCTTGGGGTTCGATAGAAGACGACGGCGCTTCTTGCAGGAGACGTGGCGCCGGCGAGCGAAGGCGCCGCCGAAACGGTGTGTGTTCTCGACAAAGTCGGCGCTCGCGATGTCCGGCTCGCCCCCGGGATCGTCGACGGAAATCGTTTGGGCGCTTCCGGCTAAAGAGGACCACAGTTGCGGATGATTCGCAAATATATTCGCCGTGAGACTCGGATTCATCACGCGCACGACTCTGAGCATGGCTTTGATGAGGAACTTTCCCGGAATACCAACCAGCGGTTTGCGGAATTCGTGACCCGTGAAGACTCGGTCGACGCGTACGGATTGTTTAAATCTTCCTTGGACCACGTACTGAAACGTACGTTTCTTCCCGCGAAAATATGCATCGAGCCATCGCATCGTTCTCCCCGTCGCACTCGGCGGAGGGTCGCAATCTCGAAATCGGCACAGACACTTACCTTTGAACACTGGCGTCTCAAATTGAAACGGGACGTCGTCGTTGTACGTCATCTCTCCCTTCGTGATTTCGCATCTCGCGTACGACGGCGTGGTCATGTGGATCGGTCGCTGAGACCACGTACTCACGGGTGACGGCGGGGAGGGCGGCGGCGGGGTCGGACACGCTCGATTCGCGTACGTTTCCACACCGCGCGCGAGGTCGACGATCATTAATCGCGCCGGAGCGCTCTCGCGCGCGTGAGCCCGAGTCCGTCCGTTCGAGTGCGACGCGTCCCCGCTCACGCGTGTCCACGCCGTGACGTGCGCGCCATCCACGGTGCCGCGCCCACCGAGACTGTCTCCGTTGTAAATACCGCTCTTCATGCCGGCGTCGACGGCGTCGCGCGAGGCGCGTCGTCGTCTCGCGGCGCACGACGCCAACCATCCGAGCGCGAACGAGAGCGCGAGCGCTGAGAGGGCGAAGAGAGGGCATGGAACGCCAACGTGGATCGCGCGAGCGCGCTCGAGCGCCGCGATCGCCCTCGTGCGCACCGCGCGCGATGCACGCGGATGGCTATTTTGGTCGATGCGAGAGACTGCGCAGTGACGGTTCACATCCTCCATGCGCCGCGCGCCCGTGCGGACGAAGGACCGCGTCGACGATGACGAAACGCGCGCGATGAAGCGCGACGGGACGCGCGCGATGCACGCGCGTCGCACTTTGGGACGTAGGCCTTGTTACTCGGAAATGGAAAAAATAGATGAAAATGGCGCGCTCGCGCGCGCGAATCGGCGCGCGAGCGTACTTCTGTCTACGCGTACGTCTAGCTATGGACGCCGTCGTGTCACCGCGACATCAGATGAAGTAATCGGTGATATACGACGTTTGATCCATCGAAAGCGACGGCTGGGATTGCTGCGGCGAGCTGCGATTGATAACCTTGGCCGGGATGCCGACGGCGGTGGAGCCGTCGGGAATGTTGTCCAAGACGACGGAACCGGCGCCAATTTTACTGTCGCTTCCGACATGTATGGGACCCAGAATGGTGACGTTAGCCCCGATGACGACGCCGTCGCCGATCTTCGGGTGACGATCGCCTTTGTTCGTCCCCGTACCGCCGAGGGTGACGCCGTGCAGAATCGAGACGTTTTCGCCCACGACGGCTGTCTCGCCGATGACGACGCCCGTGGCGTGATCCATCATCATTCCCTTGCCCAGCACCGCCCCTGGGTGGATGTCGACGTGGAACACCTCGGATATGCGATTCTGCAACAGAAAACTGAGCGCCTTGCGATCCTCTAGCCACAGCGAGTGCGCGACGCGCTGCGCCTGAATCGCTTGGAACCCCTTGAAGAAGAGCACGACGCACAGGTACCGGTCGCACGCGGGATCGCGCTCGAACACCGCCTGCATGTCCGCAAGGCACATCTTTCCGAGCTCGGGATACTTTTTGTACTGCGAACTGAAGAGCTCGAGCAATTGCGAATCGAGCAAGACGTTGTTCCGCAGCTTGTTCGCCAACACGAAAGCCAACACGTCCTCGATGCTCCTGTGCGCGAGCACGGTGGAGTACAGGTAACTCGCCAGCGCCGGTTCACCATCGATGTCGCTCTTCGCCTCCTCGCGCAGACGCATCCAGATTCCATCTCCGAGCAAACAGCTCTCCCCTCGCGCGCTCGCGTCGTCCCCGCTCCGCGTCCGCTCCGCGTCCGCCCTCCCGTCCTCGTCCCCCGCCGGTGATCCCGTCCACTTCACCGCGTACTCTCGCTCTTTCTTCGCCTTCGCCGCGTCGTCGAGCTCGCGTCCATCGCTCACGGCGCGCGCGCCGGTCGTTCGCGCGCGCGTCCACGCCGCCGCGCCCTCGCGCGGAATCCATCCTCGTCGCCCCCCCACCGCCTCGCGCGCGCTCGTCCTCGCTCCCGCCCGGGCGCATCGCGCGGAGAACATTTTACCCGTTCCACGTTCGCGACGTCGCGTCCGCGGGCGCGTCGCGCGATGTCGACACCGCGCCGATGCGCGCTCGTCGCGTCCAGCGCGTCCGCGTCGACGTCGATCGCGACCGCACACCCGCGCGCGTGACGATGCGCGCGTCCACGCGCGTCCCGAGCGCGGTGATTCGAAATACCGTGCGCGCGCTCGCGGTCGCGGCGCTCGTCGTGCTCGCGCGCGCGCTCGTCGCGGACGACGGCGCGTTGTGGAGAATTCGCGACGATGGACGTGGGCGACGACGACGCGACGACGACGCGCGGGCGATCGACGCGATGGCGCGCGTGCTCTGCGCGTGGGCGCTGACGTATTACGGGTTCTTGTTCAATCAATCGTGCGTCGCGCTGGAGGCGCACGCGGAGATGACGCGGGAGGCGCGGGCGAAGGGGACGGAGGCGCCAAAGTTGTTGGCTGTGAAGTACGGGCGCGTGTCGTGCGCGCGGGTGCTCGTGAGCGCGCGCACGGTGGGGAACTTCATCGAGCAGTCGTTGGCGCTGATGCCGGGATTGTTCGCGCACTTTTACGTCTTCGGAGGACTGCGAGCGATCCGAGCGGCGTGGCTGTGGCTCGTCGTGCGGTGGTTGTATCCGGTGGCGTACTCGTACGGTTTGCCCTGGGTCTTCTTCGTCACCGTCCCGAATTACGCGTGTGTGTTCGGAATGTACATCGAATTGGCGCGCCACGCGAAACTTTTGTAACGTCTATGGGTTGTGAGAGAGAAATCGTTCGTCGTGTCATCACATCGCGCGTCCGTCTACGCGTCGTTGGTCGATTCATCTAAACTTGATGGAAACCATCGGGATGTCCACGTCCTCGCCGTCGTCGTCCTCGCACGCGATGACGATATCGAAGTGTCGTCGCTTGGCCGGAATCTCCATCTTTGCGATCGTTTGCACGAGCTCGCTCAATTTTTGATTCAAGCGCTCGCGGTGCTTGGGGAAAATGTTGTTATAAACCAAGCTCGCGCCGACGGACATGGAGTAAGCAATCAGACCTTTCGCCTCGAAGTGATCGATCACTTCTTGCACGGTGAGATCGCCCTCGAGTATCCACCGATCCCACATGCTCCAGGATAAATCTTTGAACTTGTCGTGCTTCGCCGCGATGGGCTCCGCCATGGCGAAGAGCGGCAGAGCGAGGTTGGCAAACGTGTTGCGGTACGCCTCAATCTTTGCGCCGTTGAGCACCTTGTACAGCTCGAGGCACACCAAACCGGTCGCCATCGCGGTCGTCGTGGCGATGGCCGGAATGATTCGACCGGCGATAAATTTAGCCTTGAGCTTGTCCACCTCTCCGATTTCGTAGTTGCGAGCGCGCATGTTGGACAAACCGGCAATGGCGTCCATGTGGAAGTTCGTGTCGTCATCCTTTTCAAACTCGATGACATTCAATCGGTAATCCGCCCCCATGCTTGCGCGCTTTGCGTCGAGCTGCGCCAACAAGTCTTTGATGATGGCTTCGTCATCGAGGCCCTCTGGAATGTTTGACGCGGTGGAGTTCGCCTTGGGATCGGTTTCAATCTTCACACCCTTCTTGGGCTCAAACTCGGCAACTTGAACCTTCTCGACCAATCGAACGAGAGCGGCGTCGTCGTTCATTCCCGCCGCCGGTCGGGCGATGCCGCACACCTCAGCCTTGAGGTTTGCGAGCGCGCGAATGAGCGTCATGTGCGCGACGTCTGAAGAAGAGAACACGACGGCGCGCGGGAAACGCTTTGGAGCGCTCCAGAACGGCGAACCAGAAGAGGTGACCGCATCTTCCGGAAACGTGTACGTGAGCTGCTTGATTTTGTCGTGGAACTGATCTTGGAACTGTGTGCGCGCCCAAGCGACGCAATCGTCGTACGAAACGCAGTGACTCTTCAGCAACATGAGCGCCACCTTTTCGACGTTTTCGCGCGCGGACGCATCCGGATTCGCCAACGCGCCAGCCGCGTACTCCTCCGGCTTGGACAGGTAGGAATTTGCCTCGGCGGGAGATTTTTCGAACGCACCCTCGAATTCACTTCGCGCCCAGGTCAAGCAGTGGTCGATGTTGTGCGGGAACGAGTGCAGCGTGCACATCGGCGCGCTCTTCTCCGGCGGATCTCGAGACGCACCGTAGTTCTCCGTCATGTTCGGAATGACCATTTGCGTGTTGCACTTCGTGCCGAGCGTCCCGCTTTCGAGCAAAGGCTTTTGAAAGTATACGCAACGACTGTCCACGTACAGACGCGCGTTGACGTTGTCGAGAGCGTTGACGACGATGTCCAAGCCTTGCCAGAATTCGTCGTCGAACACGTCCTCCGTGTCCGGGCTCACGCGGTTCTCGAGCGCCTTGACATTCAAGCCGGAGTTGATAACCTTGGCCGCGTTGGACGCGCACACGCTCTTCCCTTGACCGATGTTCCAATCGCGGAACAAAAATTGTCGCGATAGGTTTGACTTTTCAATCACGTCGTCATCCGTCACCGTGATTTGCCCGTCCGAGCCGCACGACAACCCCATGCACGCAAAGTTCTTCAAGAACTCGCATCCGAGCGCACCGGCGCCGACGAGGAAAATCTTCTGGCTCATGAGTTTATCTTGCATCTTTCTCCCGAAGCACATCACTTGGCCGTCGTAGCGGTCGCCTCTCGGGGTGAGATCCTCCTCCGTCAACTCCTCCGGCAAGCTCTCGATTGAGTCGAAATAAAACCACTGGAAGAGCGGGTGGAACTTACCCGTGCACGCCTTGACGACCTCTTGACCGACGATGCCGCCGAACATGGCGGCCATGGGCGAGACGTACCCGCGACACGTCTTGGCGAAAGTCTTCAACAAATCCTTGTCCACCTCGTCCACCGCTTTTCGTCTACCGTTGAGCGCCTCAGCCTCGGCGACGAATTTCTCCGCGTCGGCTTCCGAGCCCGGAATTGGCTCGGCGCCGTGCTTGGCGACGTACGCGTCGAGCGCACCGAACGCCAAGTGAAGCTGCGGAGAGCGCTCCATCTTGGCGAAATCACTCAACAAAAAGTCACCCGGCGACTCCAACGCTTCGGCGTAGGATGAAAACTTGAGCGTCTTCGTCTCCTTGACTTGCGTCGCGATGCCGCCGCCGACGTACTGCGAGAACGAAGTCGTGTCGAGGTCGAGCTTGAACGAATGCTTCTTCACGTCCTTCACCACGCACGTCACGCCGTTGAGTTCGGTCATTCCTCGAACTTCGCTAAACGTGATCCTCTGACCGTCTTGAAACTCCACGCGCTCGTCTTCGATGCACGTCACGAGGGCTGGGAAATCGTTGGACACGCTCGCGACGATGGACGTGAGCGCCTCCTCGCCGTCGACGTCGACGACGTCGAACGCGTCGCCGAAATCGCAGAAAACGCTTCCAAACACCCCTCGAACGTCCGCCTTGATGAACGCCGCGCCGGTGGCTCGGCACAGCTCGTTCAACGTCTTGCACGTCTCCTCCGTTTGCTCGCACGCCACCACCGCGCGGTACCCCGCGACGGTGTCTCGGTCCAGCACGTTCCCAGTCTCCACGCGCACCTCCACCGCGGGATTCAGCTCTTGTAACTTACCCGCGCACGCCTCCGCGCGCGCGAGACCGCGCTTCACCGCGTCGTCATCGATGTAAAACTGCGCCGCGAGATCCGCGTCTCGGCTTTCTTCGCGCGCCGCGACGCCCACCCCCCGAACGCCCGCCAGGACCACGTTCTTCGCGATCTCCACCCCTAACCCGCGCGCGCCGACGATCAACACCCGCGCCCCCGCGAGCTTTCGAAACGTCTCTCGTCCGTACACCGCGAGCTGTCTCGAGTGTAAATCTTCATCGATCTCCATCGGTCCCGTCGTCATCGCCGCCGTCTCGCGTTCCCGTTCGACGCGCGCGCGCTTCGTCTCCTCGCTCCGATCGCTCGTCGCGAGTCTCTCGTTCATCAACGATCGGACGCGCGATCGAGAGAGCCGTCGTCGACGCGGCGCCCTGTGTCGTCCACCGCGCGATCGCCCGTCGCTCGCAGCGTCCCCGTCGCTCGCGCCGCGATCGCTCGCACCGCGCTCGCGGCGAAGCGCCCACCGCACAGCGCGCACGCGCACGTCCACGAGAGCGTCCACTCGCGATCGAGCGCGCGTCCGCGAGCGACACCGCGGACGTCACCGCCGTGTCGCGACGTCGCGCACGAGACGTGGGCGAATGCATTCGCGCACGCGCACCCGAGCTCGAGGAGAACGTCCGCGTCCGCGTCGCTCGACGCGCCGGTCGATCGTCCGCACACGCGACACGCGCGCGGGCGCGCGCTCGCGGACGTCGACGACGTCCGTCGCCACAGCGCGCCGAAACCGAACACCTCGACCGCGGTCGATGCGTCTCTTCGCCTCCCGCGCGCCATGAATGCGCGCGCGCGCGTCACCCGCGCGCGCGTCACCCGCGCGCGCGCGCGCGGGAAACGGTGAGAAAAAATTCCCCCGTCGGCGTCTCCGGCGCCGAAGTCCGTCGGCGCGATCGATCGTCGTCGACGGACGACGCGCGCGATGGGATCATTCGCGGCAAACCCCAACGCGCCCGTTCGTCTCCCCGCGCGCGTCGCCCCACCTCCCCGCGCGCGATCGACCATGGCGCCCGGGCGTGGACTGGGGATATCGATCGCGATCCCGATCGACGACGTCGAGTGCGCGAGCGTCGCGCGCGCGATCGCGGGCGCGTCGCTCGAGGTGGAATTCCTCGTCGACGACCCCCGCGCGTCCACCGTGGTGGCGTCGACGAGGCGATTGATGACGCTCGCGCGCGCGGCGAGCGTGCGGTGGAGCGAACTCCGCGGGCGAACGATCGAGGACGTCGCGCTTGAGATTCGAGCGGGAGACGCGCGCTTCGAGCGGTGGACGCGAGACGCCGAGGCGGTGGAACAGGCGTCGACGGCGGAACAGGCGGCGATCGGATTGGCGCTGCGAACGCTCGCGGATGCGATCGCGGGCGCGGTGGGTGATGGAGACGCCGTGCGAACGTTCACGCGAGCGAGGGAGGTGGTGCGGGCGTGGGCGTGGGCGGTGTCGGAGACGGTGCGTGGGAAGGGCGCGACGGAACGCGGCGCGAGACGCGACGACGCGTGCGAAGACATGTTCACGTGGGCGGTCGCGAGAGGAGGGACGTTTAAGTGTGCGCCGTGCGCGTGTGAGGTCGGTTCGAGCGTCATGCGTGAGGTGCGCGCGGTGGAGAGGGTGGAGGCGGGAGAGTGCGTCGCGCGCGTTCCGTGGGACGCGCTACTGGGCGTCGAACAAACGGTGGAGACGTCTTCGCCGTCGCCGACGAGTGAGATTTTGAAACAGCTCACGCGAATGGGTGATCAGATAATCATGGTGATTTGGCTCACCGCGGCGCTCGATGCGTTCGAATGCGGAGACGCGAGCGCGTACGAGGAGTGGGCGCCGGCGCTTCGAGCGCTTCCGACGCGCGCGTCGAGCTCGCTGGCGTGGAACGCCGATGATCTCGGTGCGGTCGCGGGCGAAGACCTGGCGAATCGATTGCGCGAGTATCGACGTAGTGTTAAAGTTCAGTACGACGCGTTGTTTCCCGCGCTGTGCGAGCAGGTTCCGGAGGCTTTTCCCGCGCGCGCGTTTGGAGACTATGCGAAATTTGAGCGCGCGTACGATATTTGGACCTCGTACGCGATGAAGGTGCAGGATCCAGATTCGCTACAGATTCGAGAGGTGATCGTTCCAGGGGTTTTTCTGTGTAATCACTCACTGAGCGCGCACTCCGTGAGGTACACGTCGCTCGAGCGCGGGACGAAAGCGTTTCGTTTGGAGCTCTCGCGCGGATGTGTCGAGGGAGAAGCGATTACAATCTCTTACGGCCGTCTAGATAACGCCGATCTGTTGATGTTCTACGGATTCTCGTTGGAGAACAATCCGTACGATAGAGTGTCCCTGCACTCGATCACCGGTGACGCTAATGAGACGCAACTTGAAGCGCTGAGACACGCGTCGAACGCGTGCGAGCACGATCTCACTCGGCTTCCGGTGTGTTTAGCCCGCGACGGTTCTCTCGATCGAGTTCTCGCTCAAATCAGAATTCTTTACGCCCCGCAGCAGTTCATGCAGTGGTGCGAGTTGGATGAGTATCACCCGTTCGTCGTCGTAGACTTTGAGCTCGAGCACGAAATTCTCCAACGTCTCGTCGAGCGTCTGCGGGCGATGCGCGACGAAATTCACACGTGCGATGATATCAACACACCCGATCTGACGCAAGTGGCGAGTGCGAGCTACTGGTATCGACACGAACAGATGCGGATCATGGAGAGCGCCATCACGCGCATGGAATCCCTACTGCATGAGTACGCGACGCGAGTGCGCAAGAGGAATCGGAATCAACATTAAATCAGACTGAACTGCTGAATGTAACAATCAATGTATGTGTACTATCGGACTAACTCGCCGCCGCTGACGCCGCCGCCTTGACTTTAAACTCCAGGAACGTCTTGCGAAGAATGGCCGCGAAACGGTCGACGTCATCGTGCGTGGTCCCGATCGCCGCCGCCGCGGTGAAGTACGTGTGCGGATACGCCGAGTGCGAGGCGCCAAAGCCTCGAAACTCGACGCCGCCGATGGTTTTAGTCTCCCCAGGCGTGACCACGCGCGTCCCCGAAACGAGTCTCGAGAAGAGCATCGAGCCAAACATCGTGGGTGACACGTTCTGCGCACACGACAGCGTCATGGCCATCGAAATTGGATTCCCCGGCGTCTCGAGCATGCGTTCTCCGACCTCCTCCGCGACTTTACTCAACTCCTCGCGCATGTATTCGTACAACGTCTCGCGCTCGGTGAGTAGTCTGACCCAACCCTTTTCTCCCATCGACAGAAGCGTAATGAATAAATCCAACGACGCGTACGCGGAGGCTCGACCGGGATAATTCGTCGCAACCTCGTCGATGAGCGTCTCGTTTCGCTTTCCGCAACACACCAGCGCGCCGCCGACGGGAACGAGAAAATTCTTATCCGTCGACTGAACCACCGCGTCGACGCGCCCAACCGTCCACGCCTTGTTCACACGCTCGCACAGCGCCCTACTCTGCACACCGTACGCGTTGTTGATGACGTGACCGACGTCGAGTCGCTCGCACATTTTCGCCGTCTTTTCAATCTCGTCGCACGCGCGAGGGGCGAAACAACTCGTGCTCGTCACCACCGCCACCACGCGCTCGCTTCCGAGATTTTCAATCGCTCGTTCGATCGCTTCGACGTCCGTCTCGAGCTGATCGCCGCGCAAAACTGGTTCGATGACGACGATCTCCAACCCCGCGCACGTCACCGCCTTGACGCACGTCTTCTGGTCCAGACGCGACCAAATCACATACCTTCCCTCAACCCCGCGCTGTTTCTTCAGCGACGTCAAGACCAGCGTCAGCGTCATCCCCGTCGCCGTGGGAAGCACCAAAACCCGCTTCCCCACGTCCCGCATCCCCGCTAATTTCAACGCGTCTCGGGCTAAAAATCCGCACAGCGCGTTCGCGAGCGAGCTCCCGCACGCCTTCGGTTGCTCCGCCGCCACATCTCCCGACCGTCCGATCCCGTGCGTCATACCGAAACACCGTCGACGCACCAACGACGAGAACGTCCGTCCCTCTCGCTCGCCCACGCCAACGTTACCGATAAAGTTATTCGAATCCATCGAACTCAATCGATGCAGCATCAATTCAATCACGTCGTCTCCCAGCGGCTCTTTCGGCATCGCCCTCGACGACGACAGGCGTTTAAACACCCCATCGACCGCGTTCGCGTTTTGTTTCGCCCGCGAGACGTATCGCGCGCTCACCACGCGCGAGAGCGCGTCGCACAGGTCGTCATCCATCCACCTCGAATCGTCTCGCGTCACTCTCTGACGCCCATCGTCGCCCGCGCGCGCCCATGGACGACGATGCGACGCCCATCGATCGCGCGCGATCCGTCGACGTGGTCGTGCGCGACGTGCGCGCGGGCGGACGCGCGCGGACGGTGACGATCGAGCGCGGGGTGACGACGGCGACCGAGACCATCGCGCGGGCGCTGGGACGCCGCGCGACGTCCATGGGCGCGCTCGTCCTGCGAGAGCTCTCGGGGACGCGGATGACGTACGCGGGGACGGACGTGGTGGAGACGGCGACGACGACGGGTCGACGGCGGCGGGAATTTGCGATCGCGCCGAGGCGATTGGGATTGTTCGGAGGCGGCGGAGACGGAGGGTCCACGGGCGCGGAGTCGCGGTCGTCGTACCTGGAGATGTACGCGGATCCAGCGCGGCGGCGGAAGGAGAGCCTGGGGGGGTTCGTGCGGTACTCGACGCAGAGCACGGTGATGGATCGAGACGTCGGAGAGGAAGATTTGGCGAGGTGGTTCACGTGCGCGCTGACAGAGGAACCGCTCGAAAGGGGCGAGAACGGGGTCGTGATCGATCGTTTAGGCGCGCTGTACAATAAGGAACCGGTTCTCAAGGCGCTGCGTGACAAGGCGGTCGACGGCGTCGCGCTTCCGAAGCGCGTCGAGCACATCACGGGAATGAAAGCGTTGGTGACGTGTAAGTTTACGAAGCGACCGGGTGAGGGCGCGGCAAAGGCGTCGGTGGTGAACGCGCGAGATTTTCGAAGCGGCGCCATCGACGCTGTCTTCGCGTGTCCCATCACCGGCTTGGACTTTAGCGGGAAGACCAAGTTCTTGGTGATGCGTCCGAGCGGCGTCGTGGTCGCCGATAAAGCGCTTCGCGAGGCAAAAGCGGCGGTAGAAGAGATGAATGATGGATTGAAGCTTGCGGACGCGCCGCCACCGATACCGGTGAATCCGCGCGGGGAGGAGCTCGAGGCGTTGAAGGCGTTATTAGAAGACGAAAAGGCGAATAAGGATAGCAAGAAGAAATCGAAGAAGGACAAGTCGGGGAACGATGACGGTCCCAAGCGTAAGAGTTCGGCTGAAGATGGCGTAACGAAGACGAAAAAGTACAAAGCGATCGCGCCCGCGAATGCCGACGCGTCTGTGTACGCGTCCATCTTTACTTCCTCGTCGAAACCAGAGGAAAACAACGACGATCATTTCCTCGCCCGGAACGCGCGAAAGGCTTGGTAATACGATTTGTAGTGTAGATTTTTAATAACGTTACATGTTTACTCATCGTCGCCCTCGGCATCAACCCCCTTCTTCCGAAATAACATCCGCGACAGAAATCCACGCTTGGGCGCCGCGCTGTCTTCACTCAAACTTTTGCCTTGGGTTTTACGCCGCATCGAAAAGAATCCACTCTTTTCCTTGGACGCCTTGTCTAACAATAGCTTGAGGTACGTCGCCGCAGTCCTCTCGTGCTGTCGACACGCGATGCGCACGTCGTCCGTCGATCTGAGCGTGATGTGGTGCTTGTCCGCGTCCTCAAACTTGATGGAATACGATTCGATGAAGACCTTGCCGACGGCGATGACGAGCTCCTCGAACGAGACATCGGGCTCGATCTCGAGGAAACGAATGTCCTCCTCGAGGAAGAGCTTGACCTGAATCTTCTCGGTGTCGTCCAACTCGGGCGGCTCAAACGTCTTCAATCTGTCAATCTCATCCATCATCTCTTGAATATCCTCGTTGAGACGCTGAATTTCTTCCTCGGCGCGCACGCGAAGCTCCTCCTTGGCGCTCACCGCTTGCTGCAAGCTCTGACGAAGTTTTTGCTCCGCCTCGAGCTGTTTGATGAGATGTTCGCGTTGCTTCCTCTCATTGTCGAAGTCGCTCAAAATGTGCAAGCGCGACTTGCGCTCAGCGTCCAACTGCTTTTGCAGCGCCGTCTTCTCGCGCGTCTCCATGTTGAGCGAATCCTTGGCCATCTTCGACTCCTTTTCAGCAGCCTTAATTCTCTCGTGCGCGGTAAAGTGAATCTTACGCTCGTCTTCGAGTAACGTCCGCGTCTCGGCGTGCGCGCGCCTCTCCTCGGCGAGCTCAGATCGTGTCTCTTCGATTTGTTGCAAACGCTGCTCGAGTTGCGTGAGCAAATCTTGTCGAGAGTGCGTAAACTGCGTTTGCAAGTTCGTCTGAAGTCCGCGAGTTTGCTCGAGCTGGCGCAAAAGCGATCGTCGCTCCTCCTCAGCCTGGACGATTCGCGCCTCTTGCTCCGATCGACTCGCCTCGGATTGACGCAGGAGCTGTTGCAATTCCTCCACGTCGCCTCGCTGGCGAAGAAATTGCTCGTGCACGCCCTCTCGATTGTCCGCCTCGCCCTCGAGCATGTCTCGCAGCTCCATGCGCAAACGTTCGCTCTCATCGAGCTGTTCGCGCAAGTCCTCGCGCTCGCGCTCCTCGGCGTCGAGCAATTCCTGCAGGCTCTGCGTTCGGCGCTCCTCCTCGTCCAAGTCGCGCTCGAGCGCCATCCTCGAACGTCGCTCGAGCTCGAGATCGTGCTCGTAATCGATCTCGACGCCGAACTTGGAGTATCCCTCCACCGGTAAAAGCGTCCACTCGCGCACGCACTCGTCCACCCAGAGGTGGTTGACGACGGCGACGCGTCCTCGCGTGACGGCTTGCACGTACGCCGAAGAGCCGGCGCGATAGCACACCAAGTGCGTCGTCTTCGACGTCATCTCTTCCTCGTGCGTCCCCCCCGCGGCCTCGATGAGTTCGACGAGATCGAGTTTATCTTGTCCCACGTACCCATCGACGACGATTCGCGCGCTCGCGAACCCCTCGACGCCGTTCGCGTTTCGAAGCGGCGCGTACAGCGCCTTCGCCTCGGCGTCCACCACTCTCCCCGTGGACACGCAGTCTTCGACCCAGGCGTAGGAGACGACGATTTTTCCATCCTTGATCCCTCGTTCGTATCCACTCCCTCGCTGAAACGGCGTCACGACGTGCGTGCACGTCTCGTCGTACGTCTCTCGCGTCTCCGCGCCGAGCGCTCGCAATTCCCGTTCAATCTCCCTCGCGTCCTCCCTCGCGTACGCACACACCGCGATCGTCGCGCGTGCAAAGTACGCCCGCACCGCCTCCGCCGCGTCGTCCTTCCCCGGCGACGCCATCGCGTCGCGTCCCGCGATCGCGTCGTCCGTCGTCGTAACACCCGCGGCTCGCTCGCGCGCACGCCCGCGCGCCCCCTCCTCGGTGCCGCCATCGCTCGCCGACGCGTCGCTCGTCGCGAGGTCCGCATCGCGCGCGTCCATGGCGTCGCGCGCGCGTCGTCGTCGACGCCGCGCGCGCCGATTCGTCGACGCGCGTGGAATCGACGTCGGGTCCTGTGCGCACACATTCTCGGGAAGCGCTGGTGACGCACACACTCGGGAAGCGCTGGTGACGCCCTCGCGGCGACGCGACGGACGCGGCGACGGCACGACGGCGCGCATGGCGCGCGCGACAGGGAGGTCGACGACGACCGCGATCTCGGTCACGGTGATCGTCCCCACGTACGAGGAGCGGGAGAACATCGGGGTGTTGTATCGATTGATTCGCGAGAGCGAAGACGCGTTCGCGGACGCGCGCGGGAAGTGGGAGATTGTGATCGTGGACGATAACTCCCCGGATGGCACCGCGGACGTGGTCAGGCGATTGCGAGCGGCGTATGACGATCCGTTGTTGATTCTGAGCGAACGACCGGGGAAGTTGGGGTTGGGGACGGCGTACGCGCACGGATTGAAATTGGCGCGCGGGGAGGAGATCGTCATCATGGACGCCGACCTGAGTCACCATCCGAGGGATATAGGGAAGTTTTTGAAGCTGAGGCGGGAGAGAGACTTGGACGTGGTGTCGGGCACGCGCTATCTTCCGGGTGGGGGGGTACACGGATGGGATTTTCGTAGGAAATTGACGAGCAGAGGCGCCAACTACTTGGCGCGCGTCATGCTCGCGCCTGGCGCGAGCGACCTCACGGGAAGCTTCCGGTGCTACAAAAAGAATGCGCTCGAGACTTTGGTGGCGAGCTCGGGATCTAAGGGATACGTGTTTCAGATGGAGATCATTGTTAGGGCAAAAAAGTCTGGCATGTCCGTCGGAGAGGTTCCCATTACGTTCGTCGACCGCATGTACGGAGAGTCCAAACTGGGCGCGTCTGAAATCGTCGGCTACCTCAAAGGTCTCGTTCGACTCTTTTTCGAGCTGTGAGGAAGAATTAATATAGATTGTAATACTGTTTCGTTGTAGCTCTTTCCTCGGCCTCGATCGCGCCTCGTCGAAGACGCGCAGTGTCCGCGTCCACCGTCGCGATGAAACGCCTCCGAAGAGCCCCCAACACCATCAAACACCGCAGACGTCACCGCGCACGCGCGCGTCGGCGGCGGTCATGACCGTCGACGACGGCGGCGGCTCGGACGAGGAGGACGATGCCGTCGTGGACGCCCGAACCGAGCGTCGCGAGCGCGCGAACCCGCTCGCCGAGCTCCGCGCCTTGAGACGCACGTTCGGTGACTCGTTGCTCAAGTTTATATTTTCAGTGATGTTCGGTCTCAAGGGGGCGCTCATGCAGCTCATAGGGACGTCTGCGCTGCCTTACGCGCAGCAATACTTAAAGTTTACCGCTGTACAGATGCAGCGATACTCCATCGTCGCCATGTTTCCGTGGACGGTGAAACCGGTGATGGGCATGGTGAGCGATTTGTTCCCGATCGGCGGGTATCACAAGCGGTACTACATCGTGGGGGCGTCCGCGATCGGCTTCGCGGCGATTTGTTACTTAGCAGGGACGGAGATGCGACCGGGAATGGGGATATCGTACGTCATAGCCCTGGTCGCGATCAACACCCAGGTAGCGACGGCGGATTTGTTGACGGAGGGAGCGTACACGGAACGCATGCGAGAGAAACCGAAGAGATCGAGCGATATGGTGAGCTTTGTGTGGTTATGCATCACCTTGGGATCAATTTTTAGCACCGCGTGCAGCTTCTTTTCCATCAAGTACAAGGACTATCGCTCGATGATGTTTATTGCGGTGCCACTGAGCGCGCAGGCGCTGTACACCTCTTTCGCCGGGTGGCTGCCCGAGAAGAAGGTAGGATCGAGCGAGGAGAGCGAATCGAAGGACGCCGAGAGTGCGTTAGAGACGGGAAAGAAGGAGTATGGGGAAGCTTTGTGGCGAGAAAACTGGAGAGTGTTCACGCTTTCGATCTTCATGGCACTCATGTGCTTGCTCATCGCCGGCGTGCAATTTTTTGAACTGGAGAACAAATATGTAGATTTGATCATCACAGTCAGCATCACGGTGATACTGAGCATCTGCATTTACGCCGCGTTACCACGACCCGTCGCAAACGTGACGTTCTTTTTGTTTCTTACGAGCGTCACCAGCGTGTCGTTCGGGAGCGCCATGAGTTATTGGTTCACGGTGGGCAACAAGTGCAATCCGGGAGGACCGCAATTTGACTACCTCTTCTTCTCCGTGTATACCGCCATCATCGCGCGCGTGTGTACAGGTATAGGTGTGTACTTGTTCCAGGTGTTCTTCTCGAACGCAAACGTCCGGTTTACGTTCTGGATGTCGGCCATTCTGAGCTCGTTTGCGAGCCTCGGTGACTATGCCATGGTCAAGCGTTGGAACTTAGACTGGGGCATCCCGGACAAGACGTTTTATTTAGTAGGCGACACCATCTTGGAGCCGATGGTTGGGATGATGGCAGCAATGCCGAGCGTGGTGCTGATGTCGAAGATGTGCCCGAAGAATATGGAAGCGACGATGTTTGCCATTTTAGCGAGCTTCAACAACCTCGGGAGCTCGCTATCGTCAGCGCTTGGTGTCTTCGCGATGGACTACATGGGCATCAAGACGGACATCATGAAAGAGGGAATCGAGGGTTCTTGCGATTTCTCGCAACTGCCGAATCTCATCCTGTACTTTGGCATGCTCATGCCGCTCACCGCCATACCACTCACGTTCATCTTCGTCCCGAACATCAACATGCAGGACACCGTGAACCTGGAAACGGGCAGACCCGAGAATGACGAGTCAAACTCCGAGCGTGCGCCCTTGTTAGCGAAGTAGATATCATTCATAGAAATTTTAGTCGACGTTAAACACTCATAGAATCGACGTTTGTCGCCGTTTCGCTCCTGCGCTCGATACTGAGCAACTGAACACCCACTCTTTTTGCCAACCGTCACTGACGCTCGCGCTGCCGTCATGTCGACCGTCGTCCGCTCGGACGACGGCGACTATGGTGGTGGGACGTCACCTCGCGACGGCGACGGTCTTACGGCAAAGCGCGACGAATACGGCTCGCTCTATGGGTTCACTTCGCGACTTCGAAGGGTGTTCGGATTGCAAATCCTACTTTTCCTCGTCTCGTCGAATTTCCTCGTCAAGGGCGCGGCGAGGCACTTGGTGCAGACGACGTTTTTGCCGTACGCGCAGCAGTACTTGAAGTTCACCGCTCAGGCGTTCCAACGGTTCGAAGTTCTGGCAATGTTCCCGTGGATGATCAAACCGCTCGTCGGGCTGGTGACGGACACAACGCCGATATTCAGATATCGAAAGCGGTACTACATAGCCTTCGTCGCCTCTGTTGGGTCGGTGGCGATTTACTTTCTAGCGACCAAAGACTTCCAACCGGAGGATAACATGGAGTACACCGGGTTGGTGATGGCGGTGAACGTTCTGTTTGCGTTTTCGGACACATTGGTCGGGGCGCGGGTGTTCGAGGCAATGTCGCTGAATCAGCACGTTGGGGGTGATTTGATGTCGTGGGATTGGTTCATGGTAACTATTGGGAGCTTGCTAGGGACGCTCTCGGCGTGGACGGGTCTGGAGAAGGGTAACTATAAGATGATATTTTGGCTGGCGCTTCCGTGCGCGGTACAACTCATCTTCGTCAGTGGGTTCGGAATGATGCCGGAAGATCCCGTGAAGGAGGGCTTCAACACGCACGCGCTGGCTCAAAAGCACTGGAATTTGATGGCGGTCACATTCACCGTTACGATCATGTCAATCTGCACCGTTTCGATGCAGCTCGTGGATGATTTTGAGCGCAACTTTGGGCTCACATTTTTATGTTGTACAGCCATAATGCTCATCATCATTAGCTCACTTTGGATTTTCTTGGAGAAACGAGCGGCGTGCTTGCTCATATTTGTCGCCATAGAGCGATTTTTATGCGTGAACGTGAAGCAGGCGAAGGCGTATTGGTACACGACGGACAGCACGTGCGTCCCGAACGGACCACACTTCAGCTACGTCTTCTACAACGTCATCACCTTCTCATTCGCTCTTTTAGCACAAGCGATCGGGATTTGGGTTTTTCAGCAATACTTCAGTCGGTCGAAAATCAGATTAGTCTTCCTCATCAACTCCTTGGCAAAGATTTTTGCCAAGCTGACTGATGTCTGGATCATCTTGCGCCTGAATGTTAAAATGGGAATCGACGACAGAAGCGCCTACGTGCTCGGCGAAAGCGTCATTGAGGGCATCGCCCTCGTGATGACATACATGCCCGCCGCTGCGGTGCTCTCAAAGGTGGTCGATAAGGAAATCGAGTGCACAATGTTCACCCTGCTCGCCGGAATCGTGAACATCGGCCACGCTATTTCCGCGACTGTGGGCGCTAGCGCGATGACGTACGCAGGCATACACACCGACCTGGTGGAGGGTGAATGCAACTTTGACCAGTTGATTCCTCTGTTGGTCGTGTCTGGCGTCGCGTTACCACTCTTCGCCATTCCTCTCATCTACTTGTTCATTCCGGACTGGAACATGCACGATGACTTCAACAAGTCGGAAATTCAGCGCTCCGTCGAGAAGGAGGCGATCGTGGGCGCGGAAGAGTCGAGTGATAAGACCGCGGCGCCGAAGGCTGGTGGTAAATAGCTCACATCATCATTAGTCGATAGCATTTATTAGTTGTGTACAATACTGTAATACGTGACGCTCGCCGCTCAGGCTAACACAGTCTTCAAGTAGTCGGATAAGTCGTCAAACTCCTCCGCACACGCCGAGTGTTGCATCCCCGCGTACGTCTTGAAATCCACGCTCAGGCCGAGTGATTGCAAGTACTCCGCGGATTTCTTCCCGTACTGGTACTGCAACACCATATCGTGCGTGCCGTGCCCTTGCAAAATCTTCGTGTCCTTCGCGTGCGGGCCAAATTTTCCCGGATAGTCCTCGCGAAGGGCGAGATACGTGGACAGCGCGACGCACCCCGCGAGTTTGACCTCCGAACGCAGCGCCGCGGTGAGCGCGATGACACCTCCCTGAGAGAACCCACCGACGACGATCTTTTCACTCGGGATGCCTTTGGCGATTTGCTCTCGCACGAGCGCGTCAACGTACGCCGCGCTCTCCTCGATCATCTTCCGATCGTCCACGATCGACGCCTCGTCCAGGGCGTTGAGATCAAACCACGCCGTCATGCGCATCCCCCCGTTCAGCGTCACCGGCACCGTTCGCGCCGTGGGAAAGATCCACCGAACGCGCGCCGCGCCCCGAGACGGAATCTGCGTCGCCGCGCCCGCCCATCCGTGTCCCGTGTCCCCTAATCCGTGGAGCATTATGAACGCGCTATCCGCCGCGCCGTTCCGCGGTTCGACCACGATCGGCGCCGGGTGCGTGGTCCCACTCATCGACGACGCTCGAGCGCTGACCTCCCGTCGTCGCCGCGCCCCGTACGCAGCCTTTCTCGACGCCCCGCTCGATCGAGCCCCGACGCCGGCGCGTTCGAGCGATCGAGCGATCGATCCCGAGCCCTCTCGCGTCTCCGCCGCGACCGAACGCGCGCACGAGAGCGCGAGCGCGGCGATCGCGACCGCGCGCATGCGTGTGCCGCGCGCGCGGGTCGCGGGCGATGTTCGCGAAACCCTAAACCCTCGCGACATGGATAAAAAACCACCCGCGGCGCGTTCGTCGTAGTGCGCATGCGAAGCCCCGATCGACGACGTGTGACGCATGATGGGTCGTGACTCCGCGCACAGTCCCCCCTCTCGATCGTGGCCCACCCGCGGGCGTCGCGCGACGTCACACGGCGCACGCGCAGACATGTCCGCCGCCTCCGCCCTCGCCGCTCGCGGCGCCGTCGCGCCCACGCGCGTGACGCAAAAGGTACGTTTTTTCACCTCGACCTCGACGCGATCGCGCGCGGTGATGGATCGGACGACCGCGCGCGGGACGGTGGATGCGAAGGCGCGACGTCACCGCCGCGTCGAGCGGGGCGAAGACGGCGCGCGCGCGATCGCGCGCGCGGGTGATGGTCGAGCGGGGGGGGGTGGGACGGAGGGGATTTTTATGCGCGTCTTCGCCGCGGTCGTGATCCCGCGTGGGGTGGTGGCGCGGCCGGAGACGCCGATGGATGCTCGACGCCGCCGCCGGGTCGTCTTATCCGCGCTGCGCCATCGCGCGTGGGCGTTCGCGACGACGCGAGGGCTCGAGGGCGGTGACGAGGGGTAGATGGCGCGGAGGAAAATTACGCGCGATGCCCCGTCGTCGGTCGAGCGCTCTTCGGTTGGAAATCCAAGACGTCGGGCTCGGAGGGTGACCCGAACCGAATCGGAATCGAACACCTCGACGCGGAGACTGACCTGTGTGAACTACTTCGTGTTACTCGACAGACTACTCAAAAGGCGCAACGCGGCTCCCGCGTGATCCGCGCCGCCAAGGGCGATGAAGCGGGCGAACGCGCCGTGCCGCTCGAAAAGTACCGTAACATCGGTATCATGGCCCACATCGACGCCGGTAAGACGACGACGACGGAGCGCATTCTGTACTACACCGGTCGCTCGCACAAGATTGGTGAGGTGCACGAAGGCGCCGCCACGATGGACTGGATGGAACAAGAACAAGAGCGTGGTATCACCATTACCTCCGCCGCCACCACTTGCGCGTGGAAGGACCACCGCATCAACATCATTGATACCCCGGGCCACGTCGACTTCACGCTCGAAGTCGAACGTGCGCTTCGCGTGCTCGACGGTGCCATCTGCCTCTTCGACTCCGTCGCCGGTGTTGAACCGCAATCCGAGACCGTCTGGCGTCAAGCCGACAAGTACCGCGTGCCCCGTCTCTGTTACGTCAACAAGATGGACCGCATGGGCGCCAACTTCTACCGCACCGTCGACATGATTGTCAAGAACCTTGGTGCTCGACCGTGCCCGCTCCAAATCCCGATCGGTGCGGCCGAAGAATTTGAAGGCGTCATCGATCTCATCACCATGAAGGCGCTCGTCTGGAAGGGTGAAGAGCTCGGCGCGAGCTGGGACGTCCTCGACATCCCGGCCGACCTCAAGGACAAGGCTGAGGAAATGCGCGCCAACATGATTGAAATCGTCGTCGAGCAAGACGACGACGTCATGATGAAGTACCTCGAAGGAGAAGAACCGACTGAAGACGAGATTCGCGCCTGCATCCGTAAGGGTACGTGCGCGCTCGCCTTCGTCCCGGTGTTGTGCGGCTCTGCGTTCAAGAACAAGGGTGTCCAACCGATGCTTGACGCCGTTCTCGCGTACTTGCCGGCGCCGACCGACGTCCCGCCTGTCGTCGGCTCTGAAGTCGACGATGCCGAGAAGAAGCTCTCGCGCAAGGCGTCCGATGACGAATCCTTCTCTGCGTTGGCCTTCAAGGTCATGACCGATCCGTTCGTCGGTTCGCTCACCTTCACCCGCGTGTACTCCGGTGTCCTCCAGACCGGCACCTACACGTACAACTCCGTCAAGGGTAAGAAGGAGCGCATCGGCCGTCTCCTCGAAATGCACGCCAACGCTCGTGAAGACGTGAAGGAAGCGCGTACTGGTGACATCGTCGCCGTCGCCGGTCTCAAGGACACGACCACGGGTGATACCCTCTGTGACCAGTCCAACCCCATCATCCTCGAGCGCATGGAGTTCCCGGATCCGGTCATCAAGGTTGCCATCGAGCCGAAGACCAAGGCTGACGTCGAAAAGATGTCCACCGGTCTGATTAAGCTCGCGCAAGAAGATCCGTCCTTCCACTTTACTCGCGATGAAGAAACCAACCAAACCGTCATTGAAGGTATGGGCGAGCTCCACCTGGAAATCATCGTCGACCGCCTCAAGCGCGAATTCAAGGTTGAAGCCAATGTCGGCGCGCCTCAAGTCAACTACCGCGAGTCCATCTCCAAGCCGGCATCTGTCAAGTACACGCACAAGAAGCAATCCGGTGGTTCCGGTCAGTACGCCGAGGTTCAAATTAAGTTTGAACCGCTCGAGCCGGGCTCCGGTTTCGAGTTCACCACCGACCTCAAGGGTGGTTCCGTGCCGAAGGAATACATCCCGGGTGTGTCGAGCGGCCTCGAGCAAATGATGGGCTCGGGTACCATCGCTGGTTTCCCGGTTGTCGACGTTCGTGCCACCTTGTTCGATGGTGCTTACCACGATGTCGATTCTTCCGTCATGGCGTTCGAACTCGCCGCCAAGGGTGCGTTCCGCGAAGGCATCTCCAAGTGTGCGCCCAAGCTCCTCGAGCCGATGATGGAAGTCGATGTCATCACCCCGGAAGAATCCATGGGTGACGTCATTGGTGACTTGAACTCTCGTCGTGGCCAAATTTCCGAGCTCGGCGAGAACCCGGGTGGATTGAAGACGGTCAAGGCGTTTGTTCCGCTTGCGGAAATGTTCAACTACGTCTCCAAGTTGCGCGGTATGACTAAGGGACGTGCTAACTACTCCATGAAGCTTGCTAGATACGAGGCAGTTCCGATGGCGGTTCAGACGGCAATCGCGGCGGAGAGAGGCCAAAAGGTTTCTTCGGACTAAAAGGAAGCTTCTCTGAGTTCTAGCAGACGTCGAGCGACGTGACGTGTAAAAACCACATTCTTCTAATTAATCAGCCCCACATCGCCTGTCACGCTGTAAACGTAGACGCCGAGCGTACGTATGCGTTATTCAATTCGTTATCATTACGACCGAACGACGTGCTATCCACCGACGTTCTATCCACCTAGCAGATTTATCGTCCCGCGACGCCGCCGCCGAGGCCGCCGCCGATGAATCCGGCGGAACCTCCGGCGACGCCGCCGACAAATCCACCTCCAACGCCCCCGGCGACGTTGCCAGTGTTTGTACCCTCGAACGAACCCTGGTCGATCGAGATCTCTTCGCGACCCATGACGTACTCGCCGCTGGAGTATTCTTCTTCGTACGCGGCTTCCTCGTCAAGTGCTTGCGCGCACGCCGAGAGCTGATAGTCGGGATGAAGCCATGGGTTTAGGAACTCGCACACGGGATCGAATACCGCGCTGCCGCTGAGTTCGAAGCCGAAGACGTCGAAAAACGCCGACCCCGTGACATCCATGAGACTTCTTCGTTCGCTCGAACTCGAGCTCAAGCTCGAGCTCGAGCTCGAGCGCGTCTTCGCGCTCGCAATTCGTCCCAGCATCGAAACGACGATGACCAGAGCGAAACTTTGTATCGCAAATAATCTCATTTCTATGAGATACAGAGAAGTCGGAGTGGGAACCAAACGCTCGCGCGCTTCACACTGAGGCGCGAGTTACTATTTCGCGCCTCCGATGACGCTCACTCACCCACCCGCCGCGGCCGCGACCGCTCGTCGCACGCGCACGCTCTCGCACCAAAACCCGAATGTGAACCTTAAAACGACCTGAATCGCATCCTCAATTCCGTCGTCGTCGTCAAAGTCATCGAACCGCTCGATTCGAAACCTCGGAAGCGCTCGGAACGCGCGCCGAACCATCGTCTCCGCGTCTTCGCGCTCCGCAACCACGACATCCTCTACATCGTCATCGAACGCGCCGTTTCGACGTAAGCGCGCGTATACGCTCGCTCGGACGTCATCCGTCGCGCGCACGTCCCGCGCGCGATCCCACGCGTCCATCGCCCGCGCGCTGTTTCTAAACTTTTGTTGTGCGGCGTCCACAAACTACTCTTGTTTCTAATTCACCGCACACGTCGTCGTCGTCGTCGTCGTCTCCGTCGAAGCGCGCGCCGCACGATGCGCGCACCCACGCCCGGGGAAGCCCGCGCCGTGCTCACGGCCGCGATCGGTCTCCTCGCCGCCGCGTCGCGATGTGCGGACGTCGCGACGTCGTCGAGCGACCCTAACGGTTTTTTGCGCTCGCTCTTCACCCTCGACGTCTCCGATGGGTTCTTGATCGCGTGCGCGCTGTTTGCGATCCTCGGGGCGACGCGGAGGTCGTTGGTGGACTCCACGTACGACGCGATCGGACGCACGTGCGCGATTTCAACGCTCATGACGCTCGGGGGGTCGACGACGCGGGCGGGACGAACGCGCGCGCGAGCGCTGAGCGCGAGCGCGTCGGTGGCGTACGCCGACGCGTGGTCGCCCGCGACGCCGAAGAAGGCGTTTATCTCAGCTTTTGGATGGGTTCTGTTGTCGCGTGTGCTCAACGGGGCGTTCGTTCCGGAGGCGATTGCCGTCGCGTGCGCGCGGGCGTGCGCGTGGGGGTTGCACGGAGCGAGCGCGGAGGGCGACACGACGGCGCTCTCCATCGGGTTCGCCGTCGTCGCCGAGTGGTGCGCGCAGATTTGGCTCGATTCACGAGTCGGGGGTACGGCGAAATACTCGGAGGCGAGCGCGCTGGGTGGGGCGTACGCCCTGGCGGGGTGCGCGTTTCTCCTCGCGAGCGCGCGATTGGTGTGCTGGGCCGAGCCGGCGTCTCGCGCGACGCAACTCGGTGTCGTCGCCGCCGCGCTGGTGGTTCCGGAGATGTTCTATCGCGTCACGTCCTCGTCCAGGCTCGGCATGGTTCCGGGATTGATTCGATACGTCTTCGCGACGACGAAACCGGACGCGTTGGCGTCCCTGGCGACGCTCTGGTGCACAGGCGTCGCCACGGCGTTGGGCTTGGCGTACAACGCGCGTTCGTTACCGCTCACAATGCGACGCAAGGCGTTCCATTTCCTCGCCGTTGTCATGTTCGCACCGACATTGGTGCCCGATAGCGAGCACGGGGAACTTATTCGCGTGGCTTTCACCGTGGCGTTTGCGTTGTTCGCCGCCTTGGAGTGCGCTCGCGTGTTCGACGCCTACTACGGCCATGGATTGTTCGGGTGGAAACTGAGCATTTTCTTCGCCCAGTTCGTCGGCGACACCGTGGTGTCACTCTTAATTTTGGATCACTTCTCTTTGCTTCTCGGTGTGGCGGTTCCGATTTGGCTGAGCGACGATCAAAACTCACTCGTTCCGTGGGCGGGCGTCCTCACGCTCGGCGTCGGCGACAGCTTCGCCTCCATCGTCGGTTCGGCCGTCGGTCGACATCGCGTGTTCGGCGAAAAGTCGTTCAAGACCTTAGAGGGCGCAATCGCGTTCGCCGTGAGTACGTACGTCGCCGCTCTTTACGTCGGCGTCGACGTGGACCCGACGAGACTTGCCTTCGCTTGCGTCGGCACGGCTCTGTGCGAGCTATCCATCGAGGGCGCGGATAATCTCGTGCTCCCACTCGTCTTCACCGCCCTGTTGAGCGCGTGAGGAGTAGAAAACTAATACCTAATAACGTTTTTCCTCGTTCACAAATCCTATTTCGTGCAAACTAAACATCCCATTAACCCGCCTGGCTGCAACTCATAAAACGTCGCCTCGCGAAATCCCGCGTCGCGCGCCAAATCAACCTGTTCCTGCCCGCGCGGAAATCTCTCGATGCTCGGTCGGAGGTAACGATACTCCGCCGCAACACCATTGAGATCAGCGATGGGAACGACGACGTTGTCGAGCATGAATCCCTGCACAGCCGCCGTCGTCGGGTCGTCGGGATTGTTAAAATCCAAAACCGCCACCTTAGCTCCCGGTCTCACCACGCGCCTGAGCTCACGCATCGCTCGCGGAATATCGCTCACGTTTCGCAACCCGTACGCGATCGTCGCGCAATCGAAGCTATCGTCCTCGAACGGGAGATTCAGCGCGTCTCCCTCGATCCAATCGATCTTCCCCATCGCGTCCGTCCCTCGTCTCGATCGCTCCTCGCGCTCCTTCTCCGCGGCGAACGTCAACTGTTTCGCCGCGAAGTCCAACCCCGTGACGCTCCCTTCGCTCCCGACAAACGTGGACATCTTAATCGCTACATCACCCGACCCACAACACACATCGAGCGCGCGCATGCCCGATCCGCACTCGATCCACTTCACCGCCGCTCGCTTCCACGCCCGGTGCAAACCCAAACTCAACGCGTCGTTCAATCGATCGTACACGGGCGCGATATCGTTGAACAGCTCGCGTCGCTCGTCCGCCGCGTCGGCATTTTGTTCAAACGGGTTCCCGGCCACGCGCGAGGGGTCCTCGATCGCCGTAACGCGCGCACGCGAGCGATTCTTCGAGGATTTCACGCCACGCGCATTCGTGCGCACGCTATCCACTCGCGCTTCACGGCCTCCGAGTGCGCGCTCGTGCGCGCTCGTGCGCGAGAGCGACGATGCGCATCTCGCGTGCATCGTCACGCGTTTCGGTGTCGACGCGCGAAGGAGACGACGACGAGACGCCGAGGAGTGGGGCGCGATCGATGGGCGCGGTGAAGAGAAATTGTGTGTCCACTCGGACGCCCTACGGTTGCGCTACCTAATCGATGAATGGAACGATTGATCGATCGCGTGATCAATCGGACGGATCGACGATGCTGGCGATGAGTTTGACGCGATGCGCCCTGGTTTGACGCTCCACCAAGCGCTCGATGAGATCGTCCAACGCGTCGCGAAGGAACTTGGTCTTGCTTCGCGTCGCGCGCGCGACGTCCGCGCGCGATTGTTCCTCTAAATTCATCGCGAACGCCCGCGCGTCCGCGACGAGCGCGGGTAACGTTTTCATCGTACTCTGTCTCCGAATCACTTCCTCGCGCACGCGTCCGTACGCCTCTTCCGCCTCCCTGAGGTCACCGTTCTCCACCACCGCGCGATGTCCCGCCAGGTGTCCGGCGTCTCGCTCCAATCTCTCGCACTCCGCACTCAAACGCTCGATCTCGCTCGCTAAATCTCTCGCGAAAGCCGTTGACTCTTTTACCGATCGCGTCGACCGCAACAAATCGTCGAACGCGTCGTCGTCGACGATGCAACGACGTAACTCGACCGATGACTTGCTCTGTAAAATCTCGTTGAAATCCTTCGGGACGCTGAACGCGCGCGCGAGCGCGTGCGCGTCTTCATCGGACGCGATGCGATCGTGATTGAGTGTCGTCGAGCGAGCGAACGCGCTCGCGAGGTCGTCGACGGGCGACATCGGACGGAGCGGCGCGAAGTGTGGAGACCGGTTGGTTGGGCGAAACGAGGCGAGTGAGCGTTTGCGTTTGCGCGGATGATTACACGCGATTGATTACAATGGCGACGCGACGTCACCCTCCCGAGAGCGCCTTGTACGCCTTGTTGAGTTTCTGAAACGCCTCCTTCGCTCCCGGGGCGGAGCACTTGTCCGGGTGGAGGATTTTCGCCAAGTCGCGGTAGTTTTTCACAATCCACTTCTTTTGTGACCCAGGCGGCAAGTCGAGAACTTGCCAATCCGTCCCTGCGAGCTGCACGCGCCGCACCGCGCGCCGCTCGATCTCTTCCGGAGATACATTCTCCACCGGTTTCGCCAATTTCTCCTCCCGATCCTCCACCGTTTTCCTGACGCCGCGAAAACCGCTCAGGAGGTTACCCGCCGCGACTTTCCTGCGCGCCGTCTCCGCGACCTTCGCCGCCTCCCTTTCCTTCTTCTCCGCCTTCTCCCTCGCCGCGCGCTCGAGCGCCTCTCTTAACGCCGCCTTCTCTCGCTCGACCGCCCTCAACTTCGCCTCTAAGGCTTCTCGCTTCGCCTTTTGCGTCGCCGGCTCGAACGCCCGCGCCTCGGCGCGCAGCTTTGGCGTCTTCGCCGCGCGCGTCCCGTCGTCGTCTCCACCCTCCCTCGTCCACGTCTTCCCCTGCCGCTTCGTCGACGCGCGCGTCGACGCATCTTCCCCCGCGTGCGCTCGCGTCGTCACCGTCTCCACGTCCGAGCGCGTCCACGTTCGTCCGGGCATCGTCCGTGGGCCAACGCAACGGTCGCGTCGTCACCGATGCGTCGTCGATGATTATTTCCCTCCCGCGCGTCCTCGTCGCTCCCGGTCGCGCGCGCGAGCGTCGATGCGCGCGCGCGCGATCGACCGTCGCGTCGCCGTCGACGCGTCGACGCGCGCGGCGTCGTTCGACGCGACGGCGCGCGCGCGGGACGTCGAGGTGCGGTGTAGGGTTTAGACGCACCCGGTGTAGGGTTTAGACGCACCCACCGACCGCGCGCGCGCGCGCGACGCGACGACGCCGCACACGCGGGCGACGGGCGCGCGGGACGGGGGTGATGTTCGGCGCGACCTCGAGCGCGCGCGCGTCGATCGGCGCGCGCGCGGTGACGGGCGCGGGGAAGATGCGGACGCGGATGAAGACGATGACGTCGACGTCGACGGTCGCGCGACGGGTCGGCGGCGACGCCCGGCGCGCGCGCGTGACGCCGCGCGCGATGGAGCCGATGGAGGAGAAGGAAGAGAGAGACGCGTATGAATCCGTGGGTGGGGTGAACCCGAACCTCGATCGGGAGAACCCCGAGCTCGCGGAGCGCTTCGCGGTGATCGGGCAGGGCGACTTTCAGTGCCAGAGCTGCATGTACGAGTACAAGCCAAAGGTCGGGGACGATTTCTACCCGGTCGCGGCTGGGACGCAGTTTAAGGATTTGCCGAACGATTGGCGGTGCCCGACGTGCGGGGCGGAGAAGGCGAAATTTAAGTCTCTCGGGAAGCGCGTCGCCGGTTTCGAACAAAACCAAGGGTACGGCTTGGGAACGAACTCGATGACCGAAGGGGAGAAGTCGCGGCTGATTTACGGCGCTCTGCTGTTCTTCTTCTTGGTCTTCATCTCGGGATACCTCTTGGACTAGTTTTCGTCGCATTTTTTCTTACGCAAACAATATTCGTTTTCCGACGAGTGTAATATACGAGCAAGGAAATCCGCGCTTCCTGTACGCGTTCGCGAAGACGACCGAGACGAGGGGACGATCGCGATGTGCGGGCCACAGGTTGAGTGATTATTGCTTGGTTGGTTTCACAATCAAATCGAGGCGAAGTCAAAGACGGGGATCAAAGTCGCAGGAGCGTCACCGTGACGTCATCCGTGCTTCCCTTGGCGACCGCCTGAGCGACGAGATCCTTCGCGAGCGCCTCCGGATCTTTCGACGTGTTCGCGGCCAAATACTCGGCGATTTCTTCGTTTCTCCATCCTCCGCCACCGCCGCGCTCGGGGTTCTCGAACAAACCGTCCGAGGAGAGCAAGATCCACGTATCCGCCTCCGTCACGCTCTCGATGTAACAATCCGGCTCGGCGTTCAAGCCGAATCCACTGCCGTAATCCGCGTTCCTCTCGCCCAAACCTTCGAAGCGACCACTTTCCTTCAAGAAAGAGTCACCGAACGCGCGGGAGAGCGCGAGAACGCCGCCGACGCGCCAAGATCCATTCGTGAAGGATACGAGCGACTTGCGAAGATTCGGATTCCCCCGGTCGATGCGCTTGCGTTCATTCTCGTCATCCGGCACGTGATCGACGCTCAGTTGCACAGCCTTCCCGTCGCGAATCAACAAAATACGCGCATCACCGACATTCGCGGTGGCTATGCGCGTCGACCCGCCCTCCTCGTACAGCGCCACGATCGCCGCCGTGCTCCCGCACTTCGCCCCCCCGACGCCTCGCTCACCGAACGACGCGAAGAACCCCTCCGGCGGTTGCACCAGCTCCTTATCCGCCTTCAAACACGCCGTTCGCAGCGCATCGAGCGAAAATTCCGCCTCGGCCCACTCGCGCGCAATCATGTCATTCAATCGCTCGCGCAACCACTCGCTCACCGCGCTCCCGCCGTGGCCGTCGAACACGCTCGCGATCGTCGTCGGCGCCGTCGCGTCACCCCGGGTGTTCGTCCACGTCGCGTATCGGTCCTCGTTTTGCTTTCGCACCGTCCCTCGCACCGTGGCCGTGCCCACGGATGTGCGCACGACCGACGCGCGCGCGATCGCGGCGAGGCGATGGGTCGCGCGCGGGCGTCGCGTCCCGGGCGCGCGCGCGATCGAGGCGACGGACGCGCGGTCGAGCGCGCGTGCGGGCATGACGCGCGCGCGCGTGTGCGGCGACCGCGCGTGTGCGGCGCGAGCGAGACGCGGACGCGCCTCAGCGCGGGGGTGGTGCTGACGTGATGACGTCGACGGCGTGCAGATGGATCGCGTCGGGCGGATCGGGCGCGGCGACGCTCGGAGCGGTGCTATGTGGTGATCACAGTATGAATCTAATGCCGTACGCGGGCGCGAAATGGTCGTGCGCGATGACGGAGGCGAATCGACGCTAAGGAGGCTCAGATGCTCACGCCCGCCTCGCGCGCGCCCTCGGCGATCGCGCGCACGCGGCCGTGGTACAAGAATCCGCCCCGGTCGAACACGGCTTGCGTGATGCCCTTCTCGACGCACGCGGCGCCGAGCATCTTCCCGACCTGCTCGGCGGCGCTGATGGTTTTACCCTTCCACTCCTCCTCGCCGATCACCGCCTTGACGGACTTGCTCATGGTGCCGAGCGCGGCGATGGTTTTTTGGTTTTCGTCGTCGATCACTTGCACGTACACGTGTTGGTTGGATCTGTACACGGAGATGCGCGGGCGTTCAGACGTCCCAGAAACCTGCGTGATTCGAAAAGAGATGTCGTGTGAGTCAATCTTGAACCGAGCATCGCGTCGAGGTCGCCGTCGCGAGCGCATCCGCGCGTTCGCGCATCCATCCGCGCGCCGGCTCCCCGCGCGCGCGTCCGCGCCGAAAACAAACCTTGGACCTAATCTTACGGTGACGTTGTTGCCGCTTCGCCTCCTTCGGCGTCAAACTCGCTCGCGTCACGACGGAAACTGCGCGCGATAAAACTCACGCCATGGTCAGTACGCGCCTCCCTCCGCCCGCGCGCGAACGCGCTCCGGGGTTTCTCCCACCCATAGGGTTTCCACGTCACCCCATCGCTCCACCGTCGCCCCCCATCCTCGTCGCCCGCCCGCGCGCGATGGACGGATCGACGACAAAAAAATTCGTCTCCCCCACCCTTCCCGCGCGCCCGTCCCCACCGCGCGCGTCGCCGTCGCCGACCCTCCCTCTGCACGCGCGCGTCGCCGTCGCGTCCGCCGTCGCCGGCATCGCCCATCGTCCGCGCGCGCTCGTCGACGCACCTCCGCGCGCGCGCGTCGTCGCGGTCGCCGTCGTCACGCTCGCGCTCATCGCGGTCGACGCGAACATGGTCGTCGTCGCGAAGTGCGCGCGCGGCGTCGACGACGCGCGCGACATCATTACGCGCGCGGGCGTGGACCCTCCCACGAGTCACGACCCCTCGGTGGACCCCCATCGACGCACGCGGGGTCCATCGCGCGTGCTGGGTCGACGGGACCTAAACCCTGATTCCATCGATTACACGGGGTTAACATCGCGCGATGTACGAGTGATGCCGTCGAGGGGATCTTCAGGCGAATCATCGCTCGACGCGCGACCGTTCGCGAGGACGACGACGACGACGACGACGCGCGCACATCGCGTCGACGGCGCTCGAGCGCGGGGCGAACGCGCGCGCGTGGGTGGGACCGCGGCGGTGGGGACGCGATGCGGGTCGTCGTCGTCGCGGGCACGCACAGTGGTGTCGGGAAGACGACGATCGCGAGCGCGTTGATGCTCGCGTTCGCGCGTCGGGGACACGCCGTCGCGGCGTTCAAGGTTGGGGCGGATTTCGTTGATCCCATCGCGCACAGGGCGGCGCTCAGGGAGACGTGCGCGGAGTCGGAGAACCTGGACGGGTACATGATGACGGAGGCGTACGCGAGACGGGCGGCGGCGGCCAAGGCGGAGACGTGCGACGTCGCCGTGATCGATGGTGTGATGGGTCTGTACGATGGAAGAGATGGAATCTCCGAGGATGGGTCCACGGCGCAGATGGCGAAGTGGTTGGGAGCGGGGGTTTTGCTCGTCGTCGATTGCAACGCCATGGCTCGGAGCGTGGCGGCGATGATAAAGGGGTATCAAGAGTTCGACGCCGATTTGAACCTCTTGGGAGTCGTTTTCAACAAGACGGGCGGAGAGGCACACACGAAGTACCTCACGGAGAGCTTGGACGCGGCGATGGCGAACGTTGAGGTGTTCGGAGGGATTCCGAAGGATGCGAGGGGAACGGGCGACTTCGCGGGGGGAGCCACCGCGAACGACGATTCTATTGAACAACAGATTCAACACATGGCGATGTTGCTCGAGCAAAACTTAGATTTGGACGCGCTGTATGAGTGCATGCCCACGTTTGAGGTTGACCCGGAGACCGTGCTGGAGTTGGCGCAAGAGCGAGCGGAACGCAGCGCTCAGGCAGAGGCTTCAGGAGCGGAGGTTCGCATCGCGGTGGCGCGAGACGAGGCGTTTTGCTTTTACTACCCCGAAAACTTGACGAAATTAGAAGAGGCTGGGGCGAAGTTGGTGTACTTCAGCCCCGTAGGCGGCGATGCACTACCGCAAGACATCCAGGGCGTGATCTTTGGAGGGGGTTATCCAGAGTTTCACGCACAAGCGTTTCTGAAAAACCGACCCTTGCGGTCGGCGGTGACGGCGTTTGCCACCGCGGGTGGTGTTGTGTACGCTGAGTGCGGAGGGATGATGTTCCTGTCGCAATCGCTGTCGGCACCGGATGGCAGTTCGCCGCGATCAATGTGTGGCGTTGCGCCGTTTGCGACGAGATTGACGAGCTCTGTGAAGACTGGTTACGCCGAGATCACCATCGCCCCCGGGAACCCTTTGTTCAAAGAGGGAGAAATCGTAAGAGGTCAAACGTTCCGCTACAGCGAAATTTTCGGCGATAGACCGAGCAAAATGCGCGTGACAGAAGATAAAATGGCCATCGGTTGGGGCGCGACGTACGAGGTCAGAGAGGAGCAGTCATTCGGAAAGGGACAAGGCGCCGTCGAGCTCGACGGGTTCGCATGGAACAACGTTTTGGTCTCGCAGATACATCTTCACTTTGGCGCAAATCCGTCTCTGGCGTATTCCTTTGTCGATGCGTGTAGAAAAGTGTCGACCAGTGCGTATGAGGCGGCGCACCGCGCAGCAATGGTCTCTCGCCGGACAATGAGCAAGAGCTTTGGACCGCTGACTCCGATCTCTTCGGGTAATGTGTCACGTTATTACGAAGGAAACACCAGAGCGTTTGAGGAGGATGTGCATCGCGCGCTCTCTGCGGTGTCGGACTCCCCAGAGAAGATCAAACACGTGTTGCCACCCAGACGTTCTCGGGCGACGTCACGCGACTTCCGAGAGTACTCTGTTGATTTGGACTCCGCTGAGGGTATAGGGATGTTTCGCTCTCGATCGTCGGCGTCGATGCAATCTCTCGGTGTGGCGGTTTCAAAGCTGCCAGGGTTGCCGCGAAAACAGTCGCAAACGGAGCTCGACGTCGCGTTACACGCGTACTTTGGCGCATCTCAAGTCATGCCCGACCACTTACACTCGCCGTCTCAGTTGCAGCTTCCTCTGCCGCAGTCCGTCGGAGCTATAGTCTCACTATCGCCTACGGCGACGTACACTCTGTACGCGCTTGGACTACGAGATCGTGTCGTCGGCATCACAGACGCGTGTGTGCTTCCGGAAGGTGTTGTGGATCATCCGAAGATTGTCGCCAGACACTCCTCCACGCTGATGTCTCCGCAGCATAGCGCAAATCTCGGCGATCGAAGGAGAAGCTCGGGTGTGGCCTTGAATGATCTTGAGTTGGCCAGCGTGGGGAGCATGCATCATGGATCAAGCCACAACTCATTGACACGCTTAGAAAAGCAAGCGCACAACAGCTCACAAGATAAGTGGTCGTACTTTGACGTCAACTTCGTGCGTCACGCCGAGGCGAGGCTGATTTTCACTCCGGACGTGTGCGCGGATTGTACGGATGTGCGATTTGGTACAGCCAAGTATCTTCATGAAGCAGAGGTGTTCCTGACTACGGCAGAATTCGATTCGGACGACGATGCAATGCTCGAGGTGAATGCGTCGAGACCGTCCATTTTTCCAGTGGCGCCGAAGACGTTAAATGATGTATTAGACGTCATTCTCCAAATCGGCATTTTGTGCGGACTAAAGGACCGGGCGGTCACTTTGGTTACGCAGCTGCGATCTCGCTTGCGCACCATCGCCCGCGTCGTCGCCAGTGCGGACCAAAGGCCCAAGGTGATGTCTCTGGAGGGGATAAAACCCATAGTCGCCGCCGGACACTGGCTCCCAGAGATGAAATCCATCGCTGGCGGCGTCGATGAGCTACACGAACCCGGTGCTCCACTTGATCGCTTGCGATGGGAACAAGTCTTGTCGTACGCACCGGACATGTTGCTCATCACACCTTGCTACTTGGGAAAGTCTACGGATGAGACGATGGAAAAGACTTTGGAGCAACTGGAACATCTAGCGAGTCAGCCCGGATGGTGGGCCATTCCCGCCGTTCAGAAGCGCCGAGTCTTCATTCTCTCCCACGAACTGACGTGTCAGTCTGGACCCCAGCTCGTCGATGGAGTCGAGACGTTGGCTCGCGTGATCCATCCGGACTTGTTCCCGATGGAGCTCCGTCAAGGAATCTGCCTAAAGTTGAATCTCGAGGAGGGAAAGAGCTGCAGACCAAAACAGCTGCGACAATACTTCACGGAGTGGCGATGAAGCCTGCTCACGTGTGCAAATACAATTTTTGTACATCTACGGTATCTCAAGCACGCGCATGTAGAATGTAACACGCAAGACAACGATTGTGAGAAAAACTACTGATCAACAGCCGTCTATAAAGTACGATAATGTTACACAGCTGAATGCGAAACATTTGGCAATCCATCGAAGAACTCGGCGATGTCGGCCCGCAAGCCGTATCCCCAAGGAAAGTACGCTTCACCGTGACTGAAGCCTTCCTGATAAATTATTCGCGCATGGGATTGACGCAGTACGTGCCTCGCGATCGCTTCTGCGTCGATAAGCAAATCGTTCGATTCCAAAACGATGAGCGAGTCTGGCGGGAGGTCCTCCGCCCACATGTTATATCGTGCCCACCAAAATTTTCTTCGAAGCGCCGTCGTAACGCCAATCTCTCGAAGTAAAAAGTAGTCTCGTAGGAAGAAATAAATGAGCCAGCGGCCCTCTCGCCAGAACTGCGCGTCTGCGAGAACTTTCAGACCACCCTCGCTCGCTCGACTCTTAAACTCAGTCCAACTCTTACTCAGTTGATAAAGAATCCCGACCGTCTGAGGGAGGAATAAGCACACGGCAACTGGATCAACGAGGACGACGGAACTGACAAAGTACATTTGGCACGCACGCGCGACGACAAACGAGCCGAAACTGTGACCATAAAGCGCCGGTGAACGCAGGGCGTGTTTTTTAGTGATTTCCATCACCGTGCTCACCATTTGATCGAGCTCTGGCACCGTCTTGCTCGCCCGCATACTGATATGTGGAAGCGTCACGCACGCAATTTTCCGACCGGGTTTACTCTTGAGCAAGTGCACGATGCTTGGAAGATATGGTGCTAATCCCACGCCCAGACCATGCACAAATATTATCGGTTTCGCGTCGTCGGACGACGATGTTTCATCTGCAATGTCGCCGCACAACACTTCCCTCGTCTCGCGTCCGCGCCCGTATCGCGTCTTTTTCGTCAACGTTCTCGAGGGATTTTGCTTCCAATCTTCCATCACGACGTCGCAATTTGCCCAATACCAACATCCGCTATCGCCTCGATACGCTCGAAATCCCAGGGACCGCAGCGCTAATCCCGCGACGCCGGCGATGCCGTTTACCCACGCGGTGAAGATCAAGGGCTGATGCAGCGCACCCAGTTTTTCTTTTGTGTGAAACATAAAGTCAAACGATTCCTTTTCAACGCCATCGTCGAACTTGACGTTCCATCGCGCCTCGATCTCTTCGATGAATAGGTCCAACTCTCTCTCCTTTTGCTCGCCAATCTCCTCGGCGCTCAGCGCGTCGTGGAAGCCGAATCGAAGGAAATCTTTCGCGTGATCGCGATGACACGGCGTAGACGCTCTGGGGACCTCTAATCCTGGCGTAGACACTCTAGAGTTCGACGGACTCGTCGTCGTCGACTCTGGCTTGTCGTAAAACGAAGGCGAGACGCCCGCCCACGTGTTCGTCCAACTCTTCGTCCACCCGTACAGGAACGATTTGAAGTCTCGCACGGCGTCGTGTCGCAGCTGAAGGAACCGATCGAAATCAACCCTCGTAGGGTCTGCCGTCATATTATCGTCCGCGTCGTACCTCCGCTTCACCGCTCGTCGCGAGGCGTACCACGCGACTTCGCTCAGGACGTACGCCGCGAGCGCCGCGCGCCGCTTAAACCTGCGCGCATCCTTCGTCCTCCCGCTCGTCACCACTCGCAGCCCTCGCATCGCTAACATCGCCGGTCCAACCGCCCACACCATCGTCAACGCCGCGGTTCCGATCGCGTCCACCGGATGCCATCGCGTCCCGACCCGCGCGCGCACGCGCGCGTGCGTCGACCACTCCTCGTTCATCCCCCCAGCCGTCTCCTCCGTCTCCGAGAATCCCTCGCTCGGTCGGTACCGTCGCATCAACGCGTCATCGAGACCGTCGCCGTGCGAGCTCGATCGACGCATCGCCGCGGCGTCGTCGTCGTCCGTCGTCCGTCGCGACGACGCCGTCCACGTCGCATCGTCATCCATCGCGTCCGCGTCGTCGCCACCGCGCGCGCGCGCGCCCGCGCGCGACGGCGTCGGCGGCGTCGTTCGTCCGCGCGCGCCCGTCGCCGCGGCGCCCTCGATCGGCGGCGACGCGAGCGAGAGGCGGCGGCGGCGGCGGCGGCGCGGGACACGGCTAACGGTCGACCTGTTCGTCCACATGGGCAACGGTCACACTGTTCGCCCACACGGTGAAATTTTAGCGTTGTTGGACACATCTCTTCTTCACCCCATCAGACTGTTCGCCCACGCGGTGAAATTTTAGCGTTGTTGGACACATCTCTTTTTCACCCCATCAGACTGTTCGCCCACGCGGTGAAATTGTACATATCTCTTCTTCACCCCATCAGACTGTTCGCCCACACGCGTGCGCGCGCCAGAGCTCGACCATGCGCGCCGCGCGCGGGGCGCTGGCGTGCGGCGCGATCGCGGCGTGCGCGCACGGCGCGAGCGCGGCGACGTCGAGCGAGGGACGCGGCGCGCTCGCGCCCGCGGCGCCGATCGCGGTCGCGCTGGGCGTCGCGGCGCGACGGGCGTGTGGGACGAAGACGTTCGCGTCGATGCTCGAACCGGGCGTGCGCGCGGTGAAGGAGGACGGATTGAAGCTCGGCATCGCCGCCCTGGGCGCGCGGTTGTCGCTCACGGAGATCGGAGACACGGCGCGCGCGGCGGCGCCGGCGATCGGGGGGGTGGTGGTGTCCGGGGGGGTGGCGGCGCCGATGGCGTGCGCGCTCGCGCGGAGGGCGGGATGGAGGACCGAGGGACTGACGCGAAAGACGGGGGCGCTGCTCGCGGCGGGGAGCTCGATATGTGGAGTGACGGCGATCGGGGCGCTGGCGCCGGCGATCGCGGCGACGGAGCGAGAGGTTGGGGTGGCGGTGGCGAACGTCGTGGCGTACGGGACGTTTGGAATGTTGACGTATCCGTACGTCGCGAAGTGGTTATTTCCGGATGGTGGGACGCCGGCGGGGGTGTTTTTGGGACTCAGCGTGCACGACACATCGCAGGTGATCGGTGCGGGGATGACATTCAAACAAATGTACGACGACGAGGCGGCGTTCAAGGCGGCGACGGTGACCAAGCTGACGAGGAATTTAGGATTAGCCGTCGTCGTGCCGGTGCTTGCGATGGTGTTTCGCGACGCCTCGGAGACGGGAGCGAGCGTGGTGGGGAAGAAACCGGCTCTAATACCTGGTTTTTTGATCGCGTTTATCGCCATGGCGGCATTACGCTCACTCGGCGACGCCACGGAGGGCGTTCGCGACGATCCTCGATGGAAAAAGACTACAAAACTTCTAGGAGATTTCTCTTCGCAAGTCGCATTACCATGCGCCATGGCTGCCGTCGGTCTGTCAATCAGCACGTCGTCGCTCAGTGGGATCGGGGTAGCACCCTTTTTCGCCGGCGCGGTCGCGGCAACGACCGTGGCGGGCGTCGCCGCGTTGTCCGTAAAGACGCTCGAGCAAGCAGGGTACCTGAAATAGTCGCTGGTGGATAATTTTTGTAAGCCGATGCGTGTATTAACAACAAAGATCTGATTTGGTTGAAACAATGAGCTATGTGTGTAATCTCTTAAAAGAGAGCTTCGTCGAGAGCATCCTCGCTGAACTTGAAGGCGCCTTCGGCGACAATGCGCTCCAGCTTTTCGGCGTTGTCATCGCTAATGTTCAACGCCGCTCGAAGCACCTTGCGTTCCTCCGCGTCCGAAACCTCTTGAACGAAAACGGAGTACATGTCGAACACTTCGGACTCCACCTTCCACTCAAGCTTACTGTCGGGCGCCACGGATTGGCACGCGACCAAGTTACGGCAGCTCAACACGACATCCGCGGCCTTCTTTTGACGCAAGACGGCGACGCCTTGAATCATTTGAGAGCGCTTCTTATCCGCGGCGATCTTCTTGAGCTCGTCCTTGGCCTTCGCGCCATCAATCTTGAGATCTTCAACTAGTTGCGTGGTGAGGGCGTCGATGTCTGCGCTACCCGTACCGTCGCCAAGACGACGCTCTGCATTCTTGCGGAACAAGTTCATGCGCTTGTCCTCCGGAATCATGCGCTCAATTTCAACACCTTGCTCAGCCATCTTGCGAATCTCAGCACCGTCGAGCGTACCCGACGAGATTTGCTGGCTGACGTTTTGCATCATACGTTGCGAAGTGATGCCCTTGATGATCTTTTGAGCCTCTTGCTCCGGCAAGTTGAGCTGTTGTTGGATCTCCTTGAGCTTTTCTGCGCGTTCAGCCGTCAAGCCACGACCGTCACCGAGCATTTGTTCGGCTTGGTTGCGGAACGCCTTGTCGGCCAAATCCTTGTGCACTTGGCCGACTTCCATCATTTGGAGGCCAAGGATCTCACCGAGCTGCGACAACCGCTTGAACTCACTCTGGTCTCGCTCGATGTTGATGCGAACACCCATCGGCGCGTTGACTTGGTCACCCGTCATGCAGAACATCAAGTACTCTCTGTACATGGCTTGACGAGTAATGACGTCCATGTCCTCGGCGAGAGTGATCTCCTTCTGGAACTGTTCCTCCTCTTGCTGAACGACGGGTTCTTCCTCCTTCTCCTCCACAGGAGCCTCTTCCTTCTCCTCGGAGGGCGCCTCGGAGGACGTTTCACCCGCCCATCGGAGTTCTTCGGACTCGGCGGAAGCTTCAGTCTCGGCGGGGGCCTCGGCGGCAGCCGCTGCCTTTTCTTCCGCTTCTTCCTTCGCCGCTGCCTCTTGCGCTTCCTTCAAGAGCGAGGCCAGCTCCTCCGCAGCCGCCTCAGCCTTCGCCTTGGTCACGTCCCGCACGAGCGGAGTAACGACGCCTTGGTTGTAGAAGATCATCTTACGAATCTCTTTTTGAGCGTCAGTTTTGTTTCTAATGGACTTGGAAGTGCGGATGTAAACGTTGAACTGCTTGCGAGCTTCCGCACCGAGGATCTTGAGCGCGGTTTCATCGTCAAGACGAACATCTGCCTTGACTCGCTTGCATCGGTCGCGAAGAGCCGGGGTGAAGGACTCAGTCGGAACGGAAAGCGCAGAGCGAACGGCGGTGCGGTAAACGTCACCGCAGATTTGGAAGTGAAGTTTCTCAACCACGCCCTTGGGGACGCACAAGAGCTTGCGAATGCGCGCGAGCGCGGCGACGTCGTCGTCGGTGAGCTTCTTGCTCGCCGAGATGATGGACTCGAGCTTGGTGCGGTAGTTTTCCTCGTGAATGCCCGCGGCAACTTCCGGCGGGAAACGAAGGCCCTCGCACATTGCTTGAAGCACCTTGGCCGGGGACTCGGCCGGCTCCAACTTGCCGCTCTTGACGGCGTCGCGAAGCGCCAAATTGTAAGACGTCGTGGTGGAGGCGAGGATGATGTCGTCAGCCTCCTTGTTGCCCATGCCGAAGACGAGGCGAAGCTTGCCGAGGCTGTCGTTCAACGCCGCGCTGAAAGTAAAACCCTTGAGGCCCTCCTCGAGGTAGGTCCTGAAAACATCCTTGAGCTCGGTCATCTTTGATTCGAACTCACCGCCGAAGAGGGTCACCGGACCGACACCCGGGAACGAACCTTGCGCCGCTTCGAGCTTGGCGTTGTAACCCAACACTTCGTCAATGTTCTTGCAGATCGACGCAACATCGCGCGCAGAGCCTCGCTCCTTGTTCAAAGAGATCGTGGCGTTGACGATGCCCGCGACATGCGCCGTGGCGAGATCACGCGCGATTTCACCCGCGGCGTCGTCGTCCAAGTTGAGCGAAGCCTTGTAGTCGGCGCCGGCGGCAATGGCCGCGGCGTCGACATTCGCAATGGCGTTCGAGTTGCTGAGGCTCGTGCGCAAGAGCTGGCTCGCGTTGTCTCTGTTCGCCAAGTCAACTTGAGCGTCGGAGACCCGGAAGACGCGCTTCCACGGAAGCAAGAAGCGCGCCTGCTCCTCACCAAAGGTTTGCGTGGAGATGAAGACGAGCTTTTGGAACTCCTTGCGCGACTCCAAATCCGTGTCCTTGTCCGCGGAGCCGAGCTCGATGCGCTTTCTGAACAAACGTCGACCCGCCTCCAAGTGCGCCTGCGCGGCAGAGGCGTCGTCGATGCCGAGCGTGCCGCGGAATTGCGCGAGCGCCGCGGCTTCCCACCCTTGCACCGGGTCCATGCCTTGCGGGACGAGGGACATGAGGTAGACGTCGTAGAGCTCCGTCAATTCAGTCGAGCACGCCTGGCCAAAGTTGGAGATCCCGAATCGCGCACCGACCGCGGCGACTTCTTCCGGGCTCACGCTCAGCGGATCCCGACCTTGAAGCTCGTTGAGCAAAACCTTCGGCGCCGCGGTGAATCGCTTCTTATCCGCGACGGAGACCCCGTACGCGGCCCCCCCGCCGACCACCGCCGTCATCGCAACCTTCGCCGCATCGCGCACGTTCGCCGGCATCACGCCCCCGATAAAGTTCCCGCACGCCGCGCCCGCGGCCACGACCGCACCGTACGCCCCCAGGCGCGCCGGCGTGGGAAGCGCCGCCAATTGCTTCTCAACCCCGTCCAAATCCCGCGTGAACGCGAATGGGCTCGCTCGCTCCTGCGCGCGCGACAACATCATCGCCACACACGTCGTCAGTCACACGCCCTCGCGCCACGGAATCGTCGTCGAACGATCGCGTCCGCCCACCACCCGCGCCGTCCTCCCCCCCGCGCCCGCCGCGCCCGCCTCTCAGGGTTTGCCCACCCCGCGCGCGTCATCGAAAATCACCACGCACCGTCCCCTCCCGCGGCGCGTTCGCGCGCACGACGCATCGCACGCCCCGCCTCCCACGCGTCCGCCCCTGTGCGTCCGCGCGTCCACCATCGCGCGCCCGCGCGCGCGCCGTCGTCGTCCCCATACATCCGAGCGCCATCATTCGCGCCGCGACCGTCGCGCGTGGTCCTCGACCGCGTCAAGCGCCGCACGCCGCGCGCGCGAGAGAGGCGATGCGGTGAAAATATATCCACCACCCGAGCGCGCGCGCGTCGCCGCCGTCGCCGTGTGCGGCGTCGCGACGCCGTCGACGCCGCCGCGCCGGCGACCACCCTCGGGGACGACGAGAGATTAGGGTTCAGAAGATACAGGCGGTGGAGACATCTCCATGGGACATCGATTCGTGCGCACTGTTCGCGCACACGACGCACCGACACGTCGTGTTTTAGTACGCGATGGATGGACGCGTCGCTTCGTTCTGATTTTTTCACGACAGTATTATTCACGACACCGTCGACGCGATGGGAAAATCTATATCCCACCGGTTGGGAGCTCTCAACCGGTGGGATATAGATTTTCCCCACGTGCTCGTTCGTCACCGCGGTGATTCCCGGGATCTGGCTACATCGAGCCTTGTTTCGTGGACACGATCGGTCGTTTCGCACGCGCCCCGAAACAAGGCGGCGTGGATCTGCCGAAATAGAGCCTTGTTTTGGATCTGCCTACATCGAGCCTTGTTTTGGATCTGCCTACATCGAGCCTTGTTTTGGATCTGCCTACATCGAGCCTTGTTTTGGATCTGCCTACATAGAGCCTTGTTTTGGATCTGCCTACATCGAGCCTTGTTTTGGATCTGCCTACATCCAGCCTTGTTTTGGATCTGCCTACATCGAGCCTTGTTTCGTGGACACGATCGGTCGTTTCGCACGCGCCCCGAAACGAGGCTGGATGTCGCCAGATCCCGATTCAAGCGTGTTTTCATCGCTCGACGACGCGCGTTCGGTGTGACGACGTCACGGTCGATGACCTAACCGACGAGCGACATCGCAGTCCTCGACGCACGTCCGCGATGGGTGTCGCGCGCGCGTCGTGGACGACGGGTCTCGTCGTCGATGGGACGCGCGCGCGACGGCGCGAGCGCACGCGCGCGCGAGCGTTCGACGTGGGGAAACTCGCGAAAGTGCTGCGACGGAAGACGGCGAACGATCTCGCGCGCGTGTTCAACGGCGCGGAAAAGACGCGCGAGCGGTTGACGGATGTGAATGATATCTTGGCGCTGTGGCGCGCGAGCGCGCACGAGGAGACGCTGGAGGAGTTGGAGGAGACGCTCTTGGGGGTGGATTTTGGCCCCAAGGCGAGCGCGCGGGTGACGGATGGGGTGCGCGCGCGCGTGGAGCGCGGAGAGTGCGAGACGGGGGAGGACGTGCGACGGGCGCTCAAGGCGTCGATCGTGGACGTGTTGCGATCGGCGGGGGATTCGACGACGATTGGGTTGAACGAGAGGGAGGGGGAGCCGAGCGTGATTATGGTCGTCGGCGTGAACGGCGGGGGGAAGACGACGACGCTCGGAAAGCTGAGTCATCGATTCGCCGAGTCGGGGGCGAAGGTGATGATGGTGCCGGGGGATACGTTTCGCGCCGCCGCGGCGGAACAGCTCGCGACGTGGGCCGAGCGCACGGGGGCGGTGATGAGCGATTCGCCGCCGAACACCAAGCCGGGCGCGGTGTGCTTCAAGGCGGTGGACGAGGCGTGCGCTCGAGGCGACATCGACATCGTGCTGGCGGACACGTCTGGTCGATTGCATAACAACACGCAACTCATGGATGAGCTCGTGGGCGTGCGCAAGTCGATCTCAAAGCGCATGGAGGGTGCGCCGCACGAGGTTCTCCTCGTCTTGGACGGCACCACGGGCTTGAACATGCTGAACCAGGCGCGCGTGTTCGGTGAAGCCGTGGGCGTGACGGGCATCATCCTCACCAAGCTCGACGGTACCGCGCGCGGCGGGGCCGTCGTGAGTGTTGTGGACGAGTTGGGCATCCCAGTAAAATTCATCGGCGTCGGCGAGGCGATGGAGGACTTACAATCCTTCGAAGCCGAGTCCTTCGTCGACGCGCTCTTCCCGGAGGAGGCGTGATTCCCGTGCTTTGTGCTTCTGTAGATGAAACAATAACACGTTGCTTTAATGATACACAAACGCTAAAACTACCCGCACTGGCACCACGAATCAATGAACAATGAATGACAACAATGATTTCTACGAACTTACACCTTTGTGAGCGTTTTTGGTGAAATCTTCCGAAACTTCACCGCGCCCAACACGCGCTCAGGGAGCTCGTCCTCGCCCCGGCCCTCGATCCAAATCGCCACGTCTTCCTCACTCCTGCTCGATAACCCACTGAACGTGTAATACAAATACTTTGCGTACGAATTATCGGCGCAGATACAATCACACTCCAAGTAACGCCCCTCCAGATCCGTTCCTTTGCCTGAGTGAAACACCGTGCGAGCGCGCTTACCGACGAGAACCGGCCGCGTGGGAACTAGTTGCGTCAACATCGCCGGCCCCTTTGTGATCTTGGCGCAAATCTTAATCCGCTCCGAGCGAAACGCGTCGTTATCATTGTCTTCGAGCAAGAATCGTCGAAACAATCTGGCGAACGCGTGATCGGCGTCCAAGCCGGACGCCTCCGCGTCTCGCTCCACCCTCGCCGCCACCTCCGTCGCCGTCGTCGCCGCGTCATCCCCCTCTCCGGTTTCGAACGCTGGTTGGAAATAACACACCAATCCGGCGCCATCGGGATTCACAAACTGAAACACAAACGTCCACGGAACCTTTCTCACGCCGTCTTTACCTCGCTCGTCCCGCTCGGCGTCCAGTTGTTTCCTGAACCAGCTCGCCGCCGTCCTCCGCGCGACGTCCAATCTCTCCCCCTCTTTAAGATCCGATTGATCAAACAGATCGCAGTGTTTCAGAGTCATGAACATCGGTCTCGTCACCGGCGTCTTCGCGCGATCGACGTCGTACGTCTCGGACCGCACGGAGAGCCACGGGCACGAGGTCTCGCTCCAGTGTTGATGTTCCCTCTTGTGCAGACCCAGGGCGTCGCGCACGGCGTCGATCGATCTGCGCACGGCGTCGATCGAGCGTCTGCGCGGTGACGACGGTGGTGACGGTGGGTGCGACGGTGCCGACGCGTCGGTGGAGCGACTGCACGCGGCGCCCATGAGGGGACGGGGCGACGACGGCGCGGATCGACGAAAAAGTGATGCGTCGGTGTCGCGCTCGGTCGCGCGCGACGCCGAGCCGATGAGCGCGCGCGCGGCGCGTCCCTCGAGCTCGAGGGACGGGTCGAGGGCGACGCGCGGGGGAGACTGTGGACGGAGGGATCGAGGTGGGAACGGGGAGGCGGTGAGCATATTAATGAATGATACGTGCACATCACAACGTCCACTACGTCGAAAGAAGAAAAGCTTTAGAAGAGCGCGGCCAGCTTTTCGGCCGTGATGCCGAACTCCTTGTAGAGGATCGGGGCCGGGGCAGACGCACCGAAGTCATCGTGACCGATGGACTTGGCGGCGTACTTCGACCAACCGAAGGTGGTACCCGCCTCGATGGAGGCAGTGTTGGCGTACATGGACTTCGGCAAGACGGAATCTTGGTAAGAGGCCGGTTGGCGCTCGAAGACTTCCCAGCACGGCATGGAGACAACGCGAACCTTCTTACCCTTGGACTCGAGCTCGGCACCAGCCTTGCAGGCGAGCTCGAGTTCGGTACCGGTACCGATGAGGATGACGTCGCACGCTTCGCCAGCCGCGGCGCCTTGGACAACGTACGCACCCTTTTGGGCGCCTTCCATGGAGGTACCCGGCAAGTTCGGGACAACTTGACGAGAGAGCGCCAAGGTGGTCGGAGCACCGTTCATGGAGTTCTCGACGGCCATCTTGTAGCAGGCGGCGGTCTCGTTGCCGTCAGCCGGGCGCATCATGTCCATGCCCGGCATAGCGCGGAAGGACGCGACGTGCTCAATCGGCTGGTGCGTCGGACCGTCTTCACCGACGCCGATGGAGTCGTGCGTCATGACGAAGATGGTACCGGCTTGGGAAAGCGCGGCGATGCGCATGGCACAGCGCATGTAGTCGGAGAAGATGAAGAAGGTGGCGCAGTACGGAATGATACCCGGGGAGTGGAGCTTCATGCCGTTGGCAATGGCACCCATACCGTGCTCACGGACGCCGAAGCGAACGTTGCGCTCGGCCGGAGTGTCCTTTTGGAAGTCACCGAATTGCTTCATCAGCGTCATGTTGGACGGAGCAAGATCGGCGGAGCCACCCATGAAACCCGGGATCGCACCACCGAGGGCGTTGAGCATCGTTTGGGAGTGGATGCGCGTGGCGACACCCTTGTCTTCCGGCGTGAAGGTCGGGAGAGACTTGGCCCAGTCGGCCGGGAGCTTACCGGACATGATGGAGTCGAGTTCAGCGGCGTCTTCCGGGTACTTGCTCTTGTAGGTCGCCCACTTGGCGTTCCACTCAGCTTCGGCGGCGGCGCCCTTTTCGGTGCAGTCCATGGCCTTGGCGACGGCTTCCGGCACTTCGAACTCGCCGTACTTCCACTTCAAGTTCTCGCGGGTGGCGGCAGTTTCATCCTTACCGAGCGGCGCGCCGTGCACGTCGTGGGTGTTGGACTTGTTCGGGGAACCGTAGCCGATGAGCGTCGTCACCTTGATGAGGGACGGGCGCGGGTCAGCCTTGGCGGCGTTCACCGCGGCGCGGATGGCGTCAACGTCCGTGTTACCGTTTTGGACGTGTTGCGTGTGCCAGCCGTACGCGTCGAAGCGGGCTTGGACATCTTCCGTGAAGGAGATGTCGGTGTGGCCGTCGATGGAGATGTGGTTGTCATCGTAGAAGACGATGAGCTTGCCGAGGCCCCAGTGACCGGCGAGGGAGGCGCCTTCGCCAGACATGCCTTCCATGTTGCAACCGTCGCCCATGATACAGTAGGTGTAGTGATCGACAATCTCGCAGTCCGGCTTGTTGAAGCGACCGGCGAGGTGCTTTTCGACCATCGCGAGACCGACGGCGTTACAGATGCCCATACCGAGCGGACCCGTGGTGACTTCGATACCGTCGGTGATGAAGTTCTCCGGGTGACCCGGGGTCTTGGAGTCCCACTGGCGGAACTGCTTGATGTCTTCAATCTGCGTTCGCGTAAAAGTCACATTAACGTCAGTCGTCTCGCTCTTTTGATCCACTCCTCGCGTTCCGCGGGCCCGTCCTCCGGCGTCCCAGAACCAGGGCTTATCCAACTCTCCTCGATCGCGCGTTCTCTCTCGAGTCTTCTCGCGTGCGCACGCACCGAAACGCTCGGGTAACCGGTCAAGTGGAGCAATGAATAATGCAACATGCACCCGTGTCCCGCGGACAACACGAATCGATCGCGGTTGAACCACTTGGTGTTCTTCGGGTTGTGCGTCATCGCCTCGCGGTAAATCACGTAGCCCATCGGCGCGCAACCCATCGGGAGACCCGGGTGACCGGAGTTGCTCTTGTTGATCGCATCGATCGCCAAGAAACGAATGGTATTGATCGAATCGTTCACCGTCTCCGTGGAGACCCCGGCCGGGGCGGCGACCGCGGCCTTGGTGACCACGCGCGCGGAGCGAGCGGCTCGACGGGAGTGAACCTTCGCGTTGAGCTTAGCTCGGAGGGCGACCAGCGCCGGGGCTTGAGCGAGTTGGGAGGACATCGTGGGGATTACGAACGACGAATTCACCGCTCGCGAGGTGCGGGAGTGTGCGGGGCGCGTTCGCGCGCGAGCGATGGACACCTCACCCCGCGAGACGGCGATCACGACGACCCCAGAGGGTGCGGATGAGATCCCTCGGGGGTAAAAACTTGAGTCCTCACCCCTCGGGTGGTGGGGGTCCGTCCGTCCGTCCGTCCTCGCCAGGGTCGTGACGTCGCGCGTCGATGCGTTGGGGACGTGTGCGTCATATGTACGTACAGTGGTATGCTTTTATGCTATCATTAAATGCTATAAATGAAGTCCCCGCACCGACGAGTCGTGATCGACGAGGACCCCCTAAGACACGCGCGAGCGATCGGCATCACGTCGCGATGTGGGCGCTGCCCTTTGGCGCCCACCCGACGGGTCGCTTCTCCGACGCCGAGTACGCGTCGCGAGCGTTGACGCGCGTCATAAAGGTCTCGAAAGAGACGTATTTAGGTGCCCAACCGAGCGCCGTTCGCGTTCGGTCGTTGGACATGACGCGACCGATCGGGCCCTCGGTTTTGGTGAACGACGGCGCGCGCGCGTCGGCGCCGTACGCGCCGCTCTCGACGGCGACGCGAGCGATATCGCCTCGCGTGATCGGAACCCCATCCGTACCGAGGTACACCGCAGACTTCGACCCGTTGTTCATCGCGGCGACGCACAGATCGGCGGCGTCCTCGTAGTGGATCAAGTTCACCAACGCGTCGGCGCGAGAGTCGATCGAAGGCGTCTTGATGAAGTACTTGTGCGCCCCGCGGTCCGAGTGGTACAGACCGGCCAATCGGCAAACAACCCCGCCCGCGTCGAGAACGATGCGCTCTGCCTTGAGCAAGCGATCGACTCGCGGGTTCGTTCCTAAATCGTACGTTTCGCTATCCTCATCGCACGCGTCGCCGCTCTCGTTTTTGTACACCGCGCTCGAGCTCGTAAACGCAAACGCCCCTCCGCCGTTCCAATACCTCAGCGCCGCCTCTACCTCACCCGCGTAATCGTCGCTCCCGCTCGGCGGTGCGCTGAAAATAACGTACGGGAACATCCTGTTCGCACTCGGCTCGTCGTCGTCGAAATCCTTCGTCCGAGGCGACACCCCGATGGACGTCAACCCGGCGTGCGCGTTCGTCGTGTTCGTCTGCCCGACAACGACCGCCCCTGGGTACTTCTCCAACCATACCCTCGCGATTCGCGAACCTAGAACCCCTGGACCGACGATGAGCAAGTCCCGGTCGTGCTCGCGAGCGCCCGGAGGGGTGAACGACGCGCACACGGCGGAAGATGTCGACGCCGCCGCCGCCGCCCTGAAACTCGGAAAGTGCTTTGAAGTGCACGAGCGCTTACGAATGCGCGAAGAGGTTTGGATGACGTTCGTAACGTGCGCGCGGGCGCTCATTAAGGCGTGCGACATGTCGTTCGACGATGGAGGTGAGCGGGCGAGAGTGACGGACGGTGCGTTGTATGCGCGTGACGTGAAAAGAGGGGCCTCCCAGACGTGAATTTACAGGCGCGAGCACTAATGAGAGCGGCGGCGACGGCTCGATCGGGAGCGTGCGATCGCGCGCACGCGTGGAGCGAATCCTAAAACTCTAATGGGTACCGTTTGCGAGCTTTTCGACCTTGGACCAGCGCTGCTGACGCTCTTTTTCGACCTCGGCAAGACGCTCCTTCTCGGCTAACCACTGCTCTCGACACTGGGCAAAGAGCTCGGGATCCATCTCTTGGAGCATCTTTCGGACGTTTATCGTGAGTCCACCGACAACGGGATTCCAGTGATCGGATGCGTTCTTTTCTAAGGCGCCGAAACAGACCGGAAGCAGCGCGTGTCGATGCTGCGCCATCAAGTTGACGATGTAGTCGTTGTTCCACAGGAAGAGCGCACGCTCGGCGACTTGGAAGTGCGTCGAGTTGATGCATAGCGATATCTGCTTGAAAAGCGGAATCATCACCGTCGCGAACTGCGCGCTCTGCGTGAGCTCTAACACCTCCTCCAATTCGCCTAGGGTGAGAACCTCCTTCTGGGAATTTGTCACCGGCCAGTACTTGAGCAAGCCACGAATGACGACGTCAGCCATGCGCGGATCCTTTTCTACAAATTGTGTCACGCAGTATACGAGCTGAGAGTGATACATTCCGACGCATTTCGGCTTATGCAATGGAAGCAAGGCGCGCTTGAGAAACGTTTTGTGCTCCTCCTTGAGCGGGAGCGCGAAACCGTTGATGATGGATCCTAAAATCTCGAGCAACTCCGCGATTCCGTTGTGCTTCTCCGTCTCGTAGATGAAACGGAAGAATATGTTGTTGATCGCTTGTCGGATGAACGGACGATGAATCATGAACTTGCCGTAGATTCTGTGAAGAATCGTTTTCAGGTAATCGCGCTCTCTCGGATCCTCGCTGTCGAACAAGTCGAGAAGCTTGAGCACGAAGAACTGACCAATGTACGGGTTGTCGTTCTTGATGTCCATGTCGTTTGACAGGACGTATCGAAGTAAGAGCTCGTACACGATCTGCAGATGCGGCCAGGCCGGCTCGAGGCTGGGTTCGTCTTCCTCTGGATCAAACATCCCGGCTTTCGCCAGCCCGGTCTGCTCAGAGCTCGACGGCGGGAGCGTGCGGAACAAATTCTGCGCCAACATGAAGTTGATGTGCTCAAGAACCTGATTGTTGAACCGTCCCGGCCCTTGATTGACGTAATCCACGATCTCTATCAACGTCTGTCGCTTGATCTCCTTCTCTCTCGTGTTCGTCGAGGGATCGGAGAAGTCAAAGGAATACGAGCACAACTGCAACTTCTTCACGAAGAGTCCCGGGCGCTCGCTCACGGGAACGTCTCGAAACAGAAACAGCGGCTTGCTCTTATCGTAAAGCGTCTCCATGCTCGGAATCGACCGTCCGCGCACAGACCCATCGCGATTTCCGCCTCCTATCCGTCCACTGAGCGCTCGAAACCCCCCGGCCGCGCTCGCCGCGGCGCCCGCCACGCGATTGAACATCGACCCATCCTCCCGCTTGGCGCCCTCCTTCGACGCCGCGCTCGCGCTCGACCCAGTCCGATCTCTCCCGCCATTCGCCGTCCCAGCCTCATCCGCGCTCGTCGCACCATCTCTCCCGCCCTCTCCGCTCGGCTTGTTCGCTTTCACTAACCCAAACTGCTTCTTTACGTTTTTCAACATGTCGTCTCGCCCCCGAGCGAGGATCGGCGCTCGATCTCACGCGTCCAACGCACCCCTCCGAGCGCGCGCGCGATCTCTCCACCCGGTCGTCCGCGCGCGCGACGACGACCACCCCTCACGTCGTCCCTCACCCCGCGTGCGCCCGCGCCGACCTCCACGCGCGTGGTCTCGCGTCGCCAATCCGTCGCGTCCTCGATCGCGTCCACGATGCTCTCGCACTGAATCCCCAACGTCCCGCGATCGCCCGCCCCCCGATCGCCCGCCCGTCGCCGCCGTCGTCGACCCGCCCTCGACCGACGCTCGACGCGCGCGCCCGTCTCGCTCGACGCGCGCGCCCGTCTCGCTCGCGCGTCGCGTCGCGGCGCGTCAACCGTCGGCGCGCGGGCGTCGGGTGATTTTTGCACCGAGCTTAGGGTTGAGAACATCACCCCGCGCGAGGGTTTATCCGAGCGTCGCACGCGCGCGTCGATCGTGCGACGCGCGTGAATGTACGGCGATCGATCCAAGGGTGAGGGAAAATAGCGTCCCGCGCGGGCGAGGCGAATCGCCGCGCGAGGAGGCGAACGGGCGCCGGGACGCGCGCGCGACGGACGACGACGCGCGCGCGATAAAGGGCGCGGGACGGAGGGGCGCGAGTGAAAGGTGGTATTTTTACCGATCGATCGCGCCGGGTCGAGGGCCGAGGGCGGAGGGCGGGCGAGCACGCGCGCGCGGGAGAGGGATTCGGGAGGATGATTGATATTTTTAGCGATGACGGGACGGCGGACGATGGACGACGGATGCGCGGGACGGCGCGCGCGCGCTCGCCCGTGGATGCGCGCATGTTTGATGAGACGTACGACGGCGTCGAGGAGGACGGGCGAGAGGACGGTGACGGTGGGGGGGGGTGCGAGGCGCGGCGACTTCGGATGCGGAGCTTTGAGAACACGCTCGCGACGCTGTGCGAGGGATTCGTGGACGAGTGCGAGCGGGTCCGACGATGGGAAGTCATGCGCGATCGAGGAGTGATAGTGGTTGATCGAGAGAGGATGCGCGTCGATGCAGATGCCACGGGGCCGGTGAACGCGTCCGCGCGAGAACGGTGCAAGAAGACGAGCGCGGCGCGAGACGAGACGCTAAGGGTGACTCTGAAGACGAGCGAGGAAAAGCTGGACGATGGATTTCGATGGCGAAAATATGGAAATAAAATGCTAAGCGGTCAGCCGCACCCGCGGGCGTATTACAAGTGTACGAGCGGATGCGGAAAGGGATTCTTGCAAAAGCACGTAGAAAGAATCGCGAGCAAAGGAAGAGAGAAGCACCTCTTCTTGGTGACGTATTACGGTCGCTCTCCAGGTTGCGAACAAACGGAGGAACTCTTGGAGGAGTTGTACGAAAACTTTCGCGCGCGCGCGCGATCCGGAGGCGAAAATTTGGTCGACTCGGTACAGATGACGCGACGCAAGTGCTGAGAAATTTGTGATCGATCTGATGTTTCGACTACAATTCAACGGAAACAATAATCGCCGTCTCAATCCTTTTTCTTTACCAACGGCTGCCGCCTCGAGACGGTGGACGGTCGTCTCGACGAGGAGGACGGTATTTACCGTCGTCGTCACCAGATCTAGACGGCGGACGATCGCCGAAGCCACCAGGGCCTCGGGACGGCGGACGATCCTCGAAACCTCGAGAGGGCGGACGGTCGCCGCCACCGCCGCCGCCACGTTCCCATCTACCGCCCGAGGGCTCGCGTCGATCACCGAAACCACCACCACCGCGATCACCGCCGCCACTCCACCGGTCGCCGCCGCCGCGGCCACCGTCGCGGTCGCCGCCGCGCGATGGCTCCCATCGGCTGCCGCCTCGGGGTGGTTCCTCGCGGCGGCGGTCGTCGGAACGATCGCCGAATGCAGCGCTAGCGAATGCGCCCCAACGGTCGTCGCCGCGCGGTTGTTCTTTGGCTCTTCTCGCCGCTTCCTCTTCTTCTTGCTGACGGCGCTTTTCAGCTTGCGCGGCGCGATCGGCTTCGCGCTTTTCGTGCTTGATCGCCGCTTCAATGTCTTGGAGACGCTTGATGTAATCCTTCTTCGCTTGGAGCAGACGCGCGGCTTCCTTTTGCTTCTTCGCCTTCTCGAGTTTTACCAAGTGTTCTTGCTCGCGTGCGGCGAATTCTTCGGCACGGCGAAGCATGATGGCGCGAGCAAACTCAGCTCGAGAGGTGGACATGCGCGCAAGGCGCTGCTTCTCCACCACTTCTGCCTCCCACTTGGCGCGATGCTTCGCCGCCATGGCAACTTGCTGGTCGGCGTGGTACTTCTCATCGTCAACAGAGCGCTCGTTGTACGCCTTTTCGATAAGAGGAATACTCTCTTCTCGTTTCGCACGCTCCACGTGATCCATGCGCTTGGCGAGGGCGTTGAGCGCACGTTCTTGCTCTTGGCGAGCCTTGATCTGCTCTTGGATGGCCTCTTGCATAATGGCGCGTTTGTCCAAGACGACGCCATCCTCGAGAGTGGTCGTCATTTTCTTGCCAGTACGTTTGGCTTGCTCGGCGAGCAGTTCGAGTGCCTCTTGCTTCTCCTTCTCTTCCATCTCGGCACGAATTCTCGCCTCTTCCCGAGTGCGAGCTTCCTGCTCGAGGCGCTTGGCTTCGTTAGCTTCGTGCTTGCGCTGCGCAGCGAGTCGTGCCGCTTCTTCAGCTTTCTCTTTCTCAGCAGCGGCACGCTCAGCCTCCTCCTTACGGCGCTCGATGACAACCTTGCGCGCCAAGGCACGCTTGTGCTCAGCCTCCACAGCGGCGCGGAGCTCAGTGCCGAGAACCCGGGCACCGGTCGCAGGCGTCTTCGGCGCGATCTTGCTCATACCCTCTTGCAAGAGACGAGCAGCACGCGTGAGATGCGTCTTGATAAATCCAGTCTCGAGGCGATCACCCACGAAGTGCATCGATCCTGATGCGTGATCAATCTTCACCGCAATGTAGTCGTTGCGGATGGCTTGCACGAGAATGCGCTCAACCTCGTGGTACGGCATGAACGGCACCGACGACTTGAGGGAATCGATCTTCATAGATTGGAAGACCTTGGATTGCTGGTGTACCATGCGAACGATGCCGAGCGCTCGAAGGCGCGGCAAGAAGGAGTTGAAGTTGAAGGACGAAACCGGCGATGCCTCGCTGACTTCAATCTGCGTGCCTTCAAGGATGTTGAACAAAGCATCGGCGCGCTTGCACAAATCGAGCGGGGAGAAGCTTTGCTCCATGAGCGCGTACAAATTTTTGACATCGTCGTCAACCTTGTTGAGCAAGCCACTGCGCTTAATCTCAGCCACCAAAAGGTCGCGGGACAACACGTCATCGACATTGCGGTTGCTGTCGACGAAATAGCCAAGGAGACTTGCCATACGAGAATCACGGTCGAGCTGCTGTTCGCTATCGAGTTCACCGAACATGGACTTTTCCTTGTAAGGCGTGATCGACATCGCGGCCAAGACGACGCCAGAGGCCAGAGCGCGCTCGTCCTCGGGCGTCAAGCTTCGGTTGTACATCTTGCTCACCGAGTACAACTTCATCCAGGCGTACGCCGCGTGGAGGTAGTTCTTACCGACCCAGAAGATCTCCGTCAACTTGGCAAAGTAGAGCGCCATCATTTGTGGCTTAGGCGACCGACGAAGCATGAGCATCAATCCGTGAATGTCTTCAACCGAACGGAATGCCTCTTGCCACATTTCAAGCGTCGTCGCCGCCTTGAGCTGCTCAAAGCGCACCTCCATGTACAGGCTCTGCGTTTCCGGCAGCGTCAGGTCCGGTCGATCGCGCATGTCCTTGTACTTAATCATGTTGTTCAAGTGCGATCGGAGCAAATCGCACACGCGCCTAAACTCGGTCGTGCGCTTGTGCTTCAAGCAAAAGTTGAGCGCATCCTTCACAACCATGGCGTACAGCGCCTCGAGCTTGTTGTTGTTCCGCAAAATGTCGAGCAAGTTGCGGTAGGTCTCCCACAAAAACTTGAACCACGGTGTGACGACTTCCGCAGCCGTCGGTTCAGCCTCGTGGTCGAGCTCGTACGCCTTCATCAATAGCGCCTCGGGCGTGAACTCTGACTCGAGATCGACCCCAGCGTCGAGCGTCGAGCCAAACTCCTCCTGCGCGGACTCCGCCTTCTCCGTCGAAAGCTTCAAGAACCGCTTGACCACCTCCTCCAACGACTGTACGTTTACCAAAAGGCACGTATTCCTGTACTGCATCAACCCATCCTTACACAATCGCCCCTTCTTAAGCTCCACGCACAGCTCGACGTACTTGAACATGACCTCCTCCAGCACCTTGGTCCACGTCCGGTTTCGCCGATTCGTCACAATCTCGTGCAACGCCTGCAGCGCCGCCTGCTTCTGCCCGACATTGATCAGCTCCTCCTACGACGCGTCGAAAACAAACGCACATCCCCATTCGTCAGTCTCTCGTCTCTCTCGCTTCGCCCGTCTTCGCGCGACCCTCGTCCCGTCGCCCTCGTCCGCCCCCACCGCATCCGTCTCCCCGTCGCGGCCGTCATCCAACGACGCCGCGACGGACGACATCCCCACCCGTGCCATCGGTGACCATCGCGCGCGTCGTCATCGGCATCGTCGCCACCGCGTCGGACGATCGCGTCGTCGCGATGGGAAAACCTCAGATCCCCATCGCTCGCCCAGTCATTCGCATCCATCGTCTCCCGCGCGTCGTCGACGCACCGCGCGCTTGATCGCGTTCTCCGGTCGCGCAAAGTTCCCGACGTATCGCGACATCGCCCCCGCGCGCGTCGTCGTCTCGCCCGTCGCGGGCGATCGCGCAGCCGCCGGGTTTTGGTCGGCGCGATCTCGATTTTTATCGTGCGTCAACCCTAGAATACAATACGTCGAGCACACCCATCTCGACGACCCCGGATGGGACGCATCATGGGTGTCACGCACGGCCTTGGAAAACTTTATATATATATCGCCCCTGTCGAGGCGTCCCTCGGAGACCGACGGGTCATGAACGGTCACATATCACAACACATCGTGTCTTCGAGCACGCTCGGATCGTGACTCGTGACACCGCATCGACGACCGGGTGTTCATTACACCTCGTGAAAATTCGTGAAAACCGCCCAGGGCCGTCGCGAGGTGCGCTCGACGACGCGCGGGAGACGCCACCGCGCGCGGCGAAATGGACGCAGCGACGACGACGCGACGCGAGCGCGCGCTCTCGGACGCGTGCTTGGACCAGAGCGCGGCGTGGGCGCTGGGGGTGCGCCGCGTGGTGGGCGATGGGGGCGGGGAGGGCGCGACGATGGAGACGACGACGCGAGCGATCGCGCGCGTGGTGATCGACGCGAGCGCGTCGCGGGCGCGGACGAGTCACACCGGGTTTTCGACCACGATGCGCGCGCGGGAGAAATCGCTGAGCGAGGTGGATGCGGATGGGTGGATTTTGAACTCGGTCGAGGAGGAACCGACGGGGTCCGAGACGAGCGGGCGCGCGGAACGCGAGCCGTCGACGGAGGAAGAGAAGAGAGAGCGCAGGATGCAAGCGAATCGTTTGTCGGCGGCGAAATCGAGGATGAAGAAGATGCGAAGGGTGGTGGAACTCGAGCATGCGTGCGATATAAAGGCTGCGAACGTGAACGCCCTGAGAACGGCGGTGGAGACGCTAAAGACGCAGCTCGCCGAGTTAAAAGCGCGAAACGCCGAGCTGAGATTGATGGATTCGGCGAGCTCGATGATTTCAGAGGGGGTTGGAATGCGATCGAGCGCATCGATGGATCTTCTCACAGCGATAAGCGACGTGCCGACGCCGTCGGCGGAGATGCGCATCGACGAGAAGGATTTCGCCGACGTGGACTCACCGATGGTGACGAGTAGACTAGAGCGCACGGAGTCGATCGAGCGCGTGTTCAACAGCGAGGAATTCTTCTCGAGCCCGCCTCCGAAGAGCAGCTCTTCGATACATCCGTGACGCAATACCATAATATCCATCTTCCGCTTTGTAATACTGTATCAACACAATGCGCGCTCCGGTCCGAGGCGTCCTCCACTCCTCGACATGGGCGAGGTGGACAAGACCGAGGTCTACCTCCGGTACCTCCCTCGAAGCGCCACGGAGGAACAGATCAGGGAATTAGTGAAAGGATGCGGAACGATCAAACGGGTTTGGATCGGTAAGGACAGGGACACCGGCGAGTGCAAGGGATTCGCCTTTGTCAACTTCTCAAAGAACAGAGAGGCTCGGGAGTGCGTATTACGATGTAACGAGCACCCGAGGAACTACCTGGACGGGAAACACGTCGTTTTCGAACACGCCAAGGCGTGGGAGGGTAACACGAAACCGGAGAAGTCGAGCGAGCGCGACGGAGGCGGAGGCGGAGGCAGAGGCGGCGGCTCGCGCGCGAGCGGAGGCAGAGGCGACGCGAAATCGAGCGAGAACGGGAACAAGGTTCACGATGGGAAGGTTCGCAAAAAGGTGCACTCGAAGAATCGCTTAGGGGCGAAGGCGAGGCAGAGGGCGAAGAAGCGCGCGGCGAAGGAGGCGGCGGGCGGCGGCGACGTGCGCCCAAACGAACATTCGCTCGCGGTCGCCGCCCCGAAGTCAACGAGTGTACGCGTGTTGTAAATGAGTAGACGTTTCTATTGAATCTCTCGCTTCGCGGCGGCGGCGTCAACGATTGCCTTCGATCCGAGCGCTCGAAGAGCCAAAGCCTCAGACCGCGTCGCTCGGGACTCGATTGAAATCGCTCGCGATGGGGATCTTGGAGAAAATCAAGGACATCGAGCTGGAGATGAGCCGTACGCAGAAGAATAAGGTGCGCTCGAGCGCTTGAGCGCCCGTAAACGCGCACTGACTTTGATTGTTTGTCAACCGCAGGCCACTGAGGGTCACCTGGGAATCTTAAAGAGCAAGCTCGCCAAGCTTCGAACGGAGCTCCTGAACCCGCCGAAAGCGGCAGGGGGTCCGGGTGAGGGCTTTGATGTCGTCAAGTACGGTCACGGACGCGTGGCGCTGATAGGTTTTCCGTCGGTGGGGAAATCAACGCTTCTGAGCCAATTGACAGGGACGGAGAGCGAGGCTGCGGCGTACGAGTTCACAACGCTCACGTGCATTCCAGGGGTGATACATTACAACGACGCGAAGATACAACTGTTAGATTTACCCGGGATCATCGAGGGCGCTTCGGAGGGTAAGGGTCGAGGCCGTCAGGTCATCGCCGTGGCGAAATCGAGCGACTTGATTTTGATGGTGCTCGACGCGTGCAAGAGTGAGGCGGCGAATTCGCGATACGCGCACAAAGATATACTCACACGGGAATTAGAGGCGGTGGGACTGAGATTGAATCAAAAGCCGCCGGGGATTTATTGGAAGAAGAAAAAGGCGGGAGGGGTGCAGGTGAACAGCGTTGTCCCAGGCGGGTTGACAAAGATTGATGAAAGGACGGTGATAAAAGTCTTGCAGGAGTACAAGATTCATCACGCCGAGGTACTGTTTCGCGAAGATTGCACCGTCGATCAATTGATCGACGTCCTTGAGGGGAACAGAAAGTACGTTCGGTGCCTTTACGTGTACAACAAGTGCGATGCGCTCACCATCGAGGAGGTGAACAATCTTGCGAGACGACCCGACTCTGTGTGCATCTCTTGCTATATGAACCTCGGGATGGAGTACTTACTGAAGCGCGTGTGGGACGCTATGGGACTCGTTCGCGTGTACACGAAAAAAATGGGCGAGAAGGCTGATTTTGAGGAGCCCGTCGTCCTGAGCGATGCCCGCGGCGGCATCTCCGTGAAACACTTCTGCTCGCAGCTCCACGCCGACCTCCCCGATCAGCTCAAGTACGCCCTCGTCTGGGGCACGAGTCCGAAGCACATGGGCCAGAGATGCGGGCTGAAGCACCGTCTTGACGACGAAGACGTCGTGCAAATCGTCAAGAGCGATCTTCATCTGAACGAGGGGGTCGGTCGTTTCAGCACCAAGAAGCGAAACGACCCGGCGCGCATCCAGGACCGAGTCAAGAAGGAAAAGCTCAAGACGTAACGACTAAAAGCTGAGCACCAGATCCTAGAGGTCGACTCGATCGCGTCCATCGAGACGCGTGTAACATCATTAGCCTCAGTAGCGACTCGTTTCGTCTTCCCGTCGGCGCGCCTATTTCAAACTCTGTCCCATCGCTCGAGTCATGATTCGTCGATACCCTCAAGTCAACCCATCGGCTCGGCTCGAGCGTCACGACGCGACGCACGCTCGTCGTCCGCACCTCGCGCGAGCCCTCACGGCGTCCCGCTCGAGTCCATCGCGGTGAAGATGAGCGCCGACGCGAACGCGAACGTGGACGAACACATCGATCCCGAGGACGAGATCGCGTTCGAAGACGCGGGAGACGATGACCGGGACACGGCGAACGGGACGCCGACGAGCGACTACGACTCCGACGCGGATTACGCCGCGGATGAGGTGCGTTGGGAGGTCACCGACGGTGATTTCCGTCGCGTGCCGGCGTGAAGGGGCGATCGTCGCGGTGATGGTGACGGAGAGCGCGCGATCTGAGACGAGAGACCCTTTTGAAATCTCCGAGAGCGCGGGGCGTCGGTTTCGCGAGAGAGATGGAGCGAAAAGGAACGAAGACTGACGGTAAGGCGATCGCGTCGCGCGCGTAGGATCATCCGATGTCGCCCGGGGTGAAGGAAGTGGCCAAGGCGGAGCGAGAGCGCTTACGAGCGCTCAAGCGAGAGCAGCAGGCGGAGCTCGAGCGGGTTCGTGAGGATCAGAACAAGGCGATCGCACAGGATAGCAAGGCTGGGAAGTGGAAGTACCTGCTGGCGCAGACCGAGGTGTTCGCACATTTCTTGTCGGGGACTAAGGCGGCGAAGGAAGCGGCGAACAAGGGGAAGCGTGGTAAAAACAAGAGCCACGCTGCGGAGGAGTCGGAGGACGCTGAGCTTGTTGAACACGCAGAGGATTACCAAGCGGTTCGTTTGACGGTGCAGCCGAGCTGCATCAAGTTTGGTAAGATGCGAGAGTACCAGCTCGCCGGTCTCAACTGGATGATTCGTCTGTTCGACCACGGGATCAACGGCATCTTGGCTGACGAAATGGGTCTCGGTAAGACGCTGCAAACGATTTCTCTTCTCGGTTACCTGCACGAGTATCGTGGCATCACCGGACCTCATATGGTCGTTGTCCCTAAATCCACGCTTGGCAACTGGATGAACGAGTTCAAGCGCTGGTGCCCGGTGATTCGTACTTTCAAGTTTCACGGGAACGCCGAGGAGCGCGAGGCGCTCAAGGCCAAGTACTTGGTTCCAGGTGGTTTCGACGTGTGCGTGACTTCTTATGAGATGGTCATCAAGGAAAAGAACGCCCTTAAAAGGTTCCACTGGAGATACATCATCATCGACGAGGCTCACCGCCTGAAGAACGAAAACTCGCGCCTCTCCCTCGTCCTCCGAACCATGAGCGCGAACAACCGAATGCTCATCACGGGTACGCCGCTTCAGAACAACCTCCATGAGCTGTGGGCTCTGCTCAACTTCTTGCTTCCAGAGGTGTTCGGTAACGCCGGGCAGTTCGAAGAGTGGTTTGGTAACGTTGAGGATGGCGAGGAAGGTGGATCTGACGCCGTTGTACAGCAACTTCATAAGGTTCTGCGACCCTTCTTGCTGCGACGACTCAAGACCGAGGTTGAGACCAGTCTGCCGCCAAAAAAGGAAACGATTCTCAAGATTGGGATGACTGAGATGCAAAAGACGTTCTACAAGCGCATTTTACAGAAGGACATCGATATCGTAAACAGTGGCGCCGACAGATCTCGCCTCCTGAATATCGTCATGCAGCTCAGAAAGTGCTGCAACCACCCGTACTTGTTCCAAGGCGCCGAGCCCGGCCCGCCGTACATCACGGGTGATCACCTAATCGAGAGCTCTGGTAAGCTCGCGCTTTTGGACAAGCTTCTTCCTCGTCTAATGGAACGTGGCAGCCGAGTTTTGATTTTCTCTCAGATGACTCGTTTGCTTGACATTTTGGAAGACTACATGATGTACCGCAGATATCAATACTGCCGCATTGATGGGAGCACCGACGGCGAGACTCGGGAAAATCACATCGACGCCTTCAACAAGGAAGGTTCTGAGAAGTTTGCGTTCTTGCTTTCGACGCGTGCCGGGGGCTTGGGTATCAACCTTGCGACCGCCGATACCGTCATCATCTACGATAGCGACTGGAACCCGCAAATGGATCTTCAAGCGATGGATCGTGCGCACCGCATCGGTCAGAAGAAGGAGGTACAAGTGTTCCGCTTCTGTACCGATGGTTCCGTTGAGGAGAAGGTGATCGAGAAGGCGTACAAGAAGCTCGCACTCGATGCTCTCGTCATTCAGCAAGGTCGACTGCAAGAAAACAAGAAGAATCTCGGTAAGGATGAACTCCTGTCCATGGTTCGATTCGGCGCTGAAAAGATTTTTGACTCGTCCAGTACCGCCGTCACTGAAGAAGACATCGACGCCATCATGGCTCGTGGTGAGGAAGAGACGAAGGCTCTTAACAGCAAGATGCAAGGTTTCACGGAGAAGGCAATCCAGTTCTCTATGGGTGCTGAGAACTCGCTGTACGAGTTTGCAGACGAAGAAGACAAGCCAGCTGCGCTGCCAGAGGGCATCGACATGAAGACAATCATTAGTAGCAACTGGATCGATCCGCCGAAGCGCGAACGCAAGAAGAACTATAACGAAACTGATTACTACCGCAACGCGATGGCTCAATCCGCTCGCCCAGCGAAGGCTGCCGGACCCAAGATTGCCAAGCTGCAGCAAATGAACGATTTCCAATTCTACAACACGTCGCGCATCCAAGAAATCTATGACAAGGATGTCAGACGCAAGACGTACGAGTGGAACAAGGAAAACGAGAAGAAGAAAGATGATCAGGAAGCTCCAGTCGAGGAGAAAGAAGAGCCCAACGCTCCTCAGCCAATCACGGACGAAGAGAAGGCCGAGATGGACACCTTGCTGAACCAAGGTTTCACGGAGTGGAGTCGACGAGATTTCCAGGCTTTCTGCCGCCTCAGTGAAAAGTACGGTCGCGATTCGTTGGACTCCATCGCGAGCGAGCTGGAAGGAAAGACGTTGAAGGAAGTCAAGGATTACGCCGCCGTGTTCTGGCAACGTTATAAGGAAGTCGCCGATCACCAGCGCATCATCAGTAACATCGAAAAGGGTGAGCAAAAGATCCAGCGTCAGCACGACATGCTCAAGGCTGTGCGCGAAAAGATCGCCATGTACAAGAACCCTTGGCGTGAGCTCAAGATAACGTACGGTCCGAACAAGTTCAAGTCGTTCACTGAGGAGGAAGACAGGTTCTTGTTGTGCTCCATCCCAGAGGTGGGTTTCGGCAACTGGGACGAACTCAAGGCACAAATTCGCCAACATTGGCAGTTCCGCTTTGATTGGTTCATCAAGAGTCGAACGCCGAAGGAGCTCGGGCGCCGCGTCGAGACGTTGATTTCGCTCATAGAGAAAGAGAGCACGCAAACAGACAAGAAGCGCGACGCAGACACGGAGGCCAACGACGATGACTCGGCGAAAAAGCCGAAGACTGAAATCGAAGCGTAGAAGAGTATAGACTCATTTCCTTTTAATTGAGAGAAGTTACACATTGTTGTCATAAAAAACCTTGCTCATCGAGAAATGGCGTTGGACGTGGGGGTCATGAAGTCGTCGGCTTCGACCGCAGTTAGAACACCGCCTCGTGGCGAGACAAGCTTTGCGATTGGCGACGAGACGCTCTTTTCAAAAGTCAAGCATTCACCGAATTCGATCGATCTCTCGGTACCGATGACCTTCGTCGCGGGTGTGGACGCTGTACGGCTGGCGTGCACCAGATCGGTGGCTTTTTGCATGACCTTCGCGGCGCGTTGAGCGCCGGTGTTGGTCAGCTTGCCGAGCGCCGCTCGCGTGGGCGTTGTCGGTCGGTATGGCGAAGCGATCGGCTTGACGTGCGTTACCTTTTGAAAACGCTCGTTCTTCGTCGCCGCAACGAATTTTCCGCAGTTCGCGAGCATCAAAAGTCGTGTAGAGTCAGCCACGGCGAGTCGAGGATTGTACTCCCACTCGCACTCCTCCAGGCGCACCTCGTCGTGCTTCTTCTCCTCGCGTGGAGCCTCAGGCGGGATCACCTCGATCGTCACCTCGTTGTCCATGTCCGCTACGAGTCCGATGACCTCGGCTAAGAAGTCCTGCGGAGTCTTCTCCCGATACGTCACCAATTCGTCCCGCCACTTGCGAACCACCAACTGATGTCTCTCGGTGACTTCTTGCAAGTCACTCTTGAGCACCGTCACCGAGTCCCTCAACTCTGTGTTCTCGACGCGCATATTCGACTTTGCTCGCTCCATCTCCTCTAAAACACGTTCGATCGCGTTCTTCTCTCGCATCGCGCTCTCCAATCGCTCCTCCGCCAGGCGCGCTTTATCCGCCATGTCTTTCAGCATGTCCTCCAAGCCCGCCACGCGCGCCGACGACGCCGCGTTGCGCGCCTCCTCGTCGAACATCGACGCCCCCGTTCGCGATCTTCGTCCATTGCCTCTATTTTTCTTCACGTTGATCACCACCGTGCCCACCGCCGCGGCGCCGAGGACGAAGACGGCCACCATGACGTTTGAGCGATGCACCAGGGGAACGAGGACACGAACCGTCGGAAATCGCAGAAACCGTCCCCCACGCGCACCGCGTCTCACTCGCGGACGATTGTGACTGCTCGGTTCGGATGCGAGATCGCACGTCGTCGTCGCCGTCGCGGTCGTCGACCGGCGTCGCGCGCGCGACCGCGGGTGCGGCGCGCGGGGCGTCGCCACGCCGGTCCGGTGATTTTGCATCAGCGCCCCACTGGTTTGTGTCATTGAGACGACGCGCGGACACGCCGCCGAGCGACACGCGCCCCGCGGTCGTCGTCGCGCGCCCATGGGGGCGCCTCGCTCCCCCGGGGGGGCGCGCGCGAGCGATGACGACGCGCGTGGTCGTCCGAGCGCCCCGGATGAGCTGAAGAATTACGAGAAACTGGGTCGAATCGGTGAAGGGACGTACGGTGTGGTGTACAAGGCGCGATGCCGAGCGACGAACGAAATCGTCGCCTTGAAGCGCGTTCGGATGGATCGCGAGCGGGACGGGATGCCGCTCACGTCGTTGCGTGAGATTAAAATATTACAGCGGTGCGCGCACGAGAACGTGATCTCGCTGAAGCGGGTGATTCAGGGAGAGACGCCGTCCAACGTATTCTTAGTGTTCGAGTACTGCGAGCACGAAATGGCGCGGTTGATAGATTTCGTCAAGACGAAGTTCACGACGAGCGAGGTGAAATCGTTGATGATGCAAACGTTGCGGGCGGTGGAGTACTTGCACGAGAGAAAGGTGTTTCACAGGGATTTGAAGCTGAGTAATTTGTTGCTGAACCAACGCGGGGAGTTGAAGCTGTGCGACTTTGGCTTGGCGCGGACGTATGATCCGATCGAGGCGGGGATTTACACGCCCAAGGTGGTGACGCTTTGGTATCGAGCGCCCGAGCTCTTGTTCGGCGAGGAGCAGTACACGGCGGCGATAGACATGTGGTCGTGCGGGTGCGTGTTTGCCGAGTTTCTGAAGCACGCGCCGCTGTTCCCAGCGTCGACGGAGATCGAGCTCATGCAGATGATTTGCGCGTTGCTGGGTAATCCGAACTCAAACATTTGGCCGGGATGGGATTCTCTTCCACACGCGAAAAGTTTCAAATTTCCAGAGCAGCCGTATAACTTTTTGGAGCTCAACTTTCCGTCGCTCTCTCCCGCGGGCGTGGATCTGCTCGACGGCTTGCTAACGTACGATCCAGGGAAACGACTCACGGCGAAGGAGGCACTGGCACACGAGTACTTCAAAGAGATGCCACCTCCGAAGTCGCCGGCGGAGATGCCGACGTTTCCGAGCACGCACAACACGAGCTCGTCGCGCTCCCGTCGCGCTGCCGAAGACAATGATCGCAGCAAGCGCCAGCGCGGCGCGTTGGACGATCGCATCGCCGCCGTCTTTTAGAGAATCAGTTTGTATTGAGATTAGGAATAGTATAGTAGCGACATGCGTACATCTGTTATTTCACATCATGGTGTTTATGCGATCGCGCTGCGTGCTTGAGTGTTTTCAAAAAAAAGCGTCTACGCCTTGTACCCGGAAGTCGTGATGCTGTCCGCGCTATTGGCGTCGCTCCAGAGGGTGTGATACCATCCCTCCATGTCGGTGCGTTCGTACGTGTGCGAACCAAAGAAGTCGCGCTGGCCTTGGACGAGGTTCGCCGGCGAACGCGCGCGGCGGTACGCATCAAAGTACGCCAGGGACCCGCTCATCGACGGCACGGCGACACCCGCGGCGATGGCGGACGTCACGACGCGTCGCCACGCGCCTTCGCGCTCGATCACCTCCTTGGCGAATTGCTCATCCATGAGAAGCGACGGAAGCTTGGCGTCGCGGTCGTAAGCGCTCTTGATGCGGTCCAAGAAGCCGGCGCGGATGATGCAACCACCCTTCCAGATGCGAGCCATCTCGCCAAGGTCCAGGTCCCATCCCTGCTCGTTCGATTTAGCGCGAATCAAGTTCATGCCTTGCGCGTAAGACATCACCTTGGAAGCGTACAACGCGTATCGAACGTCCTTGATGAGTTGCTTCTTATCGGCCGCGCCCATGGCGGTGGCGGGCGCCAAGCCGAGCTTGGCGTAAAACGCCTCGGCGGCGACGCGCTCATCCTTCAAACCGGACAAAAATCGAGCGTCGAGAGAGCTCGCGACGGTCGGTGCGGCGACGGACAACTCGGCGGCTTGTTGCACCGTCCACTTACCGGTGCCCTTCATCCCGGTTTTGTCCAAGATTTTGTCCACCAAGAAGCCGCTCGCGCCAGGCTGGTCATCCTTCTTGCCCAAGATTATGGATGAGATCTCGATGAGGTACGACTCGAGCTCAGCTTTGTTCCAGTCGTCGAACGCGGCCATGAGCTCTTCGTTGGTGAGACCGCCCACAGTTTTTAAAACGTCGTACGCCTCGGAGATCAACTGCATGTCGCCGTACTCGATGCCGTTGTGCACCATCTTTACGAAATTCCCGGCGCCGCCCGGACCGATGTAGGTCACGCACGCCCCCGAGTCCGTCTGCGCGCTCACCGGCTTTAAGATATCGGCGATGATATCGTACGCCTCTCTCGACCCCCCGGGCATCATGCTCGGTCCGTTGCGCGCGCCCTCCTCGCCGCCGCTCACGCCCATGCCGATGTACAGCAAGCCTTTCTCCGCGACCTCCCTCGCTCGTCGTTCCGTGTTCTCGTACCACTCGTTCCCGCCGTCAATGATACAATCACCCGGTTCGAGAAACTGCGACAATTTCTCAATCGTCGCGTCCACCGGCGCGCCGGCTTTCACTAAGATTATCACGCATCGCGGTTTCGCCAAGCTGTCCACGAAATCTCCCACGTCTTGATATCCTCGCAGCTTCTCTCCCAGGCCCTCCTTCTTCGCCCGCTCCACGCACGTCTCCGTCTTATCACCGCTTCGATTATACACGCTGATATCGAACCCTTTCGAGGCGACGTTCAGCGCTAAATTTTGTCCCATGACGGCCAATCCGCACAATCCGATCCTCGACTTTTTCAACGACCCGTGCTCGCGATCCGCGCTCGCGCGCGGTCGCACCACCGTCGCGCGCGCGCCGTCCCCCCCTTCTACGCGCGCGCGCGACGTCATCATCCCACGCGGTCGCGCGCTCGGTCGTCCACGCGCGAGCGACATCGTCTCGATCGACGCGACGTGCCCGCGTCGCGGCGTCCCGTCGCCAGCGCGGCGGCCGACGTCCGTGGACCCGGCGATGGGGTCGCGGCGACGCGCGTGCCCTCGGACTGTTCGCGCACACGCGTCCCGTGATCGAGCGGTGAGAGTCGTCTGTTCTCATTTTAGCACTCTTTTTTTCACTTTTTCACGCACGCTAAAAAATAGCCCCAAAATTAGAGAGTTTTAGCAATCTCTTCTTCAGCCTCAGCCTAATACTAAGCACGGTTTCTTCGCGCGTGGTGACGCGAAAGTCACCCCACGGCGCACATTTTTTGCACCCGACGTCGGTGGCGTCTTGGGTGAACAATAGGACTGCTTGAAATGCGTCCCAGGAATTTCCGGGTACGTCCCATGAGAGTTACAGCCTGAGGCTGAAGAAGAGATTGCTAAACACCCGAGTGTCACCCGCGAATCGCGCGCGCGCATCCCCTTCGCGCGTCGGGAGACACCGCGCGAGGACGGACGGGGCGCGGGCGACACCGCGCGGGCGATGGCTCGATCGCGCGCGCGCGCGGCGTGGGTGGTCGATCGCGACGCGTCGAGGTCGCGGTGGCGCATGCGCGCGCTCGGCGTCGCGCTAGCGCTGACGGCGATGGCGCGCGCGAGCTCGGGGGCGAGCGTGACCCCGAACGTGACCTCGCAGGTGCGAGATAGATTTGGAACGAACCCGGGCGGGCGGGCGGGGCACGCGGGGTGCGCGACGGCGGACGGGAGGGCGATCGTGGTGGGCGGGCGTTCGACGACGGGCGACCGGATGTACCTCGCCGACGTCTGGGAGTTGGATTTACGTCGAGTGAACTCGAGCACGACGGAGCGACGGATGGTGTGGACGATGTTACACGATGGGGTGTCTCCGGGGATGGTGCCGAGCGGACGGAGCGGGAGCGCGGCGGTGGTCGTGAGGGGCGACGTGTACGTCTTCGGCGGGTACTCGAGCGCTCTCAGAGGAGACTTGGACGACCTGTGGGTGTTCAATCGAACGTCAGGGAGTTGGAGCGAGTTATCGCCGGTGGACGGTTACAAACCACCGGGGCGGAGTGGGGCGAGCGTGAGCGCGCCCGAAGGCGAGGCGGGCGGAGCGCTCGTGGTATACGGCGGCAACGGGCGAAACGACGTGTGGGAGTACGACGTCGACGCGAATAGATGGACGATGATCAAGGAGAACACGGCTTCGTCGATGAGCGGGGTCGGGAGCGCGCGGATGGGAGCGACGGTCATCTTGGCGATTTTCGTGGCCTCGTTAGCGTAGTGCTGTACATCTTGTGTAAATCAGCGAGAATATTTCATTAAAACCGTCTCACTCCAGACCGAGCGCTCGCATCACCGCCCTCGTGTCCGTGAGATCGGGAAAAATTATAGGATCGTCTAGCTTGGAGCTCTCGACGAGCTGTTCGCGCGAAAATATACCCGTGAGCAGCCCGACGGCTGTCGCTCCAGAGCGTTCGGCTGCTTCGATGTCCTGTGGCGTGTCACCAAAGTGAAAACGCCGCGCGCTCGCGACGTCCAAGTCCACCAACTCACCCGCCCGCGTCGCCGCTAATTTTACCAGCTCACCGCGGTCGGTATGATCGCTCCCGAATCCACCGAATCGCGGCAGCGTGAAGTATTCGCTTACGCCAAGTCGCTCCATCTTTGCCCACGCGATCGGTTGTAAGTTTCCAGTCACCAGGCACACCACCACGTCCGTCCTCTCAGCGAGCTCTCTCAAGAGCTCAAGCACGCCCGGTAACAGCTCCAATCCGTCCGCCGCGTCCGCCTTTCGCTCTAACGCGTATTGCGACATCGCGTTGCAGTGCGTCGCCATGCGCTCTTGAATCGTCTCCTCATCCAATCCGTGATGTCGCATCACTGCCGCCGATATCAACATGTCCGTCGACCCTTGGTGCGAGACGACATCTATCGTGGTCTCTATCCCGTACACGGTGCGGAAGCCGTGTGCGAAGGCATCTTTGTGCAGTTTGTTTGCTCTGTCACCTACAGTGTGGATCAGCGTCCCGTCGACGTCGAACGTGCACAGCGTAGTCGGTCGCGCGGTTGAGCTCATGATCGCGAGTGAGGCCCTGGGTGAGTTAAATATCGAGCGCTGCGGGCGAGTGGTGACGAGGGATAGATTCGGATTGACGGCTGTTCGCATGCACGACGCGTGCCGGGGAGTGCGGAATATGCTCCGAGAGTTACACGAGTCGAGGCGAAGATCCGTAGAAGTCGGTCGCTCTAGCTTTTATTCTCGGCGATCATGAGAGAAAAGTCGACCTTTGCGTCGTCGGCCATAACTTCGAAGCGCAGACCGGTGGCGTGGAGCGCTTCGATGTAGGCGTCGCCACCGGCGACGCCTGGCGTGAGCACACCTCCCTTAAATGGAAGCTTTTCGCGGTACTCCGAGCAGAGAATGGCAAGTTCGATGGACATGTGCGCGGTCTCATCGTAGCCATCTTTACCGGTGAGACGTGTTCGGATTCTTTCTCCCGTGGCCGTGCACGCGTCGAACCAATACTCTGACCAAATTGATTCTCGTGCCTGCTCATCGAGACCTTGACCGAGTTTGAACAGACGTCCCTCCTTGCGGAGCTTTTCCTCCTCCGCCTTGGAGCTAGTGTTGGACTTTTGCAAGGCTTGAGCGGATTCTTCACTGGGCATGATGAGATGCTCGAGATAGTTGAGCTGGCGACCGTACGGGCTCATCCCGAGGTCACGCATGAGCCAGTTTGAGCGTCGCACCAATCGAGTCTCGTAAAAGGCGTACGTGAACGGTGCCTTCCACGCGTCGTACTCTTCATCGTACTCCACTTGACTCAGATTGCGATCGGCGTCTTCAGGTCGACGTCCACCGTCGATGGAGCCACCGAGAGCGAACGGATTGGCCATCAAACCGGCGACGTCCTTCATCGCGGCATTCATTGCAGCCCGCGTCGCAAGCGTCCCTCCAGAAGGCGCCCCGGCGGCGCTTCCGTAGAGATACATGTGCATCTTGCTCACAGACACTTCTTGGCTGAGTTTGTTCCGCAGTTCGCGGACCGTGTAATAGCACCCGACGTCTGGAATCCCGCCAGCGCCCGCAGAATTCGGAACGACGAGAACGCGATTCGCCTTTGCCCAATCGTGATACTTCAGAAGCTTTTTCGTGAACGGGACCTCTCCGTTCACGTCGATGTAATCGGTATCGTACTCTATGCATGCTTCAGCCTACGTTTGTGAAATTAATCGGTCAGTCGATCGCGTGAACGATGTCGCTACGGTCGCTTGCTTGTACGCACCAGCATGTCTGCGGGGGTGAGCATGAACGGGCCCGCAATGTTCACCACGGCTCGAGCGCTGATCACCATCGCTCGAATCGCTACCGGATCGCTCAAGTCACACGTAATGAATCCTGGCTCGTAATTCGTCGGATGCCGCTCCGTCACCTCCTTCCAACGCGCTCGCAATTTCGCCTCACTCCGTCCCGCCAAGGCGAACGTCACGCGCTCCCCGAGGTCGGACACGTTCTTCAAGATGTACTCCATGCACAGTGATCCAGTGTACCCGCTCCCACCGTACAGCACGAACGAGTACTCCCGTCCGGCGCGAAACGTCCCACCGCCGAACTCATCGATGAAAAACTTCTCCAAATCCTCCTCGGAGATCGAGTCGTACTCGTTCTCCACCCGCGCAACGTCTCCGGAGAAAAACTTCTTGGCCAGCTTCTTTTCGATAATCTTCCGCGACAGCAGCGACTTAATGTACGCGTGTGGCGGCTCATCGAATCCATTGACGACGCCGTAATCGCTCTCCATCGTTCGAATCACTTATTATTCCGATTTCGTCGACGGTTTCGAGGCGAACTCCGTCGTCGGTCCCAGAGCGAAAACTTTCACTTATCGTACGTTTTCTGAAGGTGAAGCACGTCGATCTTGGGGTCGCTTCGAGTTCGCCGCTCGTGCGCGTCACCGGAGTTGTGCTCGAGCGTGTCGGCGTGTCGCGTTCGCGTCGACGTCTGACCGGGAGCGTCGACCGCGTCGAGGCGAAATCGACGCGACAAGACGTTGGCGTTATTTCGAGCGTTACTTTTTATTCACTTTTTCAGCTGATTGTTAGTTATTGCACGGAAGAAGGAGGTCTCACGAGAACGAATGCCGATCGAGCTTGAGGGCCAAGGCGTCGAGCCAGGCGCGGTCCTTCTTACCGAACGCGCGCGCGCTGAGACTCCAGGCGACGACGACGCCTTTGGCGTCGGCAGGACGACACGCGAACACGCACTCAGCGTCAGGCGGGAGGAATTCCCACTCGTTCGCACCCTCTTTATCGATCTCGCGTCTCGACGAGAGGTAGGTGTCAAAGGTGCCGCCCTCACGCCCGAGACTCGACGCGGCGAACGCGGACGTCGCCCGAGCCAGCGCCTCCGATTTGCTCTCATCCAATCTCCCATCCGAGCGCGACCGCAGTCGCCCTCGAGCAACTCTCGCGACGCCATCGGCGTCGACATACATCACCCCGCACGCGAGCGTGTTTGTAAGCACCGCGTACGACGCCCACGCCAAATCTTCGCTCGCCCGCTCGCTCGCTCGCTCGTCCAGGGCGAATGTCGACGACCCACTCGCGTCATCACCCGAGTCCGCCCGCCCACCGCCCCCGATCGCCCCGTCCTCGTTCCGCTTCACGTAAGCACCGATAGTGGGGGCGATTAGGCACCCCAAGACTAACATCGCGCCGATGATCTCGCTCCTCGCGAGCGCGTCGCCAGCCGCCGCCGCGCCGCTCGTCGCTCCGTTCGCGCACAGCGCCAACCCTCCTAACGCCCCGACCGCTCGCGGGACGTCGTCGTCGCTTAAAACATCGCTCCCGAGCGTAAATCGGAACACCGCGAACTCATCCTCGTCGCTTTCGAGCGCTCGAAGACGCGTCGACGTTCGAATGGACGTTCGAGTGATTTGTTCACGTCGTCGACTTTGTTCCGTCTTCGCGACGCCACCACATCCGCGATCGCGTCTGTTCGTCGCTTTAAACGTCGCACGCACCGTTGTCGTTGCCTTGGTTGCCATGACGTTTGATGCGTCGACCGTGGAGCGTCGAACGAATGCGAGTCAACCACTGCGGGACACGAGTGAAACGTGAGTGAAAAGTGTATGAATTGAAATCAAATCGTCATCCCGCGACGCGCGCCTTCGTGCGGCGTCGCGTACCTCTCCAAAGAGGTTGACGACGATCTCTGCCCCTCGATTGCGTCTTCGTGATCGATCGTCATGGCGTCCAGTACGTCGAAGACGACGACGGAGCAACGAGTACGTCTGTTGGTCGATCGGTTGATTCAGCACGTCGTCGGCGTCTCCAGACCCGTCGATGACGCGATTGTGAGCTGTGGAGAAGATGATGACGTTCATACACGTCGTTCGAGCGTCTCGGATGACGATTCGGTCGCTGGAATGAGCGACAGGGAGCGGAAGCTGATGAACGATGAGAACTTTAAACTGTGCGAGGCGTACTGCGACTATCACCTCCGCGTGCACACATTTAGGGACGTCGAGCGCGCGGACGTGGAGACTCGTGTGCGAGAGTTGAGCGAAAGAATGGAGGCGACGAATAGAACGGCACATGGGCGAGCGATCGAGCGGCGAGCGATGGATTTGATTGGGCGTTGGGACATTGCAGAGACAGAGGAGGCCTCGGACATCGGCGCACGGGTGGTGACGATGTTGTTGGGATTAGCTGGGAGACCGCTCGCGGCGAACGTCGAGGTGAGCGATGATGAGGTTGGTTCGGATGAGGAACTCGGCGAACGGATCGCCGGGGCGTTCGGTGGGATGACTTTTGCGGAGGACGAAGTTGTCACCTCGTTTGACGAAGTGGGTGATGAGAACGGATTTGCGAGTGATTCCACGCTTTCGGTGTGGTCGGAATCGGACGAGGATGATATCGTGGATGTTAAAGATCACAGGCGTGGCGATGAGATGACGACGAGTGAAATGCCCGCGAGTGAGTCCATGAGCGAAGGTGAGGATCCGGGATTTTCATGGGAAGATAATTTGTTAGTGCAGGACTCTGCGCGAGAATCGGCAACGTGCGCGATCGTTCCGAGAGCCGAGCGTGCCCCTGAGGTCGTATCTGAAATAGTTCTTCAGGCTAGACGGCTCCAAAACGTGTTGGGCGAATCTCACGCCCGAAAAAGCGACGCGTCACTACTCGTAACGACGCCGGCGAAATCTGCGCCGAGCGAAACAGCCCTAGTCAGAGGAGCTCTGCACGCGCTTAGGGCTGGTGGAGAGGACTTAGAACGCGTATCATTACCACACGTGTCATGTGTGACGTTAGACGGTGCTTTGGCGTCGATACGCCGCGTGGTGGCGGTCCTGGTGCGCGTGCGAGAGATCAATCAAGCGTCATTGAAATTCGGACCGACGATTCAAGCCTTCGCACATGCACTCGATGCGCGAGGTCGGGCCCTCGTGAGTGAGCTCGCACCGCTAGAGAATCGTTTGAGTAGTGATTCCACGACAGCACCGCCGACTCTGTTAGAACTTCGAGCGTCGGTGCGCAAGCTAGAAACTAAGGTGGACGCTTTAGAGCACGTCGCACTCAATGCGTTTCCGATGGAAGGTACCCCAGCCGCTGAAGCGGCGAGTCATTGCTTATCTGCCGTGTACGAAGCAGTGTCGTATCACCAAGCGACGGCAAATATCGACGGTTTCGCCGTCACTCTACGAGTTTTCGTGGACACCTTACAACCATACATGGAGACCTTGCACCGCTGGCTTGCCTTTGGAGTGTTGGACGATCCCTCGGAAGAGCTCTTTATCGCCAAGGGACGAGCGGTCGACGACTTCGTTGGAAGCAAAGAGCACTGGTTGCACGGTTACGTCCTTCGGCACGATATCGAAACGCCGTGCTTTCTTCGAGAATTCGCTGTACAGACCTTGGATATCGGCCGTTCGATCGTGCTCTTGCACCACACGGAATCCCGAACTGGAAAAGTGCCGAAACTGGAGGTTCACCTATGTGAATCGTTTTGTGAGCAAGTTCGTGTCGCTCTCGGCGCTACTCGTGATGTGGTGGACGACGTCATGAGCATCGAAGACTCGAGCAAACGGGCGAGTGATCTCATCAGCACCGCGAAAGTTGAATCCACTGGGCTGATTGGCGTTTTTCAAAACTATACTTCACTCGTTGGCGTGCGGAGTATCAGCACTGAACAAGTTCGCGATACCATTGTATCACAGCCAACGCGCATTGTTGCTTCTCGAAATCTCCAAACGAAGACGCCGCTCCAGGCGTGCGTGGATGAACTCAATTCTTGGCTCGATAAATTTTTGACGAAGCGAATGCCTGCGTGTCCAATGCACTTGCTGGTACAAGGCGCCATTGGTTCATTCATCACGAGACGAGCCGATGAGATCATGCTTGTCTTGTCGAAGGCTTTGAGGGATGAGCTTAACATTGAGAAAGAGCTTTACGCGCTGAGGGCTGTCTTTCTCGGTGGAGCAGGTGACGCCGCGACGCACTTCTATTCGGCAGTCTTCAATATACTCGATGATCCAGTTAAGATTAAAGCGAAATGGAACGATGCGACGCTCAATGAATTGCTAGTCGATGCATTTTCGATGGATAACTCGGGCGAGTTCCCAAAGGATCGAGGCGTCCAGGTTGAGATTGTCCCAGAGGCGGAGCGAAACTTGTTCTCGCGCGTGGTGCTGGGCACAGGGGCGCTCGAAAAGATTGCCTCCATGCGATTCAGTTTCGACGTCAAGTGGCCGCACAACATCGTCGTTCCTCCGAGTGCGATGGCTCAGTACAACGCGGTCGCCGTGTTTCTCGGGCAGCTTCGGCGCGCTCACATCGCGATGCAGACGGTGTCGACAGCGAGATGGTCAGAGCGCATTCGTTGCTCTCCCGGAAGTGGTCTGGGCGGTGCTCGCGCGCGCCATCTCGAGCCTAGGCTGAGGCGATTCGTCGCTTCACTTCGAGAACACGTTCTTGTGAATATTCTTCACACGGATTGGAACCGTTTGATACTAGATATAGACGCGGCTTCGTCTCTCGACGCCATGCGAGCGGCGCACGATGCGTTTCTCAACGACGCCACAAAGAGATGCCTCGTGTCTCCAGATCAGACCTGGACTCTTTTATCGGAACAAATTCGCACGACGCTAGCTGTGGCATGCGAGTACGCGGCGTGTCAAGGTGGAGATGGAGCGGTTTCGGAGGAGGACGCGACGAGACTATCAACCGCGTTCGAGGAGGCGTACGCCTACATCGAACGCGTACTTCAGGCAAAACTAGATGTTGGTTCCGCGTCGACGCAAGATGCGGAAGACTTGCTGTACGCGATTAGACTGGATTAAATGTAGCGTGTAACAAAAGTAGGATCAAATTAGTCGCATCAAATTTTAAGCACCGGCTTTGTCCAGCAACGCAAGGACGCCTTCGTAAAACACTGGCTTGGGCGCGCCTTCAAAGAGCGGTTCGCCCTCGCGCGCGGAGTGCTTCTTGTTGTTCGCTCGCCAGTTGTCGAACGCTTCACGGTTTTCCCACACGGTGTACGTGGAGTAGTTGTAGCCGTCGTCGGGATTCACCGCGTCTCGTCGCAGGAGCAGAAACGTCGTGAAGCCCGGGAACTCCTTGAGCTCAGACTCGCGCGAGGCCCACTGCTTCTCGAACTCCGCCTCCTTCCCGGGCTTCACCTTGAACCTGTTCATGGCGGCGAACAAATCGGACTCGATCGGGTCCTTTCCGTTCGCCGGGATCTGTCTCCATCCATCCGCGGCTTGCCACTTGTCGCTCTTGGTTGAAATAGGCGCAGACAGACTGAGCAAGCCGTCGTAAAACGCCGGCTTGGGTCCACCCTTGAGAATCATCAGCGAGCTCACGAGCATGGACATGAATCCAAAGATCGTCCCACCTCCGTGCGCCTCCTTGAACGCGTCACCCTTTCGCCACGCGTCGAACCCATCCTTGTCCTCCCAAATCGTAAAGCTCACGTAATTCGCCTCCTCGTCGTCGTACGACGCGTTCCCGCCCTCCACGCGCCGCATGAGCGTGAAGAATCGAAACCCATCGAGTCGAGCCAATCGACTCGGTCGCTCCGCCCATCGCTTCTCGAACGCCGGTCCCTTCCCGTCTTGCACCCGGAACCGATTGCTCGCCACGTATCGCTCCCTCGCCAGCTGTCCCTCGGCGAGCTCTAACGTGCCAACCTCATCCATGATGTCCGCCGAACGCGCGACGACGCGCCCGCGACGCGCGCGCGCGACGTCCTCGCTCGATCCCTCCCGTCGCAATCGCCACCGCGGGGTCGTCGACACGATCGCGGCGGACGCGTCGGCCCGCATCGGTGGTGACGTCTGACGTAATCATACGCAGTGTCAATCAATCACCCAGTCGTCGTCCCGATGTGTTGGTCGTCATGTTTTTATCTTCATCCACGAATGTGTTGGTCGTCATGTTTTTATCTTCATCCACGAATGCGCGCACATCCCCCGCGCGTGTCCCTTCGTACGACGACATCAAACGACATCGATCGAGGGTGGAATTACGCTAAACCCTCGGTCACGACGCGTCGACGACGTCCCGCGCGTTCGTTTTCCTCGAACGCCCGCGCGTTGGTTTCCTCGACCGCGGACGACGATGGCGAACGGCGCCCGCGAAGTGGTCGCCGCGGCGTCGACGAGCGAGACGCGAACGAAGACGCTCGATCCGTTCGTCGGTCAGCTGTGCGCGAGCGCGTTCAGCGCCTCGTTCGCGGAGTTTTGTACCATTCCTCTGGACACGGCGAAAGTGCGCATGCAGTTGGCGTCGAACGCGACGGGCGCGGTGGATGGACGGTACGCGTCGATGGCGTCGACGATGCGAACGGTCGTCGCCGAGGAGGGCGCGGCGGCGCTGTGGAAGGGGATAGCGCCGGGGATACATCGCCAAGTCTTGTTCGGCGGCTTGCGCATCGGCATGTACGAACCCGTCAAGGCGTTTTACGCGGAGAAGATGGGGACGGCGAGCGAGGGCGCGGACGCACCGCTCGCGCTGAAGATCGCGGCGGGGCTCACGACGGGGGCGATTGGGATCACGATCGCGTCGCCGACGGATTTGGTCAAGGTGCGGATGCAGGCGGAGGGACGACTCCCGGAGGGGACGCCGAAGCGATACCCATCCGCGGTCGGGGCGTACGGAACCATCGTTCGTCAGGAAGGTGTCGCCGCGCTCTGGACCGGGCTCACGCCGAATATCATGCGTAACTCCATCATCAACGCCGCCGAGTTGGCATCGTACGATCAGTTTAAGCAAACGTTCGTGGGCATGGGGGCCAAGGCGGACGAAGTATCGACGCACATTGCGTCCGCAATCGGCGCCGGGTTCGTCGCCACGTGCGTTGGAAGCCCGGTCGATGTCGTCAAGTCGCGAGTCATGGGTGATTCGGTGGGGAAATATAAGGGATTTATCGATTGCGTCACCAAGACGCTCACCCACGAGGGGCCGATGGCGTTTTATGGAGGCTTCCTTCCGAACTTCGCCCGTCTCGGTGGCTGGAACGTGTGCATGTTCCTCACCCTCGAGCAAGTTCGTAGATTGATGCGCGAGAACGACATTATGTGAGTGCATTCGGGCTCATTCTCGCGTTCGCGATGCTCTTTCCGTGTAATCAATTGTTCGAGTGACTCGCTGTGTCTGTCGCGCTCCGTTCTGCCACAGCTTTGTAGACGTAAACTCGGTTTGATCGTTACAAATTCCGAGCTCGCGCCCTTTGATCTACTAAAAGAACTTCTCGACCTCGCCACTACTCGCTAAGAAACCACCCGACGCCTTACGCCTTCTTGGTCGCCGCGGTGCCTTCTCTGAACCCGTTCTTGAATCGGCGGGGCAGGGTCTTAAGGTATCTCATGCGGCCGGTGCCCGTGGTCTTGCGCCCGATCGCCTTCACGCTCCAGTTGTCTGCGAATTTGAAAAGAGATAGTACCGTCAGTCTCTCGTTCATCCCGTTCCTTCGTTTGAAAGTTCGCATCGCGCACGCCACGCGTCCGGAGACCTCGAGTCGTCGATCCGCGGTCGATCGCTCTCAAACGTACATTTACGAACGCGAGCCGACGGGTAGCCGCAGGACGCGCACGTGGACTTTTGAATGTGGTACGATCGCTTCCCGCATCTACGTTTCCGTTCGAACGAATGCTTCGAGTCAGTCGCCGCGCTCGTGGTCGTCGAAACATTGCTCGCGCGCATGAAAGCCCTAAGTAGGGCTTCACCCGCGTCGTCATCTCATCCCTCTCCCGTCGCGACGCGCTCGTCGATGAGACGTACCGTCGGCACAGCGTGTGCGACTTGTTACGGCGCGAACCGAACGACCCGGTACCCTTTCCTTTCTTACCCATGACGCGTCGTGAAGAGACGGATCGATGGCGTCCAGACGCGCGAGCGAAGCGAAAGCCGAAAAACGGGGACCGCGATGGCGCGGTAACGAGGTCCGCGTCTGAGTCCGTGAGACGAATGCGTCGAGTCCCTCGTCGGATGAGTCGTGAATCAAGAAAACCGAGCACGCATCAATCCACGCGCGTCCCGCCGCGTCCCGCGCGTCGACGACGACGACGACGCGATCGCACCGCGCCGCGCGAGGCCGAGGACTGGACGAGCGATGGGTGCGGTGAAACTCTTAGGCATCGAGGGAGGGGGGACGACGTGGACCGCGAGAGCGACCTCGATCGACGTCGACGCCGGTGACTCCATGAGCGCCACGACGGTGTCGCGGGTGACGACGGACGTCCCGAGGGAGTGCGTCACGGAGGTTTTTAACACGACGACGCCGACGGAGACGTTAGGAGCGATCCGAGCTTGGATCGAGGTCAACGCCCGGGACGCCGACGCGATCGGGGTGGCGACGTTCGGACCGGTGGAGCTCAATCCGGCCAAGGAAAAGTACGGGTACATCACGACGACGCCGAAACCAGGGTGGGAAGACGTGGACGTTTTGGGCGCTCTGTTCGGACCGCGAGGAGAGGAGGAGGGTGGTGAGCCTTGGGTCGGTAAGGCGCGATTGAAAACGCCGAACGACGTGCCGTTGGCGTTCGACACGGATGTGAACGCGCCGGCGGCGTTGGAACACAGAGCGCTGCGCAGGGAACTCCAGAACGTGCATCGAGCGGGTGGAGAGTCGTGCTGTTACGTCACCGTGGGCACCGGCGTGGGTGTGGGGGTCGTAGCGAACGGACGCCCGGTGCACGGGATGTTACACCCCGAGGCGGGGCATATGCACGTGCGTATGATGGATGACGAGACATTTCCAGGCACCTGTCCCTTCCATGGCAATTGCGTGGAAGGCATGTGCGGGAGCAACGCCTTGGCCAAGCGCCGAGGCGTCAAGCCCGCCGATCTCGTCACGCTTCCAGATGACGACGAGATTTGGGATCAGTGCGCGCATTACCTCGCTGGTCTATGCGCCAACCTCATCTTGACGCTAGCTCCCGAGCGCATCGTCCTCGGTGGTGGCGTCATGCAGCGCGAGTGTCTCTTTAGCAAGATTCGCGCAAAGACCCGAGAACTCTTGAATGGGTATCTTTCCGTCGAGCAGATCACCGACGACGATCACCTTCGACACTTCATCGTCCCTCCGGCGTGGGGGTATGAGACCGGAATCAATTCGGCGCTCTTCCTCGCCGAGAATGCTCTCAAGCGAGAGGTCGCGTGAGACGAGAAATAAAGCGTTTAGACTATCGACCCATACTCTGTAAACGAAATTCCTAGGGATCACTAGCGAGCGCATCTCACTTCAGCCGCTCTCGAGCGTTCCGACATCGTCGTTGACTCGGCCCCCACCCATCCAAGAGGCCCCACTCGCGTCCTCGCGTCGATGTCCGCCCTCCGCCCGATTCCCCGTATGGTTCAACACGCGCGAGTCACCGTCGTTCACGCTCGTTCGTCCGTCGTCGCGGTGCGTTGATTAGATCGTCCGAAATGTCGTCGTCGACAGGCGCGAGGAAATAAAATCAATCCTCGGATTACTTTGACGTCATCTTTTGTGTTCGCATTCGTGCCCCTTCACGTCTCTGATTGGACTGACGCCGACGTTCTCTGCACACACAGATGTCTTCCAAGACTTCCGTTGCCCCCGCGATCATCATCGGCGGCGGCCGCGTGGGCCAAGCACTCAGAGAAATGGGTCCCGAGGGCGACGTCGTCGTCCGCCGAGGGGAGGCATTTCCGAGCGAACCGTCAAGCGGGCCCATCTTCGTGGCGACGCGAAACGATGTCCTAGAGGACGTCATCGCGAACACCCCGGCGAACCGAAGAGAAGATTTAGTCTTCATGCAGAACGGAATGCTGCAGACGTTCCTCGACGCCCAGGGGTTAGGGGCGAACACGCAGGCGCTAATTTATTTCGCCGTCGCGAAGGCAGGCGACGCGCCGACCGACGGCGTCACCGAGCTCAACCCTGAGGGCTTGACGGCGGTTACCGGTAAGTGGGCCGATGCTGTTGCCGCTCGTTTCCACGCCGGAAACTTGAGCTGCCACGTGTTGGACGCCTCCACATACCAGGGTAGCATGTACGAGAAGCTCATCTGGATTTGTGCCATGATGCTTGTCGGGGCCCAACACGAGGGCGCCAAGGTTGGTGATGTCGCGACGACTCATAAGGATGAGGTCGTCGCCCTCATCGAAGAGCTCTTGAGCGGTACCACCACGTGTACGGGCGCCCAGTTCGCCCCGGGCGCCGTCGATCGTCTCATTGCGTATGCCAAAACCGTTGCCCACTTCCCTTGCGGCGTAAAGGAGTTCCCGTGGAGAAACGGATACTTCCACGGTCTCTCCGCCGAAGCGATCGCAGAGGGCAAGCCCGATCCGTTCCCTATTCACACAAAACTTCTTCAAAACATCGGTGCCATCTGATTCGATTGTAATTCGACGTATTGATTCCCTCGTCTCCCTGCTCGCGTCTCGACGGAAACCCCTCACCACGGAGACCTCTCCAGTGAGACCTTCCGGCACGGTCTTCACTCCGCGACGCCTCGCACCTGAGATTTTCTTAATATCGGACGTTGTGAGTGCCGCGGTTTAGCGTTCTCGTCATGACGGACGCGATGGAGACGTCCACGGCGAGCGAACCTAGACGAGTGCAGAATGCTCGAGTGGAAGTCTTGGAGATCATTACTCGAGCGCAGCGTGAGCACGGTCTGCGGCACCGTGATTACGCCCGTTACCGCGGGTACTGCGCCCGACGACTCGCTCGACTGTACAAGACGTGCGATTTGAAGCACGGGAAGGGGCGGTATCAGAAGAAGCCTCTGACGGCGGACGCGATCGCGAGCGAACGAGCGCTCTTGATACCACTCGCGCAGAGTGAACGGGCGTGGGCGTACGCGATGGAGATCAAAGACGCCGGGTCGGTAAAGAAGAAGAAGAGCGACGTGCGATCGCACATGGTGGGGAGGTTTAGGAAGGCGATGAAGCACGCGAACGAGTTGGCGGCATTTTGCACCGCACTCGGAGATGAGCAGACAGCGCTTGAAGGAGACGCATACGCCAATTACATCGCGGGCGTGTGCGGGGTGGAACAAGGAAAGGATTACGTCGGTGCGATGTCTAAGCTGCTCCGATCGAAGCGAGCGTACGCCAAACTGGGTTTGTTGGGTGACCAAAAGCGCCTCGAACTGTATCGTGAGCGCGTCGAGGAAATCGAAGACCTCGTGCGCTACGCGCTGTACAAGCAAGGTCGAACGGTAGATCTCGACGCGTTGGAGAAGGATGCGGTGCTTGACTTGGCATCTAACTCCGTCTTTACCATGGAAGTCGAAGCACCGCCGGAAATTGAGGATAAAATCAGATGGCACGCGATGGACTTTGAACTCAAGAACCGCGACGCTCGCGTGCTCATTGCTCAGGCTCAGGAGCACTTAAGCAAGCTCGAGGCTCTGAAGAACCCTACTGGGCACAAAGGGAACGCATTATTCGCCAAGGCGATCGCGCTTTACGACGAGGCTCGCAGTAAATTGAATGACGACGTCGCCAAGGAGAACGCAAAGGTGTTGTACGAAGCTGAGGCGGAAGAAAGGGCGGAGAAAATCAAGCTCACGGAGATCGCGCTGTCTCTTCAAATTAAGGACAAAATCATCGACCGTAATAAATTCGTCAACGAAATGCTAGATAAGAAGCTGAGCGGCAAGGCGAAGAAAGAGCGGGCCGACAAGGGTCTCAACTACGCCGACCTCGCCCGCATGTACGACACGGCTACAGTTGAGTTTGAGGATTTGATCGAGACGGCACCAATGCTTCTGCGCCTGAAGCCCGACGATGCCGACAAGCACATCGACGAATTCGAAGTTGACTGTGAAGCTGAAGTCATGCTGTTGAAGGCGAGGCAGAACATCGCTCTGGCTTGTCACAACTTGTCTAAGGGAGACTTCAAGGAGGCTCGGGCGTACTTTGACATTGCCACCGACCTCGCGAAAGATGTGGAAGGGCGAGACTGTGCCGGGGAGATTCAAGACGAAGCGACAGAAGTCATCAAAGATATTGAAGCGCGTATCCAGAGAGCGGAAAAGAAGATTCAAGAGACAGGCAATGAGACGCACAAATCGCAGTCCAGTAGCGACTTAGCGAGTCAAGTTACGGAGAAATTCACGAAGCTCTTTTCCTTTGCTCGAGGAGCGAAGTGATATGACATAGCTAATTAGTATATTTTTCTCAATCACGGATATTGTGGAATCATCAATCGTTCTACGTTCTAACTTTTGTTGCTACGCTCAGACCTTCAACGTGAGCGACACGTACGAGTACATATCCTCTGCGTTGAGTCCCGTCCTCTCTTCGTCACCGCCGCCGTCATCATCCCAGTGCGACGAGGCATCTTTCCCGAACTCTTGATTGAGCACTTTTCGCAACTTGGTCGCGTTTTTCATGTTGGGTCGCATAAGAACAGTCTGGAAATCGGGAGGCAAACCATATCGCAGGATGCTCTCCACAAAAATCCGTACCGTGCAGAGGTGCATCATCGTGCTGAAAATCTCACCATAGCTAATCTCACACCACTCTGTAAGCGATTCCTTTCTCTCAGCAAACTCCCGCTCCAACGCGTCTTTCTGATCTTTCGCTGCGCGCGAGGCTTCGGGGTCGTGCGAATACTCCCTCGCGGTGCATCCGATTTCCCGAGCGGCGTTGATGAAAGCGTCGACGACGCGTCTGAACAGCACCACCGTTCTTAACTCTGTATCACCCTCGGCGTACAGTACCTTGGACGATCGCGGAACGACAAAGTTAGACAGCGTCTCGTAATTGCTCACCCAATCTTCCGTTCGCATCTTCGGAACTTGGACGACGAGTGTGGTAAGATTTTCTGACTCGACCAGGTCCGCCGGATTTATGAGTTCGCTCAGGTCCTTCGAGTTCACCCCGCCCCCCGTTCGCCGACCGAGTGAGTTCAGATGATTCCTCGACGTCGACAACTGTCCACACTTTAGCTTGAACTCATCCTCGATTCGTCCCAGTCGCTCCGACAGCTTCTCCACCGTCTCCCTGAGCGCGCGTCGACACGGGTGCTTCCCCTCGTCCCACTCAAACGTCGTCAAGAATTTCTCCACGCTCTCCCCATCGATCGTGAGCTCCCTCCCCGTCGATCGATCGCTCGTGGACGTCAAATCTACGTGTTGTCTCCGAACTTTATCCAGCGTCGACTCCGCCAGCGCGCACGTCTTCACCAAGTCATCCGAGAGCGCCAACAAAGAATCCAAGGTTCCCACGCGGAGCTCTGGGACGCGCACGCGAACGTTCGTGGAGAGCTCGTTCGCCCCCGACGTGTGTCGTCGCAGCGTCCCGAACTGCTCCTCCGCGCTCGTTCCCAAGAGCGGGAGACTCACGAGCCAGTACGTCGTCGTCATGGGAGACGATGGGGACGCGGAATGGATGCGGCGTCGAGATCTGTCGTCCCAGTCGTGCCGTCGTCCGGCGCGCTCGCAGAGCACGCCGCGCGCGTGAACGCGCACGGACGCGCGCGAACGGTCGGACGGCGTCCGTTCGCGCGCGCGATCGACCGACGATGTCTCACACGAGACGCGGTCGCGCGCGCGCGGTGATCGAGCGCGCGGTGCGATGGGCGCGAGAGGATTTCCCAGAGATTGTTTGGCCGCGACCGATGGATGACCCGCCGCGGTACGTCGAAGAGCGGCGGGCTCGACGGGTGCACAAACTCACGATGGATGAACATCGAGAGGTGTGGACGAAGGCGTTCGGGATGTGGAGAGAGAGCTGGGCGAACGTCTTCAGACGACAAAACGCGCGGACGGCTTCAGAGGATGCGGAGACGAGAGAGACAATCGAGGAGGCGCCGAGCACGAGCGGAGAGGAGAGAGAAGAGAGAACGTTGGATAAAGAGGGTGAATTATTGGCGGGCGAGGCGAAGAGAGCGATGAGGGCGGGACGGGCGGGATTTAAGCCGCTCGTGACGTACCTGTACGAAACCAGAGGGCGGGCGTACCGGGACGGCGTTCGAGAGTTCATACAGGCGTACAGAGAGGGATTCAAGGAAGTTCAGGCTGATTATGAGAGCGGAAAACACGAAGAGACGCTCTCTGGTAAGGCGGCATCAATGCTTGCCCAAGCAGAGGACGTGTTGCAGAGAGCTGAGAAAACCGAAGTGCCGGTCGACGACTCAGAAGAGACTACGAAGAAATAGGAAATAGAAATAGTCTGGCTAGAATCTAATTAATGTTCAATTACTCAAACAATCTAGTGATGAACTTGAGGAAACGTTTCGAGTATGCAGTCGGTTCGATTGATGAGAAGGATTTCTTCCCCATCGCTCCCATCATTTTTGTCTCCAAGCTCTTTGACGTCGTGTACTCTTGCAAGATGTCGATGATGCCCATGTGAAGGATGACATCATGCGGCTCACTGTGCTCCTCAAGCGCGCTCTTACCTTTTGGTAGCTGATGCTGCTTCTTAATTACGCGCCCGTGCACGGCAACGGCAGACATAGCGACTCCGAGCCTGGTCTCTGCTCCCGCTGAGCGCGCGAGGAGCTCATCTGTCCCCGGCGGCGGGCGGAGTGACTTTCCGGTACTTGCGGCTGTGGTATCAATACTGTGCGCGAAACCGAATTTTTTTCTACTTTCGTACAGATCCAAGGCCTTGAAGTTTTGTCGAACTGCCTGGATGGCCTGCTCTCGCCACTCTACGCCACCCCAAGTCGGTGAGCTGTCGTACGAGTCTCCACGGTCGTGACCTCCGACAGGCGATGATACATCACCTTGACTGGGCGACGGGGGGAGAATGTGAACACCGACAAGTAAGCTGTAGTCCATCACCCTCAAGCGCTGCAAAAGCGCGCAGTCGGTTCTCAGTTGGTGCAAGAGCTTATCCCTTTTCCCCTCTTCGACGCGAAACTTCGACGAGATGTCCAAGTCTTTGAACACGGTTGGATTTTCATTACCGACGCTCGTCGGCTTCGTAAATCGCCCATGTCTCGAGCCTTTGAGATCAAAGGTCCTATGTATCGGATACTTTGAAGGAAACAAATTCGCCATGACGACAACGCGTACTTTGGTCGCGCTACCCAGTGCTTTGATGCTGTAAATACCAAAAAATTTGGGCAGCAATGACTCGGGGTACTCGTGCACGTGCTTGTAGTACAAGTGCAGCCAAGATTTCAAGTTGAGCATCTCCGATTTTCGCATAGTTTTTATGATGAATTTGTCGTCGTGAGAGACATAAAATACACTCCCCGACTTACCAGGGGATGCGAGCTCTCTGAGTGCTTGATCACCGCACAATGAAAGCACGAAATCGGCGGGATCCACGTTCCATCGAGCTCTGAGTTTTCGAAACACTTCCGGCCTGTACTCTTTCCATTTGAAGGTCCGCGCGAAGTGAGGAGGCGTAGCGCTTGAACCGCTTCGTGGAAATATTTGTCTGACAGTCCGTTCAAAGTCGGCGGGAGCCAACTTCATGCTGGCGACGCCTTTTGTCGTTCCGACGCTCCACCGAATCCCCATGCGAAGTTGGATCATCAATTCATAGCTTCCATGACCTTTGTAAATGGTCTCCCCATGGAGTACTTGCCGAACCTTCTGAGATCTACTAGTCATTGGACTACTCAACCACGTTGAGTGCTTGTGGCCAACACGCTCAGATTCGACGACTTCCTGGTCTACAACCTTGTCCTCAGAGCATTTGCAGAGTAATACGTATGCATCGTCGATCTCTGTCGACTCATCAGCTTGTTCAACTTCTTCAAAACTTGTCTTCGGTTGCAAACGCTTTAGGCCACCAATGTTGCTGATTGACCTAAGAAATCCACCAGTATCCTTCTCTTGCATCGGTGGCATCATGAACGCACCAGAACCATCTCTTTTGCCTCGTTTCCACTGTCCACTGAAGGACGAACCGTCTCGCCAAGTCAAGCTGCCGTGTCCGGATATTTCACCCTTGCACCAGTTACCGTCGTATCGATCTCCCGACGCCCATCGTAAGGTCCCCCATCCGTGCATCATACCATCAAGCCACTCCCCATCGAACTCATCCTGCCCTTCCTCACCGTCTCGTGAGCTCCACCGGTACGTCCCCGGTCCGTGAGCGAGACCATCCTTCCACATACCCTCGTATCGGTCGTCATTCGCAAATCTTTGCATCCCCCAACCGTGCTTCTTTCCGTCCTTCCACGACCCGTGGTACTCGGTCCCGCTCGGAGACGTGTACGTGCCAGTCCCATTCATCTTGCCGCGCTCGAACTCTCCCTTATACACGCCTCCGCTCGCCCAGTCGTATGTCCCGCTCCCGCTCGGCTCTCCATTGACGAACTCCCCGGCGTACTCGCTTCCGTTCGCCCACGAGTACCTTCCGAACCCCACGGGCGCTCCATCGATCCACGGCCCTCTGTACACGTCCCCACCCTTAAGATTGACGCGCGCTCGCAGCGTTCTCCCTCTCGCGCTCGTTTCCGGTTCTCGTCTACGTTCGCTCGATTCGCGCGCCTCGACGTCCCGCAGCGCCGCCTCGACGTCGCCCGGATTAGATTTCCGTCTCGACAGCAGCCTTCGCAGCGTCGATCCGGGTCCGGTTCTGTCCGTAAACGACGTCGATCGTCGTTGCGTCCCATCATCGTCCTCGACCGAACCATCGTCGCTGGAATCAAAGCTCAAGCCCCGCCGCATCGCCCACCGCGCACGCGGACGATGGATTGAATCGATTCCAGACGTCCGTCCACCGCTCGCGTCGCGCCGTCCCGTCGTCGTCCGGTCCTCGCGCGCGTCCGTGCGTATCGACCGCGCGACGCCGTGCGCGTCACCTCCCACCCACGCGGGTCCACGTCGCGTCGCTCGCTCCCGTCCGTCATCCATCGCGCGACGCCCGCGGTCGTCGCCCCATCGCGGGAGGCGCGGCGACCGCGGCGCGGGGCGACGGGAGCGACGCGCGCGCGCGCGGGGGATCCGGGGCGTCGCCGCGAACCTTGGTGCGGGTGATATCGCGTGTGATGTGCGTCATGGCGCGACGTGGACCTGATGTATGGAGGTTTTGACCGCGTACGTACACGTAAACACCACCGCCTCTCGATCGACGCCGCGATGGACGGGCGCGGCGATCGCGGGGTCGATCGAGGCCGTCGGTCGAGGACGCGCGCGTCGTCGTCGTCGTCGTCGTCGTCGTCGTCGTCGGTCGAGGACGCTCGCGTCGTCGTCGAAGTCGTCGTCGAAGTCGTCGTCGTCGTCGTCGTCGTCGTCGTCGTCGTCGTCGTCGTCGTCGGACACGACACGCGACGTCGAGCGAGCCGCGATGGGTGTTGCGAGCGAGCGCGCGACGCTGTTGGCGACGGAAGAGCGGAACGAAGGCGAGGGATGGACGACGAGGCGATTACGAACGGTGCGAATCATTGGAGTGAGCGCGTTGGCGCTCGGAGCGGCGGCGTTTCTCGGTAACGCCGCGGCGGGGGGCTTCGGCGGCGACGGAGGGGACTTGCTCTTTGAGCGCGTCGCGAAGGGCGACGGACGAGCAGAGCTGTCGCTCGCGATGTGGAATCGTGCGAAGTACGAAGTGACGTGTAAGCAGAGGGCGAATTGGCCGCTCGTATTCGATCACAATAAGACGGTACTCACGGATGAGGAAAGGGCAAAGCTTGAGCAGCCGAATGGCCAGACGTACATCAGCGGTTTCTGGAGACTCCCCGTTTCTCATCACCCGCCTAGCTGGTACTTGCCCAACCTACAGGCGACGGCGTGCCAACTCGGAGCGTTCGCCATGAACGTCGTGTTCGTACGCGATAGTCAGCAAATGTGCGACTATTCGATGGCGCTTTACAAGGAAGGTTCCAAGGAACGCGGCAAGTACCAGTTTGGTGGCGGCAACGCGGCGTGCATCGTGAACGACGGGCTGGAGATTCGTCCGACGTCTTGCTCCGCTCACTCGCGTATTTGGTATAACAAAATGACGATTGTCGCTGACGTCGTCAAGAGAATCCAGAACGGAGGGATATCATCGAACTTGCAGTCGAAGCACTATTTCTGGTTGGATGGCGACATCTTCTCTGGCAAGGCGAATCGCTTTCCACGTTTCCGAACCGTCTTAAGCATGCTCGATGAGGAGGACCAAGATAAAATGATGTTGGCTTGCTACTTGCAAGACATGGGCAATTATGACCGAAAAGAGCACAGATACAAGTCTTTTCCGCAGTTCTGGGATTATGCGAGCACAAAGCTTGGGTCGGCGTCTCAGGAGCCTCGACTCGGTCTCGTCTCTTCCGTCGTGCCAGGGTGCACCTGGATGCGCCACGAAGTAATTGCTAATATTTTTGGTGGATCTGCTCGGGTGATTGGAGAGTTTAGCGAAAAGTACAAGCAGTACATCGACGAACACGTTCCCACTGTGTCGAACCACAAAAGACCGACCAGTGGGCAAAAATGCACGTGTCCGAGCGAAGAACAGATCTTGACGACGATGGCGAACGACAAGACGTACGAGAGCTTGTTTACCAAGCGATCATGCGCTCACAGACTGCGAACGCCGTATAATCCGCAAAGATTCCCGTGGGCGCGATCAACCAAGAACAGGCCTAACAACTTGACCAGCATACCTGAGGACGGAGCTGCAGACGTCGCCGACGCAGAGGACGCAGCGCGATTTAATTAGAACGGTGCAACCTAGTAAGTGGTGAAGATAAATTTGTAAACTTTCCGTAATAGATCTATCTCGATTTCGCATGGTGCTTCCGAGCGTTCTGAACGTTGCGTTGCGCTCAACTGCTGGTTCAAACTCGACTAACAACCGAGGTGTCTGCAGTCGGACGCTCGTCTTGATGCGTGAGCGCGGTAAAAAGCCGTCGCTGAAATCAACGAGCGTAAGTGCGTCCTCGCCAAATTCACTCAAGAGTAAACGAGTGAAAGCTTCGGACACGACTGTCAAGTCGTCTAAGTCGAGTGGGGCGTCCAGTCGTTCCTTCGCTCGGTGGAGTTGCTTCGCGCTCGCCCTGGGTTGGATCGGAGTGCTGTACTGGGGAGAGATCCACGTGCACGTTCTCGCGCAGAATCGATGTTCGTGGCCGCCTAAAGAGGGCGGCGCGATGGTGATGGCGACGGCGGACCCCCAGCTAGTGGATGACTACACGTATAGAGAGCTCGGAAAGGAGTCTCTTGCTTTGAGATTCGTCGAGGCTGTGTGCGATGCGTACGTGCGAAGAGCGATGAAAACCGCTTTGGGAAAATTTTCTCCGGATAATGTTGTCTTCCTGGGAGATCTTTTCGGACAGGGCGCTCGCAGGGATGAAAAACGGTGGGAAGAGCTCCGGCGGCGAGTGGACTCTGCGCTCATGTGGCCCAGGAATGGAGAAGACTTCACGTATCGCACAGTGGCTGGGAATCACGACGTAGGATATTCTGAAGTCATTCGCAATCATCCCGCGATGTTGGACCGCTTCGAAAGGTGGTACGGGAAGAGTAACTTTGTCGAACGGATAGGAGGCGTCGACTTCGTCGGAGTCAACTCGATGGTACTTGATGGCCGAGGGTCGGAGACAGACAACACGTGGGCTTTCATCGAAGGTCTGAGTCGTGAGCGAGATGAGAGCAAGGAGAACGTACCAAGAGTACTGTTGACGCACTTGCCACTGCCTAATCCAGCACAAACGTGTGGTCCACTTCGGAACTCGGCGGTGATACCAGGCAGAACCATTGGCAGTGATAGAGAAATAGTTTACCAGGACTACCTCTCAGACGAGTCTGCGGGGAGACTGCTGCGTGCGATCGAACCTGAATTAATTCTTTCGGGCCACGACCATGACCAGTGCGAGGTAGTGCACTCGTACGACTCGAAACTGCGAGGTGAGAAGAAGTCTGTGACAGAGGTAACTGTTGGCACGATCAGCGCACTGAATGGAAACGATCGTCCCAGCTACTTGATGTTGAGCGTTTCAGGCAGTGGAAAATCGCAGATGGTCCATCAAAAATTGTGCTTCCTCCCAGAAATCAGGAAAGTGCTAAGAGCCTACTCGCAGATGGCGGTTCTTACCATCCTTATTATTTTATCACCGCCTCTGGGAGAATTAATCACAGCGACGAAAAGATTCGAAGATCGTAGGTCAATCATCCTACATTTGAGGTGAGTACTGCATTCGAAGATTTTTTTCGTTCTCGTTCGTTTTCACGGCGACTGACTGAATTTGGTGACGATTGCAGGCAACTCGTCGTTGGGATGATTAATTTAATTTTCCTTTTAATTGTGGTTGCTGGGGAGTATATTTTGTTTTTGGCACACGACTCAATGATTTTAGGCCGGCTGTTCACGTTCACACGTGCACTCACTGGCTGAGATTAGCAAATGTAACAGTGTAGGTAATACTAACGCGATCGCAGAGTACTGAATTAATTCCGGGTGAGCCATTAATTAATTAATTCACGCGCCACGAAGTGATGCCAACACACCACTTGTTGACGCGCTGCCGCGATACAGAGATATCCGTGCCTTCAGGGTGAACCCATGAGTGTCTTTCCGAGACGCGGATGAGTGTGCGCCACGTTGCGCGCCTTAAAAGCTCATTCCGAAAGCAAGTGTGGCACAATTAATCATACCTGACTTAGCTACTGTCGAGAAACATGACAACGAGCGTCGCATTAAAGAGCTAAATGGCGGCCCACAAACGACAACACTTTATTCCACGGCATCACGCTCATCCGTGTCCAATGTCACTTCGCTCGAGCCTCGTCAAACTCCTCGGCACGGTGGTCTTCGCTGAGATTATTTAATTATTTTATTCTCACGTCCGTTCAGTCAGCTTGGCCGTTCTTTTCACCACGATATGATCATACGAGAGCGCCGCGCCCCTGTTTCAGATCGAATCCTCCATCTCAAATCTTTTTTGAAAATCCCTCTACCGATGCGATCGACCTCGACAAACGCGCGTTGAGTGAGAACTAAATGTGGCGACTGTGAAAAAGTGCTCGAGCCACCGGCTGGAATCTAGAATTCGGGACCGGTGCCTCCTCTCGCCGCTCGCTATCCGCACTCCGAGGAGCGTCCACCACAGACTATGCATCGGGGACGAAGTCGATCGCGAAGACTGATCGCTTGCGTCGCCGCTTGCGGCGTCGCGCTCGCGGTGCGTCGTCGAGTCGGTCTCGTCCCCGAAGCAATTCGATCGATCCAACGCGTTCCGGGTGACGACGTTCTGACCGCGCGCGCGTTAACATGTCGCAGGCCTTGGGCGCGGGCGCCGTTGAGGAATTTGAAGATGAGAAGGATTTGTTAGAGTTTGTCCAGGATTCGCGCACGGAAGCGCTGGCGGTGCTAGGGATGTTCCGCCGAGGCGAAGTTGACAAGGAAGCGATGGAGGCGTTCACTGATGCTGAGCACACATTTCGAGCGTACGGACACGCTGATGTTACGTTCGGGCGAGTGACACGTCTGAAAATGGAGCACAATAAATCTAAGGTGATCGTACCGGCACCGCATTACATGGATAGCGATCACTTGACGGAGATGAGCGCGCAACTTGAGCGCAACGTATCGAACATCGTTCGCTTCGCCTTCTTCACCCTTATCCCCCCTTACGCGAGGTGGCCAGAATTCCCCGACAATAGGGGTACTGTGGACGAGGTTCAACGGGCAAATTTACACGCGAAAAATGACTTGCCAAAGGTGTTTGTCTTCATGCTCAAGGAGTTTGCTGATGACTATGGAGTTCGACTTCACAAAACACTCGAGAAGGTTGGCGAGGCTCTGGCGGGCTACATGGTGCTCATTCACGTCGTTCCGCCGACAACAGATAGCTTAATCTACTTGCGAACCGCCGTTCATCAGGGCGAAGAGCAGCAGTACATGGACGTGCTCGCCGGGGGCAGGCTGGTGATAATTGGCTTCGATCCGATCAGTGGCGAACGTGACGCAGAGGGAAGGATGATTGATAGTTTCAACGAGAAGACGTTGATTACTTTCTGCAACAACTTTCTTGCGATGCTTCCCGAAGACGCACAACAAGGTCGACTGCCGTTCCCTATTAAACGGGCTGACAAGAGGGCGAAGAATACAGTCGGTATGGGTAAATACGCAAAACTGAAAGAGAAGGCTGAATTGTAGGCGCGCGCGCGATCCTTCGTGGATGTGTAAATTAATTGTGATTAGATGGTCTCACGTCTCAAGTACTATTTCATCCCTTTCACGCTAATAAAGCTAGGCTAGTCGCGACCGTATTCGCGCGTTTGCGCAACGTTTGTTACTCACGCTGGGACGGGCTCTATGCCACTTTCACCGCTCTGCTGCGCGCGACGATTTTTCCATAACCCACCGTAACGATAATGTGGATGCTCGGCGTCGCCGTCCACGACGCCGCCGCTGACTTGTACCCAACACTTACCGCAAACCATCCTCCAGCGCTTTGTCGCATCCGTCTGACAACGAATCAGTTCGTTCACCATCTTCTCGCACTCGTCGCACGGCTTTTGACCGCTCGTAGGATCACCGTTAAATTCCAATCTCGCCCGCCTCTCCGCCTTCTGCGCTTTCACCTTGGCCTTGTGTTTCGCTCGCTCGCGCCGCTCCCCGCTCTCGCTCCCGCCGTCGTCTCCCTCGCTCGCTCTCGCCTGCGCGTTCGTCTTCTGCCTCTCGCTCTTCCTCTTCGCGTTGCAGCTCTTCGAGCACGTCGTCACCTCGTCCCAGCAATTCTCCCACTTTTTTCTCCACGTGAACGCTCGCTCGCACACGACGCACGTTTTTTCAGGCAAGTTTTCCTTCTTCACCCCTCGCATCGCGACCGCGCGCACCGCGCGCGTGGACGCTCGACGACGGTGCGACGACCACGACCACGGTGCGCGCGCGATGATGGTCCCGATCACCGCTCTCGCGAGCATACCGCGCCGAGACGCGACGACGGACGCCGTCCCGACCGAGCGCGTCGACGCCGTCTCGACCGTCGCGTCGGTTGACGTCACGCGCGATGTCGAGGGAATTTTCCCGCATTTATTCCCCCGGGAGGGACCGCGCGTGGAGTCAGCACTCGTTGACCGCATCGACGCACCGACCGACGGGCGCGCCGGTCGCGCGCGACGATGGCACAGCCGCGCGCGCGCGACGTGGTCGCTCCTCGGGGCGTGGCCTCGATCGAGCGTTCGCGTGCGTTCGTTCGCGCGCGCGATCGCTCGCGCGATACCTCCGCGGGAGATGCCGGAGACGCCAGGGCGCGAGCGGATGTCGAACGGGACGGGGTGTTCGAACGCACCGGACGCCTCGGAGGAACCGTCGACGAGCGGTCGATCGATCGTGGAGCCGTCGATGCCGACGCCCAAGGCATCGTTGAGAGATACTTTCGGCAGCGGACTCGATCGGGACGATAGCGCGAACGTGTCGCGAATCATCGGGAGACACGGAAGCGCGCGCGGAATCTTGAGCCCGAGCGGGTCGACTCTGGGCAGGAGTTGCGGGCGGTCGCCGAGCGAGGTCGAACGACCCATGGATGGGACGTACGAGCGCACGAAATCAGTTACGTTTGAGGACGATCTTCCGCACGGATTTCCCGAGCGCAAGGCTTCGTTTTCGCGATTTCATTTTGAGGAAGACGACGCGCTCGCGCCGCTCTCCGGCTTTGTCGCCGTCGTCCTCAGCGTCGTGTTCGTCGCGTTATCGTCGCGTCTCATCACCGCCACCTTCGCCGCTTTGGTGAAGGTTTGATTCATTACCGTCCCACCCAGCCTTGCACTAGTCTAAGCGACCGTTCTGCGTCCAAGAACGATCGCCCCTTTGTCCGAGAAACCTTCTCGGGTTGTATTCATTCCTTCTCAGCACCACAGCATTTGGCGCCACGTTTTTCAAAAATCACGCGACGACCGGGGTTTAGGCGTGACAGCTCGACAGAAGATACACCCGGGTGTATCCAAACCGCACTCGTCGACGTCCGCGGCGTTCGACATGCGCGCGTCGTCCGTCTCGCGCGCGTCCTCGACGTCGCGCTGGCGTCTTCGTCGTCCTCACGCGCCTCGGCATCGCGCGTCGGTGCGAGCCGCGTCGTCGACGAGCGCCGAGAGCTCTCGACCGCAATCGCATTCGAGCACGAGACGAGAGATCACGTTCGTTCGACACGGACAATCGACCTGGAACGCGGTGGGGCGAATACAAGGATCGAGTAATTTCAGCTTTCTCACGGACAAGGGAGAGAGCCAGGCGGAGATCACGCGCGGGATCGTGGCAGAGGAGGAGTACGACGCGTGCCTGGCGTCACCGCTCAGACGAGCGAGACAAACCGCGGACGTGGTGTGGGGGAGACGGGACGCGAGCGCGATCAGGGAAGATAGGGATCTCCGAGAGATCGATATGTATGCGTTCGAAGGTTTGTTCAAGGACGAGGGTAAGGCGAAGTTTGGAGACGCGTACGATACGTGGAAAAAGTCACCCCATGAACTCGTCATCGAGGGACACCACCCGGTGCGAGAGCTCTGGGATCGAGCAACGTCAGTGTGGGAGCGATCGCTCTCTGGAAGCGGTGGAGAACAAAAGATACTCGTCGTGGCGCACAACGCGATGAATCAGGCACTGATAGGAAGCGCCCTGGGATTGGGACCAAACTACTTTCGACGTTTGTTACAGAGCAACTGCGCTGTGAGCAAGGTTGTGCTGGATGAAAATTTCGCGCCCAACACGGGGAAAGGGATCGTTTTGGAGTACTTAAACCAAACGCCTGAAGTTCCATTGGGTCAGGATGACAGCGTCACTTTGATTCACTGCCCATCGAGCGTCGAGGACGAGGCAGTTATCACCACGAGCGTCATCAATATGTTGAGGATGATACCTGTGCGGACGCTCATGCACACCAAGGACGGATCTTCGACGCGCTTGGCGGGTGAGATCATCGAAAGGTGTAAAAAAGAATCGAGTGGCGAGTGCCCTTTTGCGGCCATCGCGGTCGAATCCATCGATGAATCTACGAAAGTTCTTGCCGAGACGGCTGGATTCAGCGGTTCGACGTTCATTGTCGCCGACAAGAGCTTCTGTCAAAATTTCATCGCACAGACCTTGGTAATGGAGAGCGGTGAGATGTTCAATTTGTCTCCCGGCGGAATCACCGTATTTGATATGAACGGTGGCCCGAAGAAGGATCCAGTTGCCGTGTGCATCAATCACAGGCTGTATCTGCCAGCCTTCCGCCGGGACTTTAATATCGCGTAATATTCTCAAGCTACTGTGTATTCCTATAATTCGATGTGCTATTTGCTAAGTTCTACTCAGTACTAATCGTCACGGCGCTTCTCTCGTTTCTCCTTCTTCTCTTTCTTCTCCTTCTTGTGCCGCTTTGCGTCCCGTCCGTCGTCCTCAGCCGGGATGGGCAAGCCTTTCACGGCGGCCTCCGCCCGAGCGATCGCGGCCGCCTTGCGAGCCATGAGCTCACGAACCACGCGTGCATCGTCGTCCTCCGCGATCGTCGAGCGCGGTCCTATAGCGTCGACGACGTCGCGACTGTCTTCCACTGAACGCGCTCTGTCGCTCCCCGGCTCCGGCTCCGCCTCGTGTTCCCTCTTCGTCACCGGTCTCGGGGTCCCACACTTGAAGCACGCGTCGCGCCACTTAAAATTATCGCTCCCACACGCGCACTTCCACTCTCTCTCGACCTCTCGTCCCTCTTTTTCCTCTGGATTCTTCGCTCGGTAATCGTCCACGTGCTCCACGCGAATGATCCGTCCGCCCACCGTCGACCCGTTCAGGTTATCCACCGCCAACACCGTCGATCGTTGATCGGCGTAACACACGAACGCGAATCCTCTGGACTTCCCCGTCTCTTCTTCTCGCACCACGTTCACGTCCACGATCTCACCGAACTGGGAGAACACGCACAGGACGTCACCCTCCGTGAGCGCGAACGGGAGTCCACCGGCGTAGACGTACGCGCTGTGCCTGAACTGGTCGTGCCACGACGCCGAGACGTCTCGTCCGCTCGCGACTTCCTCGACGTTGATCTTTTGCGTGCGCTGAATCTGCGTCAACGCGTTCATCGCCACCGCGACGCGCTCGAAGTGCGGGACCGCGCTCGACGCGCGCGAAGCTCGGTGTAAACCCGCGGCGGCGGCGGCGATGCGCATCGACGGGCTCGACGCGCGCACACGGCGACGCGGGTCGGTGCGAGCGTTCGGTGAGACGGAGATGAGGAGCGAAAGCGAACGCGCGTCGACGTCGTACGACGAGACGCTGTCGAGGGAGATCGCGAGCGAGCTACGGTGCTCGACGAGCGCGAGAAGGGAAACTTTTGAGAAAATCAGAGAGGTTGAGCGTTTGCTCAGAGGTGCGCGCGATGGGACGGACGATACCGAGCGAGCGATGTGGAAGAGAACACGTCGACGCTTCGTCTCGTCGACGCTCGAGCGGTCGGTGATGAATCCTAATTAATCTTTGAGAACTGATCATCCCCGTGATGTCTCAATGACAAGCATATGACTGAGACCACTGCGAGCGGAGACGACGACGGATGGACCGAGTAAATGTGTGGACGGGAAGAGAGGACGAGAACTGACGCGCGCGATACCTTTTGTGCTCACGACGCAGGGTTGAAGGAGAAGGACGTCAAAGCGGTCGCGCCGGGATGGTTTTCGATCGAGTGCGAAGAGGGGAAGACGCTGCGGTTCTCGCCGCCGACACGGGTGCGGACGATCGGGAGTCACGCCGAGGGTGGATGCGGTAACGTGCCAATGAATGGCAACGGGAGCATTGTTGTGGACGTTGCATTGGAGATGCCAAAATCATTTTTTCAGGAGAAGGATTACTTGGATCATAGATATCACTTCAAGCGCGCGGTGTATCTGGAAGTGTTGCTCAAGGCGCTATCAAAATCGCAGGAGTGGGCGTGCGAGATCATAGATCAGCACCAAGATCCTAGAAAGCCGTACATCAACATGCATTTTGGGGAGAAGGGTGCGAAGAGATCTTTGCGTCTACTTCTCACGATTGATGCCGAGACTTTTGCGTCTATTCGATTATTGCCGAGCAGGGCAAACTTGCGAAGCCTCGAGTTGAAGGGTGGTGAGCGTCCAGCGAGTCCGCACTACAATCAAACCATAGCCGAGGACATGTATGCGAATGTGCACGCACAGTACTTTGCCGCTGCGTCTGCAAAGGCCAAGTCGTTACCTGTGGCAGTCTTGCTTGTCAAGCGTTGGGCACAGGGTCGACGGCTCATGGACGGCGTTGATGGTGTCAACGGACTTTTCATTTCAATGCTCTTAACTTACATGATGGAGCAGGGCGGACAATTGAGCACTAGTATGGAGGCAAATCAGATGTTTCGCGCTGCCTTGGCTGCGCTCGCTAGTCCTGGCTTCTTCAAAAAGGGGCTATTTGTGTGCGGCAGGCCCGAGGAGGCTGACGAATGGCAAGCCACATTCCCTCATGTCTTCCTTGGTCCATGCGGTCGCGTGAACTTCATGGCCCGAATGTCTCCGAGCGCAGTGGCAGAGCTGATCCATGAAGCGACACTTTCGTCCGCCGAGTTGAAAAAATCCAATCACTCCGCATTCAGCGACGTCTTACTTGGCCAGTTTCCTGCCGCGGTTCGTTACGATTTACACATTCATGTGGATGTGAACGTTTCCGAGCTCGGTGCGGCATCTGAGCGAGACTTGAACGCCAGGCGTACCGTTGAGGTGGACGCGGCAAAAATCGTCTCACGCGCTCTGAGTGATCGTGCGAAACTGGTGCGAGCGGTTGAAGTATCGAATTCGAGCGTCAACGTGATCGGCAGTCAGACATGCACCTTGTGGATTGGCGTCGTTTTAGATCCAGAAAACGCCCTGCGGCTGGTCGACGTCGGGCCTAGTTCGTCCGACGATAGAGAAGCGAAAGAGTTCCGTGCATTCTGGGGAGACAGATCCGAGCTTCGTCGTTTTAAAGATGGAAGAATCTGCGAGTCTGTTGTTTGGGACGCTGTTCCCCCATTGTCTCGTCATCACATTCCGGCGATGGCGGCTGAGCAAGCGCTCAAGCGCAACATGACTGGTATTGACGGTATTGAATGGAGCTCTAAAATTTTCGACGAACCCGTAAGCAAGATTGCGAGCGCTAGCGAAGGCACCACTTCCGCAGGTTTGCTCCAGACGTTGGACCGATTGGCAAAGCGCATGCGGGATCTGAAGGAAATGCCTCTCAAGGTGAACAACGTCCAACCGCTGAGCGGAGCTTTTCGTGGCACAGATCCGTGCCCGCCAAAGCCGCATCCGTTGGCGCACGGTGCTGGTATCGGTCTCGGCATGGGCGACGATGACATCCCTGCGTGTCCGAAAACTCTCGACATCATGGTTTCTTTGGAGGGGAGCGGCCGTTGGCCTGATGATCCAGTTGCGATCGAGAAGACGAAGGCAATGATGGCCGTGCAGCTCGCTGAATCACTGCGAAAGAGCTACGCCATGCCGAGCATTGTCGCCGAAGAAGCTGTTGACATTTTATTCGAGGGCTATGCGTTCCGCGTGCACGTGAGCGCTTCGGCTGGCGGGCCACACGTCAAAGACATGGAAGAAAATATTCTTCAGCGAGCGGCGCACGCGGGATTGATCGCATCGGTTGCGGCAAGGTTCCCAATGTACGGTGCCGCGACGCAGCTTGTCAATCGTTGGGCTGCTTCGCACATGTTTTCGCCGCATCTTTCGGATGAAGCCATCGAGGCACTCGTGGCGCTACTCTTCATCAATCCAGGTGCACTGTCTCCGCCGATGTCTCGTGAAGTTGCGTTTATTCGATTCTTAAATTTGATATCGTCGCACATGTGGTACGACCCGGTGGTTTTGGATCCGGAGAGTGTCCTGAGCATTGCCGAGGTCGAAGGTATTGATAGACAAGCCAAGGACGCGCCGGCGATGTGCATCGTCACTCCGCATGATAAAAGCGGTTCGCGTCTCACGATGAACAAACCCAGCGCGGTTGTTCTCAAGAGACTTGAATCCATCGCAGCTCGCGCGACCTCTGAGATGCAAGCCGTGCTCGAGGGTACTTCTACGCACTCAATGTTTGAGACAGAGTGCTGGGAGCGCTTCTTCAAACCGTCTCTCAGCGGTTTTGACGCCGCTTTCATACTTCGACGTACAGCACTTCCGTTTCCGAAGGAAGCATTGTTCCCAAGCAAACGCTTGTACAAGCGTATGCGGACGCAGTTCGAGAATGAGATGAGCGTTGTCGACGAGGACGAGGACGAGACGCTCGCACAGAGCATCAAGCTTGCCAAAATCCCTCGGAAACTCCTTGCTAAGGGTCCGGACAAGGCGCGCGAGGCGTTGTTGGTGGGATTTGATTCCACCGGCTGCTTTATAAGTGCCGCCGAGCGCCGACTCGGCGGAACCGCTCTTCTGTTCGTTGACAAGTACGGCGGGGACGTCGTCGGCGTTGCGTTCAAACCGAAAGCCGTGCATATCGACGCTGCGCTTCCGGAATCCGTGTCGTGGTTGCCCAATCCCGCCCCCCCCTCTCGAGAGGACGTTATCGAAGAGATTGCCGTCGGCGTCGGCGCAGACTTCGTTGAAAAAGTCCTCACCTAGACTTAGTATCTCCTAGAAAAGCTGTAGTGAAAGTTGAGCGTTTCACAAAAATTACGTGGTCGACATTACAACGTGACAATAGTACTTTCAGAACGGTCTTGTTTGTCCCGCGCCGCGAACATTCGAGGCACCATACAACTCTTTGCAGGCGTGATACCTTGCCGTCTCCGCCTTCTTCGCTGTTGCGACGTCCTTGTGCTTGTAAACGTGGCTGATGTTTACGACACGATTTTGTTGACATATCCTGGACGCCGCCGCGTTACCACTCTCTTGGTCGCTGATCCTCTGCAACAAATTGGTCTTCGAGTGGGCCATGCCGATGTACTTTTTCCCATTCGACAGATTCGCCGTGTACGTGTACGCAGGGCCTTTCGCGACGATTGATTTCGGTTTGAACGACGAGCGATGGGTGGTCTTCGAGTGGGCCATGCCGATGTACTTTTTCCCATTCGACAGATTCGCCGTGTACGTGTACGCAGGGCCTTTCGCGACGGTTAATTTCGGTTTGAACGACGAGCGATGGGTGGCATACGAGCGGTTGCCTCCCCCGCGGTGCGCGTGTCCTCGAGCCATCGCGCGCGTTGAAGTGCCCACTTTGGATCGTCCCGGAGACGCCGTGACGACGACCGCGATCGCGCCCATAAGTGTGATTAAAACTTTTATCCATCGCCAATCATTCTTAAATCCACATCACGTCCCCGTATTAAACCATGATTCTTCCGGGGCCGGTCGGGAGGCCGGCTCCACGGTTTTATCCAATATGATGAGTCGGTTAAGTCGATGATGATCATCGAGACGTTAGCCCCCGCCAAATACCTTGTTACTTTGCGAGGCGTCAACCAGCTCTGACCCCTTTTCTTCGTATTGACGAAGACGGAACCGCCGTGCACGGGAAGATGAAGACGTCGTTCGGACGCGTCGTTCGCGCGACGGATGCGTCGCGCGCGCATTCGTTCGCGCGCGTCCCGTCGGTCCGTCGCGTCGCGTCTCGCTCGTCCCTGGACGTCCGAGTGCGAGTGACGACGATGCGCGCGTCAATGCGCGCGTTGACGTCGTGCGCGGCGTCGTCGAGCGGACGCGGGGGGGGTCGCGGGGCGTCAAAGGGTGGGCGACGCCCGAGCGGCGGACGCGGCGGCGGCGGACGCGGCGGCGGTGTCGACGGACGACGCTCGGGGAAGAAGGAATCGGACGCTCGGGCGATCGGGGAGAAGGAGAAGCACTTGTACTTCGACGAAGCCGCGATCGTGGTCGTCGGCGGCGCCGGTGGAGACGGTGAGGGGTGGACGGGACAGGCGAAGCCAAAGGTTGTGAAGAACTTCAAGTATCAGTGGGGACGAAACCTGAAGAAATATATTGAGCTCCCGGCGGCAGAACCGGCGGATGGTGGACGTGGGGGGAACGTGTACTTGAGGGTCGATCGCACGTGCGACTCGTTGTTACACTTGCACGAGCGCAAGACGTGGCGGGCGAAGAAGGGGTATCACGGGAGCGCGGCGGATTACGCTGCTGGCGGACGGGAGCGCCATCGCGTGGCGCCTGATCAGGAGCACATGTACATTCCGGTACCCCCGGGGACGGTGGTGCGAAGAAAACGCACGGGTGAACTTTTAGGAGACATGACCAAGCACGGTCAGACGCTCCTCGTCGCCGAGGGTGGGGGTGGTGGTTTCGCCGCGCGCCGGCAGCAAAAGCAGGTGAACCGTCGCCGAAACGCCAAGGCAGAGGACTTCGAGGCGTCTGACATCGCCATCGACACCGCTTCTCTCGTAAGCTCGGCGGGAGAAGCTGGGGAAGAGCTTTCAATCGAGTTGCTCATGCGCGTCGTCGCCGATTGCGGCCTCGTTGGTTTACCCAATGTTGGGAAGTCCTCGCTGCTGAAAGCCGTCACCAGGGCGTCGCCGGAAATCGCAAACTACGCCTTCACGACTCTCATGCCGAATCTCGGCGTCATAAAGACCGAAGACGACCTCGCACCGACGGGTGAGTCTTCGACGGTCATGGCAGATCTTCCGGGCTTGATTCAGGGCGCTCACAAGGGCTTGGGATTGGGTCGAGCCTTCTTGCGACACTTGCGAAGGACGCGAGCGATGGTTTGCGTTGTGGACGCCTCGGGACAGGACCCTCTGAACGATTACGTCGTGGTGCGTCAAGAGCTGAAACTGTACAACCCCGAGTACGTGCAACGACCGCACATTCTCGTACTCAATAAGATGGACATCGAGTGGGCCGCTCTGCGTACTGATGAACTCATGCAAGGCGTCGAGGCTCTCAATGAGGATATGATTGGCGTCCCTCCCGTGGCGGTTCTCCCCATTAGCGCGAAAGAAGGCACAGGCGTGCCGGAATTCATGGAGGCTCTAGAACAGCTCATGAAAGAAGAGGACGCTCGTCGGTAGGAATACGATAGAACGCGAATGTGACCATTGCAGCTGCTATTTTTTCTACACTAGAGGTCGAATAGACGAATCTCTGCGAACGCGTCTTGCCTTGTCGCGTTGTACCAGACGACGGCGCGCGCACTACCAAGCGTCGGAGGGAGCGGACAATCTAAACCATAAAGTACTTCCGGAGACGCGACCTCCTTCTTAAAGACATCACGAACTTGCGCCATGGGCTTCCGTTGCTTGATGGCGGAGAGTCCTGCGCACGTGGCGGCGAGCGCCTCCGCACCACTCGTCCGAACCTCCGTACGAAATCTCAGCGGGCCGAGAAGTTGCTGTGCGAAAGAGATCGTGACCGACGTTGGGCTTGCTTTAAGTCTACCGTCCGCCGTGATCAAGCGATCCCCTAAAGACATCGGTTTTTGCTCCGACGCGTCGAGCGGTTTGTACGGATTCCCCACACTTCCGGCATCAAGGCGAAGATTGACGGACGTGAAGTCGAACAGTGGACGCGAAAATGACCCAATTTGACCGTGCAAAGCTATCGAGGCGAAATTTTGCAGTCTCACTTCGTCCCCGTCGGTGTAATCTTCATCCAGACTCTTCCTCGCCACCGTGCCGAAAATACCTCCAACGGCGATCGTTGGCACTTGCGGGAGCGCGGTATATCCGTTCACGGCGCTCGTGGACGCGCGCTTTCGGCGTCTTCGACCATGCCACAAGATGACTTGTTGCTCGACAGAGACGCCTCCCAGAACTTCATTCCTGGGCGGTTTTTGCATTTCACCGTCTGGCGCCGATTCAAAGGGTTTGAGCTCCGTCCCCAGCCACTTGCGCGCCATGACACGATAGTTGATCATTCTTCGACCGCGAGACGCCAGGCTCACCGACGCCGAGGTTGGTCCATCGACGTGCGACTTCTTCGTCTCGAAACGCTCGTTGTGCGACAATTCCGCGTTGATGACGTGGCGCGGGATTTTCGCCTGCAAGAGCACTCGTGCTCGAGCGTCCTCCCGCGCCTCCCCGGCGTTGACCTCGATCGCGTCCGATTTCGTCTCATTCTTCTTTACGAACTTCTTCGTGATCGCCCTCGTGATCGCCCTCGCGCTCCCGAGCTCCCCCACCGCCTTGAGCGCGACGTTTTCCAACAGATTCATTCGAAACCGTCCGCCCAGCGCGTACATCGACGCGTCCAAAAGCGCTCGATGCGCCTTCCCCTCCTGCACCTGCTCCGTGTTCCAAGCGCGCTGCGCCCGCACCCGAGCCGTAACCGTGGTCCACCACCGCCCCGAACCCACGTTTGCGATCACGCGATCGAGCACCATCCCGCCCTCGTCTCTCGCGAAGCTCGGCACCGCCGGCGCGTTGAACAACTTTTGCGCCAGAAAAACCTGCTGCGACCGCGACAATCCGCTCGGAACGCGCATGGAAAAGTGTCCAACCCCATCACCCGACGTCTCCATCCCCCCCATCGCTCGCGCGCTCCCATCGATCGCCCCTGAGCTCGCGATCTCTCCTCCATCCGCGATCCTCGACCCGACCGCGCGCATCGGCGCGAACGCGCTGTGCCGGAGTCCATTCGACGCACGCGCGCGTCGCGTCGATCGTTCACCCCCCCGATCGTTCGTTCGCCCGCTCGTCATCGTCGTCGTCGCCCCCCCCGCGCGTCGACTCGTCGTTCGACGCCGACGCCGTCGCGCAATCAATCGTCAACCAATCCGTCGCGCGCGTCCATCGTCCACGCGAGACCGTCCTCGAGGCGTCACACGCGGACCTTTCTGTGTCGTGTCGTCTCACATACGTCACACGCGGACCTTTGTGTCCGCGCCCGCGCGGTCTCCAGGCGGCGCGTCGCGTCGGCGCGCGCGGGGCCACATCGCGTCGCGCGCGACAGCGAGCGCCGCGAGGGTGCATGAGAGAAGATAGGACGCCGTGAGATCCGAGCCGCGAACGCGGGCGTGGACGAGGCGAAGGCGTCGCGAGGGAGAAAAATCGAACGCGGACGACGGAGGCGGAGTGGATCGGACGAGCGCGCGAGCGACGGTGATCTCGAGAGGGGAAGCGAACGGGGGCGAGGCGACGGACGCGGGTGAGGCGAACGATCGAGCGCGATGGCGATGATTAACATCGGGGCGTCCAACGCCGGGGATCAATTCTATCGATATAAAATGCCAGCCATTCAGTCGAAAATAGAGGGTCGAGGCAACGGGATCAAGACCAACGTGGTGAACCTGGTGGAGGTGTCGAAAGCCCTGGCGCGACCGCCGATGTACACGCTGAAATTTTTCGGGAACGATCTCGGGGCGCTGACGAAGTTCGACGAGAAGAGTGGGCTGGCCATCGTGAACGGGGCGCACGACGCGGGAAAGCTCGCGCAGAGCCTCGAAGGTTTCATCAAGCGCTTTGTGCAGTGCTTCTCGTGCGGGAATCCGGAGACGATGATCGAGATCTCGAAGAGAGAGACTATTCACTTGAAGTGCAAGGCGTGCGGGGCGCTCTCGGACGTCGATATGCGACACAAACTGTGCACGTACATCTGCAAGAACCCTCCCGAGATTAAAAAGGATAAAAAGGAAAAGCAGCTTCGCCGCGCCGAGCGCGAGCGCGAAGAGGCTGGCGCCGCTCTCGATGCCGAAGAAAGACGACGACGAAAGGCTGAGAAGAAGGAGAAGAAGGAGAAGAAGGAGAAGAAGGAGAAAAAGGAAAAGAAGGAGAAGAAGGAGAAGAAAGAGCACGGTGAAGGCGAAGATGCTCCGGAAGGCGCCTCCTCCGCTTCCGAAGCTGACGATGACGACGACGTCGAGTGGCAGACGGATACCTCCGTCGCCGCCGCGAAGGCGCGTGCCGTCGAGCAGTTGACCGACGGTGCCGCCAGTATGGTCACCGTTGTTGCCGAGAAGATGAAGGATGCCAACATCGAGGAAGAGAGCTCTGAAGAGGAAGAAGACCCACGAGTGTCCAAACTTCGCGCATACGCCGCGAAGAACGACGCGGCGAAGACGGCGGAGTATCTCATCTCCGATACGCTCGGTGTTGAATCCAAGGAGCTCGGTCTCGTCTTTCTTCTTGAGGCCATCTTTGACGAGGATGAGCCCATCCCGCCGCAAATCAAGGCGAAGAAGGACTTCCTCGTCGCTGCTTGTCCAAGCGATCAACTTCAGCGCGCTCTCTTGTGCGCTTTCGAGCGCTACGTCACTGAAACTGCTACCTCCGGCTTCAAGGTGTTCTCTCTGATCCTCAGCACGCTCTACGAGCTCGATCTCGTCGAGGAAGACATAATCAAAAAATGGAATGTGGACGTCGACGCCGCCTCAAACATCGAGGTTGAGCCCAAGGTGGCGCAAGCCGTGCGCAAGCAGGCCGCCAAGTTCATTGACTGGCTCGAGGATTCCGATGACGACGAGGATAGCGACTAAACCCGATAGCGCAATGCTTGTGTTGAAATGATCGCCGAAATTTGGAACTCGACCAGGCCCCTGCGCATCCCTCACATCGCGCCGCGCGCGCATGTCACTCGCCCGTCTCGCCCTCGTCCGTCTCGCTCCGACGGTCGACGTGCACGTCACTCAACTTCGTCGCACTCTCTGTCGCGCATCCACGAACCGCGCCTTCAACCAAATTCGCACGATGAGCGAACGGGATGAAGTCGGAGTGAAAAAGCGAACAATCAGGGGCGTGGTGTTCGACATGGATGGAACGTTGTGCGTGAGCGCAGCGTTGGACTTTACGGAGATGCGACGACGCGTGGGATGCGCGACGGCGGATATTTTGGGTGAGGTCGACTCGTGGGACGCCGAGCGAAGGGCAAAGGCGTACGAAATCATCGGAGAGATGGAACGCGAGGCGCTGCGGACGACGACCATCATGCCTGGCGCTGTGGACGTCGCGGCTACGCTGGATGAGATGAAGATCCCGCGAGCTCTCGTGACGCGAAACGCAGCGAGCTCGGTGGACTTTTTTCATGACGAGGTGTGGTCGATCGCTCCGTTCTCGCCGTGGTTGAGTCGGGAGTTTAAGCCGTACAAGCCGGCGCCGGATGCGCTGTTGCACATTTGTGAGAAGTGGGGATGCTCAGCGAGCGAGATTATCATGGTCGGCGACAGCGCAAAGGATGATGTCGTGAGTGGAAACCGCGCCGGGGCGATTACCGTGCTCCTGGACAGCGGGCGAACTAAAAAGTGGTCGGAGGAATTTGGCGTAGATAAGCTGGCCGAAGAGATGACGCCGCACTTTATTTGCGCCAACATGAGCGAGTTGCAGACGCTTCTCACACAATCCGATTACTTTGAGTTTGCCAATTAAAGGCAAGTGGATGAGTCCTTTGAGTGTATTAGATTCAACGTTTAGCGCGGCTATTTGCTAGGTAAATTTATTTTTTTCCCATTGAATTGATCAACTCTGCCTGCACGTCCTGTGTCACAGCTTGGTGGGCGCTGTACTCCATCGTGAACTCCCCTTTACCTTGCGTCATACTTCGCAACTCAGTACTATACCCGAACATTTGGCTCAAGGGCACGTTTGCGCTGACGATGACGTCGTCACCATCTGCAGAAGTGTCATTGATGGTCCCCTTACGACGGTTCACGTTCCCTATCACAGTGCCTTGGAATTCGGACGGGATCGTCACGTCTACCTTCATAATTGGCTCCAATAATTTTGGATTAGCGCTGTGGAACGCTTGTCGGAAAGCCGCGAGCGCGGCGAGCTTGAACGCCAATTCAGAAGAATCAACAGCGTGCGATTGGCCGTCCGTCAACACAACTCTGATGCCCTCCACTGGGTAACCGAGTAGACCACCGGTTTGCGCCGCCTCTTTGAAACCCTTTTCTACAGCTTGAATGAAAGACGGTGCGATGGCGTTACCGACAATACCGTTCTCGAAGATGACATCCGTAGACTCTTGCAACGGCTCAATGTAACCAACAACCTTACCATATTGGCCTTGGCCACCAGATTGCTTCTTGTGCAAGTAATCGAAGTCTGCTCTCTTCGTGATGGCTTCTCTGTAGTTAACACGCGGCTGACCAACCTCACAGTCGACTTTGTATTCACGTCGCATGCGCTCGACGTAAATATCGAGATGTAACTCACCCATGCCACTGATGATGGTTTGGCCGCTCTCTTCATCCATGTGTACGCGGAACGTGGGATCTTCCTTTTGGAAGCGTTGAAGAGCTTTGCTAAAGTTCCCGCCATCAGATTTACTTTTCGGGCTCACTGCGAGGGACATGACCGGCTCTGGAACCCGCATGGAAGTCATTGCAAGATTCACAGTACCATCTGTGAACGTGTCACCGCTCTTGCAGTCGACGCCAAAGAGTGCGACAATATCGCCAGCAGACGCAGAGCTCACGTCTTCCATATCGTCACTGTGCATTCTCACAAGACGGGGAACCTTGAGCTTCTTACCGCTGGACGTATTGGTGATCGTCATGCCCTTTTCTATCTTGCCCTGGTAGATACGAAGGTACGTGAGCTGACCAAAACGACCCTCCTCGAGTTTGAACGCCAAACCAACGAGCGGCGCGGACGGATCATCGGCGACGACGACCGGTTCTTCATTATTCTTTAGATCCAACGCGATATTCTTAACCTCGGAGGGGTTGGGGAGATAATCAGTGACGCCATCCAAGAGGAGTTGCACGCCCCGATTCTTGTACGCGCTACCCATGAACAACGGGGCGAACTGGTTCGATACCGTCGCCCGTCTGATCGCCGCCTTGAGCTGCTCTTCCGTGGGCTGCTCACCCATTAAGAACAAGTCCCCCAACTCCTCGTCCACCTCAGCGACGCTTTCGATGAGAACCTTGCGCTTTTCCTTGGCGAGTTCCTTGAGGTTATCCGGGACGTCGGCCCAAGTCAGTGTCTCTCCGTTCGAACCAGAAAACGTCACCGCCTTCATGCGCACTAAATCGACGACTCCATCGTGTTGATCTTCCAATCCGATAGGAATTTGCACCGCGGCGGCGTTAAGCTTTAACTTTTCTCGGACTTGACTGAGCACCTTCCACGGATTTGCGCCCGCTCTGTCGCACTTGTTCACAAAGCACAACCTCGGGACACCGTACCGACGCATCTGCCTGTCAACCGTGATAGACTGCGACTGGACGCCACCGACGGAGCACAGCACGAGAATTGCGCCGTCGAGCACGCGCAGCGCCCGCTCGACCTCGATGGTAAAGTCCACGTGTCCCGGCGTATCGATGATGTTGATCGGCGAATCCTTCCATTGGCAATACGTCGCCGCCGACTGAATCGTGATCCCCTTCTCTCGCTCGAGTTCCATGGAGTCCATCTTCGCTCCCACTCCGTCCTTCCCTCGCACCTCGTGTATCGAATCGATGCGTCCCGTGTAGAATAAGATGCGTTCCGTGAGCGTCGTCTTCCCGCTATCAATGTGCGCCGAGATTCCAATGTTCCTTCTCAACGCGCGCGCGTCCGCCGCATCGCTCGATTTCATCCGCGTCGTCCATGCCGTCGTCCTCGCCGTCGTCCTCGCCGTCGTCCGTCCCGGCGTCGTCCCTCCGAATCCATCCACGCCCCGGCATCCATCGCGCGCGCTCGCGACGCCGTCACCCATCGACGTCCACGCGCGCTTCCATCGAATCGCGCGGGCGATCGCGCGCGCGCTCTCCCTCGTCCTCGACATCGCGGACGTCGACGCCCCGTCGCGCGGTCGCGAAGAGGCGACGTCGACGTCGGGGGCGTCGCGATGGGACCTCGAGGTCCGCGTGTGACGACGTGAGACTCCAAGACGATGCCCGACGCCCTCGCCGACGCCGACGCCGACGTTCTCGGGACGCACCGACGCGGCGGACGGGATGTTAGGGACGCGCAACGGTGGCGCCGCGGCCTGGGGAGTGGCGCTGATCGCGATCGGGGCGTACGGGGCGTACACGGGGGAGATTTCATTCGACGCGTGGCACGAGATGCGGGCGCGGCGCGCGCGCGCGGAGGGCGAGCGATTGATGCGAGAGGGCGAGACGGGAGCGAGATATCGAGCGGCTTTGGAGGCGCAGAGGGAGAAGACGGCGAAGACGAGATCGTGGTTCGGTCAGAGAGGAAGCTAGGGTGGAGAAGGAGCGGGATTAGATTGGATGACCGTCTACCACGCGACGCTCTCGACCGTGTACGTCGTGCTGACGACGCCGTGCTGCTCCGGAAGGGGAGAGTTCTCACCGACGTGTCTGAGAGCACCTCGGAGCGTCGTCACCGCGCGCATCATGTCGAGCATTTTGTTTGACGCCGCCTCGAGCGCGCGCACGCGCTCCGCGACGTCGCCCGCGAGGCAAAACATAGCGAGCTGGGCGTCCAGAAGGGCGCATGCCCAGTTCACCACCGCATGCGCGCTTGGTATCCCGGGCTCAGAAAGCGTGTTGATTCTGGCGAATAGTCCGTCCGAAGAGGCATAAAAGTTGGCCCACACGAGCAAGTAGTTGAGGAGTGCGACGGCGTCTCGCTTGGAGAGTTCGCGTAGCACGCTCGAGCTCGTCGTCGGATCCAAAGGACGAGCCACCAGAGCGTGAAGTTGCTGAGCCCACGGTGCAAATGCGTCGTAAGCGCACACCAAGAGTTGTGCTCGCGCGATCAAGTGTTGCCTTGCTTCGCTCTTGTCGTTTGACGAGCTCACCTCTGCCTCCTCGAGCGCCTTCTCGGCAAGTTTCTTGTCCACTGCTGCGCGCTTCTTCAACACCGGATCTTCGGCATCCCGCGAAAGAGCGGAGCACAAAATCGCAGATACGTCCGCACTCGAGATATCGCTGGCGTTCACGAGAAAACTCCTGATTTCTTCGATCATGTCCTCCTCGATGAGAGCGGGCACTAAGTGCCGTGCCACCGATGAACCGCTTATGTGTCCACCGTGAAGCAGCGTAGAGACCGGCTCCCACGAGCGGTGCGTCAACCCACCTGTTATGGCACTATCTATGAGAATTTGAGGAATGGGAAGCGTCTTCATCATGGACTCCAGCGACGAGTTCGCTTTCTTACTCCCACTCGCCAAAGCCTCAGCTGTTGATTTGACAGACTTTTCCAACGCTTGAGAATCATCCTGAGTCCAATCGTCACCCAAATGAATAACGCCTTGACCATCCGCCTTGACATCGTCTAAATTCCACCCAGGCATCACTACCGCGTGCTGCTTCGGCGTGCTCGTCACTGAAACTGCTTCGGCGCCCAAAATTCGAATCGCGGCTGCACTCACATCCGGTTGCACGGTGAGCGATCCCACCAGAGAAGCTAACGAGAGCTCTGGAAGAGCTAACTGCACAGAAAGCAATTGATCCGAAAGACCAATTATGAGACCACCGGCGATCGCGGCGAGACAAACGCCCGACGTTCGTCCAACCTTGTTTTCCAAACCTTGACTGACATCCTCTGCCAAATGGATGGCGCCATAGCGCGAATCAATGACAGCAACGATGACAGTCTGCTCCTCCTTTGAATTCGCCACAACTGCGTAATAATCGCTCGATAAACACATAGATGCCGTGCTCGCTATCGACGAGCTCGTCTCACTCTTTTTACTGCGTTTGCCAGATAGCGGCTCCTCGACTTGACAGTCCAGTCCGTTGAGTTGGAGTCTGTGAATAATGGATCCATCGCTCGTGTCGTGCAGCACCCAGAGTCCGTCGTCCCACAAAATCATGAGCGTTTCTCCATCGCTCGTGGCGGTGGCGATTCGTGCCTTATCATTGCTATCTGGGTGACTGACGTCCAATTCCCACGCTTGCGTGAGGCGTCTCTTGTCACCCACAACAGCGACAACGTATGCACTAACTCTGTGTTTCTTCGACTTACCGTCTGTCGTCACCACGAGTGCACCGACAGATTCCGGCAGCGCGCTCGCGAATTCGATCCGCCGCGTTCCGCTCTTTTGGCTCGCGCTGTGCACCAACTCTGCCGACGCGTTGAATAGTTGTACGTCGCCAGACGTCGTCACCACCAGAGCGCCACCCTCCACCGCGATCAACTCCCGAACTCGCGCGCTTCCATTCATCGCGATCTCTTTCACGCATCCCTTTGAAGCCTCCCCCACCGTCGCCGCTTCCGCACCGTCCGCCTCGCTCCACGCGCACAGCTCCGTCTTCCCGTCGGCGCGCTCCAGGCACGCGTAATACCTTTCGCCGGCGCCGTCCGCTACCACCGCGCATGCGAACGCCCGTCCGCGATCGAGCGCCCACGTTCGCTCCCGTCGCTGCGTATGAACGATCTCTCCCTCGTCAGTCGTCTCGTTCGCCCGCGCTCGGCGTCGAGAGCGCTCGAAGCGCGTCGAAAGCGCTCGAGTTCGGCCCAGCCGCCACTTTTTCGTTCCATCGGGACGCTCGAGCGTTCGCGTGCGCGCGGGGCTCATCCGTCGCGCGCGCACGCGAGATCACTCACGCGTGACCACGCGCGCGCGTTCGCGCTCCACATCGCGTTCGATCGCGTCGTACCTCGCCGTCGACGTCGTGTACGACGACGCCGTCCTCGCGCACGGTGCTCACACAGCGATCGTTACGAAGCGTGGCGACGCCGAGGAGCGCATTATTGGCGTGCGTCGACAGGAAAGACGCGCGCATCGTTAGTTATCCGCGAGTGGGGACGTTCGGTCGAGCGCTGGACGAGCGTCAGACGCGAAGTGACGCTGGAGACGCGAGCAAACGGAAGAAGGCGCGGGTGCAGGCGGCGGCGATGATACATGCGCGCGCGCGGGGGATATAAATTACAATGGTTCATAAGACACGGTTTAATGGAATTCCACGTCACCCCAAGCGGCGCCTTTGCACCACACGGCTTGTGTGTTGTCGTCGGTTGAACTTGACAACCAATATGGCGGCGTGTACGACTGCGTGGAGAGCGTTAACTCGCTCGCAGTGCTCACATCTATCTCAATCGAACCTCCATCAACGTCCGGATAGCGGTCATGTACGAGTGAACTCCACGCAACGGCACCGTCGACTTCGATCGTGAGAATCGCGCCGCACCGGGGATTGTCAACAGTACAGTCGCCGCAGCCGTCATTCTGAGTTGTGTCTGGGAACTCTCGTACAATTCCAGCCTGTGTGCTCAAGGTGGAGAATTTGATTTTCGACGTACGCATGGCGACCAAATCGAATGTCACACTTGAACCGGTGGTCTCAGCGGGTATCATACCCAAGCCGCGTCGTATTTCATCGTATGATGTTCTGTTGGAACACAGACCTGACGAGTTACCACGTTCGGGAAGACTTAGGTCACAGGGTTCATCCTGGTAAAAGTAAATGCGTTTATTCTTCTCCAACGTGTATCCAGAGCACTCCAAACATACATTCCCTGTCACATCCTTGACGTAATCGGTCGTCGTTCCCGTGACGAGTTGTCCTAACTTTGTACCAAAGAGGCAGGCCGCGTGCAATGGGTTCCGTCTTCGTCCACTACTGTCAACATGCGTGTCGATGATTTCGTCCGTGCACGTCGTTGAAATGAGACCGTGATTATTCAATACGCAGCCATACGTATCATCTTCAACGTAAAATGTATCACACGTGCAGGTACCAGTGAGTTTGTCGCACGTGCCATGACCACCACAATCGTTTGAGCAGTACTGAAATTCGCAACCATCGCCGTAGTATCTGTTGGCGCAGAAGCACGTACCCGTCTCGAACGTGCAAGCACCCGCAGCGTTGCATTCGGCATTCGATTTGCCGAATAGATTCAAGAGTTGCAGCTCTCTTTTGTTCAGTGCTCTGAGTTCTTGCGCGAAATAACGCGCTTGTGTGGCATTTCCACGGCTTGGAATACCATTGGCGTAAAATGGTTCCAACGCTCTTGCCCTTTCACCTTCCACAGAACTGGCGAACTCCACATAAGCCACCCCAACAAGATGCGCCAAACTGTACTCGTCGCCCGGAATCGCGAAGACCGGAGCCTGATCACCGTTTGTTTCACTCAGCTGCACGTCGTACACAGAGAGGCCCATGGCCTCATATTTGGCTTTGATGGGTGCGGTGCCGGCTGAGATATCGAGCTTGTGCGTTGCGTTACCTTCGAAAACGATATAATTTTTCTTGCACGATCTCAAGGAGCAATCATTACCGAAGTACGGATAGTTGCACGAGCACTTTCCGGTTCCACCGACACAATCTATCTCTCCAGTTTCTGAGTTGAGCACACAAATCTGCTCAGAGTCACAAGCTCCGTTGCCACTGCACTCCAGTCCTGCGACCGCACTCGGGCACTGGACGGTGGAACAATCCTCTCCATCGTATCCATCATCACACTGGCATACTGGAGGAATCTGCTCTTTTTGACAGCGCCCCTTATCGTTGCAGAGGTTGGGACATTTCAACGCATACTCGGCCACCGTAACGTTCAATTCTTCCACGCGTGCAAGCAAAGATCCACCTTCCCTCCCGTCCTCATCACTCCCTTCCTTCCCTTCCGTCATCACTCTCGAAAAGTGTTTGAGAGCATCCTCGTATTCATACGATATATGTTCACAGCTGATGACTGTGATATTGGGTAACCCATACTTGCCAGTTTCCGGATAGGGATAAGAAGTTGGGAGCTGCATGACCACGGTAATCGGCTTCGACTTAACATACAGGTCGACTGTGAGCATGGATGTGGTTCTGTCGTACCACACCGGCGCTTTCTCACTCAAAATGACAATTTCTTGAAGTTTTGCTGACTGTGCTACTAGTCGTCTGATCGTCGCCGTCAAAAATCCCGGAATATCCTGAGTGTGAATGCCCGATTGTACCAGGTCAGTGTGCTCAAAATCGTCTGGATAAATGATGATGTCCTCCAAAGTCACTCCGTCTTCGCTGAATCCCATCCAAATCTCGTGTTCTTCAGAAAGATCGGTAAGATTGCACGCTGGGATAAATCTATCTGTTCTCACAGCGGTTGTATTGCACGGAGTGCTGGCTTTCAAGACGATGACATTCTCCCTTGAGAGCATTCGTTTTGCGCCCGATGGGACGATAAGTCCCTTGATATTCGTAAAAACAACACAATTCTGTCCAAGCGTATCTCCAAGCCTCCTGAAATAATTCAACCAACCTCGCCAAGTAACTCCTTGTTGCGATGGCGAAGAAGCGCCGCTAAGACTATCACTCGACTCGCTAGCGGTGACCTGTGCTTGGAGAGTTGCAATCAAATCGAGATTTTCTGAGGCATGTCCGTGCGCATTCAAGTACTGGATTGCTGCGTTTATCTTGACCTCGTCGACGCTTGAATCTTCAGCAAGAGCGATAAGCGCCGTTCGTCTACTGTCATCGTCTTCATCCATACTGTTTCGGTAGTTGAAATCGGTAATCTCTGTCGGGCTGCTGACATTTCGCTTGTCGAGCGCAATAAGCGACTCCGCCACGTATCCTTGACTGACTAATAATTTGTACTTTTCAAAGATCTGCATGGCGTTTTCCCAGTGAAACGAGTTATCCACAAGGAGAGCTGTCGAGTTCGGCGAGACGGTGATGTTGAATTTGTGTGTGATGACGTTCTCTCCGTCTGAGATCCGAAACTCAACGTCGTACGTGGCGTTGTTTGAGCATCGCTCGGTTGCTGGATGCCAGCTGTCACTCCTGCACTGCACATCTGCTTCATAAGGTATACCCGTGAGCAACCGAGTGGTCGGATCGAAGCGTAGAAATGATGGCAAAGTGACCGCCTCGTACGTCAACACGTCTCCGTCCGCATCCTCTGCTGTAATCCTGTACTCATATAGCGAGTCCTGTGTGGCGGTCAAAATATCATCACTCGTGACGCGTGGGGGATCGGCATATGTGAAACCTCGCTGACGAGCACCAGACGAGCTCGAAACTTCAGCAATTTCACAATCCGAATACGGGTATACCTTGGAAGCGGCTCCACACAAACCAGCCTGAAATTTGCCATTAGCCCGCTCTTCTGAGCTGACACTACGAACCAAATCGGGATCACCTATCACAACTGAAACCGTCACACCGGATCCTTCGCCCGCGGGGACCGTGCAACTCAGTGCACCTGCGCAAACGGTGTTCGCAGACGTGCATCTAGAGTAAGCCATGCCTAAATCTGTGCATTCCTTGTCGCCGATGAAGACGGTCTTGTCATCAACAGAGCTGCCAAAATTATATCCCGTGATGGTTATCCTAGTGCCACCTTGGCTGCTTCCAATGGCTGGACTGACGGATTTAATGATCACAGGTGCCTGAGGAATAATAAATGAATCCACTGCGATCCAACCGAACGGGCCCGATCGATAATCTAGAACTTCGAGTCTAAAAACTTCACCATAATAAGGCGCTAAATCCTCTTCTGACCATGTGTACGTCGTCCAGTATCGTCTCGATCGGACGGGCTTCGTGAGCACTCGATATCCGTCACTAATTCTCGTTAAAGCTACTCCGACAGTACCCTTACCGTGTGAAGCGATATCATACGGGTCTTGAGGAATGTCTGGGACGTTTTTGTCCCCTCCATTTGCCTCGAACATCAAATCCCCCCGACCAAGAGCGAATGAAATACTTTGCACTCGAAGAACTCCGTGAATATCTTCGCTGCGTTCCGTCGGATACGCGCTGCACAGCTGATATTCTCCACTATGTGCCTCAAGGAAACACTTTTTCGTGACGGCAAAGTTCGGCAAACCTTGAGAGAGCAACTTCCAACTTGGCCAAAACGTTCCCTCCTCGAAGCCCAAACGTAGCGGTGGCAAATCATACCTCAGCCTCACGTAGTCGGGCAACTTATCCTTCCACTCCGCCGCTGGAAGGCGCCATCCAGACATGCTAAATCCTAAGTTCGTCGCCGTATTCTGATACTCCGTCGTCCGCACGCCACCCACGTCTGGCGCGTAGAAGCATCGCTCCAGCCCGCGCGCGACAGCCGCGTCGTACGACAACGAGTACGTGCACGCCGCCATGTCCTGAACATCGTTATACGGTGGACCGTACGACTTCCCCTTGTACGCGTATCGCGCGAAACTAAATCCCGGATCGCCCGGCGTCCCGTACGAGTCCCGCTCCGTTATCGTCGGGACGCACCCCGCCGTGCGAAACGAGTTCCCCTCCGTCGACGGCCCGCACACCAGCGTCGGGTGCTCTGGATCGTACCCGAGACCGTCATACACCATCTCTAGCCCCCAAATCGCCTCCGCGGACGCGCACGGGCAAAGAGAAAGCGGTAAAAACACGACGCTGAGGACTCCAAACGAAAGCCATCGACCAGCCGCGGGCGCTCGACGTCGACGCTTGGCTTCCCGCGCTCGTTTCTGAGGCTCGCATCGCACCGCGGTATCAGCCGTGACGCGCGCGTCGCCCATCGCGCGCGCGCGCCGCGCGAAGCGACGACGTGTGACGCGACACACCGACCGCGGCTCGTTTTAACGGCAAAGCTTTCAACCCGCGTGACGCGCGGGGCGTCGACGGATGCGCGCCGCGGATCGATTCCCGGTGACGGTTCGCGGAAACGCGACGTAAAAAATCGCAACTCTAAGATACACCTCGCTAATGACCTATTCTCGCGCGCTCCACGCGTTCCTGAACGTCGGCTCGCGCGCGTCCCGGGTGAAACCGGCGACGCCCAACCGCAGCGGGCGCGTCGCCGCGAGCGCCGCTTCCTCCAACGCCAACGCCCTCGCTTCGACCGCCGCCTCGTCCGACGCATCGCACATCCTCTCGGCGATCATTCTCGCCTCTCGCGCGATCGTCGACGCGCTCACGCGCAGTTCTAATCTCCGCACGTCCGCCGTCCCGCGTCCGCGCCGTCCGCGAAAATCCCACAGCTCGCACGCGCACTTCCCGTCCACGAACGTCACCGGCACGAGATCCAACGCCCCATCTCGCGGGACGACCCCTTCGATCGCGATCTCCCTCGCCAGGTCGACGAACCGCGCGTCGTACGCGCACGCGAACGCCCCGAGCGCGCCCATCGCGTCGTCCCGCGTGCTCGACGCCGACGCGCCCTCCCACGGCGGTGACGGCCTGATCACGAACCCACGGTCGAGCGCGACGACCGTGAACGACGTCACGAGCGCCTCCGGGTCGTTCGCGCGCGACGTCAACGGCATGGCGTCGCGCACTGTCGAGCGATGTCCTCGCGCGCGCCGCTGGAAGATGCGCCATCGAACGACGCGCCGTCGCGATGGCGTCGCGAGCGATCGCGATCGCGCTCAGCCCGCGGTGTGGGGTGACGTGTGGGAGTTTAAGCGCGCTCGGGGTGGTCGTTTGCGGCGTCGTCGCGCGCTTATTCGCGCGGGAGTACCCACACTTGGGGAACGAATGGCGAGGGGAAGGAATGACGCACGCAAAGGCGTCGAGCGCGTGCGCGGGGGCGGCGGCGGCGTACGGGGTCTTCTTGGGATTGTCTTTGATGAACCTGTGGATGAATAAAGCGCGGGGGCGGACGTAGAGGGCGCGGGGGGTGAAGACGCGTCGCGCCCGGAGGACTGGATTTGAGATTGAATGAACGCGTGTGACGCGCTCGAAATGTAAAATTACACACACAAAATAACGCGTTGATGCTCCGCTAGACCTCGGTCGCGGCGGTGATGGCGGATTCGGACATGATGACTGCCATGATTTCCTCCAATCGTGCGCGATCGGCGACGTAGAGGTAGCCGACGAGACACTCGAGCGCGCTCGCGTTTCGATACGTCCCGTGTCCGCCCTTGCCCTTACCCTTCAATCGCGTCGGTATGTTCCCGTACGCCGCGTTTCGCCCCCACTTAACTATGGAAATCTCATCCTCGCTCAGCTCACCGCCGTCGACGAGGAGCCGAAGCAAGTAATCCTGCGCCTCGGCGCGCGCCAGGCGTTTCGTCTTCAAGTCGTAATCGAGCGGCTTCGCCGGGGGATAAAACAGCACCCCTCGCGCGTACAGCTCGAACACCGCGTCGCCCAAAAACGCCAACGCAATCGGACTCCACTGTCTCGGAGACTTCTGTCGCACATCCACCGTCCGCGGCGTCCACACGGCTTCTCCCGGCGCGCTCGCGCTCGCCGTCCCGCTCGTCTCCACGCGCTCCAAAATCTCTGCGTCGCGCCCGTCTCCGTCAATCTCCCGCGCTTTCGTCGCGCACCCATCGGTCATCGCACCTCTCCTCGGGACGTGCGCGCGATCCGACCCATCGTCGTCCAGATCGACCCCGAACGCCGCGCGCCGTCCGCCCCTCTCGCTTCCCGTCGTTCCGTCTTTCCACCGCGTCGCTCCTCGCGGGCGTCGCGTCCGCGTCCACCCAAGCGCGAGGTCCATCGTCGTCCTCGCGCGCGTCGCTCGCATCGTCGTCGTCGTCCGAGACGCGCGCGTCGTCGCGCACTCGCGATCGCGTTCGGTCGCTCGCGGTGCAGATTTTAAAAAATTGCCTCGTCGCGCGACAGACCGCGTCGCCGCCGACGCCCCACCGCGCGCGCGCGCTCGACGCTCGCGCGCGCGCTCGCGATGGTTGTCGTGTACAAGCCCGAGTTCGTGACGCACGACGCGCGCGCGCCCGTGTTCTCCGTGGACGCGGCGCCGTGCGGGAGCAGATTCGCAACCGCGGGCGGGGATCAAAAGGTAAAGGTGTGGGCGCTCGCGCCCGTGCTCGAACGCGCGGTGGAGGCGGACGCGGACGCGCCGAAGTGCCTGGCGACGCTGAGCGATCACTTCGGACCGGTGAACTGCGTGCGGTTTTCGAAGAGTGGACGGTACCTCGCGAGCGGGTCGACGGATACGAGCGTGTTGGTGTACGCGCTGAGAGACGGACCGGGAAAGGCGGCGTTCGGGAGCGCGGATGAGCCGAACGTTGAAAATTGGACGATCGCGATGAGGTATAAGGGACACGATTCGGACGTGATCGATATCGCGTGGTCGCCCGATGACTCGATGTTGGCGTCGTGCTCGCTGGATAATCTCGTAATCATATGGGACTGTCGAACGGGGAATCAGGTCACGACTCTGCGAGGACACACGAGCTTTGTCAAGGGCGTGGCGTGGGATCCGATAGGAAAATTTTTGGCGACGCAGAGCGACGATAAGACGTGCATAATCTGGCGCACGGATGATTGGACGCAGGTAGCAAAGGTTGAGGAGCCGTACCAGGCGTCCATGGGCGCAACGTTTTCCATGCGCCTGTGCTGGAGCCCGGACGGGAAGGCGGTGACGACGTGTAACTCGTACAAGAAGCCATCGCACACTGCGTCGGTTCTCGAGCGCGGAACCTGGGGGAGTAACTTTGATTTCGTCGGACATAAAGGCCCGGTGGTTGCCGTGCGGTTCTCGCCTCGGCTCTTCCACGACGAAAATCGGGATAAGGTCCACACGGTCATCGCGTGTGGTTCGCAAGATTGCAAGCTCACCATCTGGACCACGAATAGACCTAAACCGGTGTGCATCGTTCGTAAGTGCTTCTCCCAGTCCGTGGTGGATTTGTGCTGGACTCCAGATGGGTACACGTTGCTCGCGTGCAGCACTGACGGGACGTTGTGCGCGTACACATTTGACCAAGCTGAAATTGGCGAGGCCCTCGACAACACCGACGCCGAGGCCTTCTTGTCGGAAACGTACGGAGATATCAGACGTAATCGGGCGCCGATGTTGGAGGATCCAACGTTGCTCGGGTTTGAGGCGCCGCGAGAGCTGAACGACGCAGCTCAAGGTGTGAAGACGACACCACCACCACCTAAGAGGATTCAGCCCGCACCGATCCGAAGCAGCAACGCCACGGCGCCAACGAGTGGCGTGGCGACGATCTCGGCGCAACGAGAGACCGTCAGTAACGACGGACGTCGACGCATCGTGCCAGTCGCTACCGCTGGCCCATCAGCTGGTACGCCAGTGAAGGCTGCTCCGCAGCGCGTTCAACTCCAACCTTTGCCGACGAATGCGCAAGGGCAAATGTCGGAGGCTGCCCCGGCGAACGCATTGAAGCGAAGAATAGAGCCCACTGCGATGAACGGTGGGAATGGATTCAAAAGTACTTTGTCGGATCAGCCTGCGGTGAAGCGAGTGACCTTGCAGCCGACTCAGCTGAACCAAGCTCCGGCGCCGCTCGCTGCAACTCCTGCCGCGGAACCACAGCGCCAACAGATGGCGACTGCTGCGACGGCGACGACTGCGATGGGTGTACCTCCGCCGCTGCCGGTGGCGCCGTCGCCTGGAACGTTGCACGTCCAGCTTGTTGCTCCCAATTTGGAAGCGGATGCTTCGAGCGAAGTGCACGCGCCGCTCCTTCTTGAGGCAAAAAATCATGAACGATTCGCGGACCTTGTGTGCTCGAGAGGTGGTAAGATCAAGTGGACAGATCGCGTCGAATGTCGAGCCACGCACGTGAGTGGTAACCAATTCTTCAGCGCCGTGGCGCTTGAAGATGGGTCCCTGCAACTTTACACTCCGTGCGGCCGCCGATACATGCCATCGTTGCTTCTGCCAGATCGTGCCGCATTCTTGGTTTCGGGGCAAGATGATTCTTCACTTTTGATTGTGACCAGAGACTACAAACTTCTGGTGTGGAATGTCACCGTGGGTAAAGAGAAGTGCTCGCTCGAGGCGGATTGCATGGCTCTCGTGCGTAGCTCTGGACGTTCCGGTGTGGCTTTGTCTCAAGTTAGATTGTCCAAGTGTGGAGCCCCGATCTTCACTTTTACCAACGGGCACGCGTATGTGTATCACAGTGATCTCAAAACATGGGCCCGTGTCGCAGACCAGAGCTTCTTAAAGTCTGAGTTCACGTCCCGACTTCGTCAACCTGGTGGGTCTGGCGTTGGAGAAATGCAGGCTCTGCAAATTGGCGCCGCGCGGGCGGCCGCTCACATGGGCCCAGCCGCGCTATTGCAGTCCGGTGGACAACCACCGAGAAGGGAGACCGGTAGACATTTGGAAGTTCTCCTCTCTGGCTCGTCCATGCTCAACTCATCGGCAGAATACAGGCCGTGGCTTGCGGCGTACGTACGTCACCTGGCGAGCGAGTGTGGCGACGATCCAACTACCATGTTCGTGGGTGCTGAAGCGCAACTTCGAGAGATTTGCCATGAGTTCCTCGGACCGCTCAGTGCTTCCTCCTCGGTTGAAACGTGGAAGTCGGAGATTTTCGGCGTCAAGAAGCGTACACTGCTTCGAGAGGTGATCATTCCCACCATAGCTGCGAACCGAAGTGCCCAGGTCATGGTTGCCGAGATCGTCGAGTTGCTCGAAGCCGCGGAGTCGAGAGAAACGAGGAACGATTTGTCCATTTGCTAGAGAGTGTAGTCTATAACCAGTTTACTCTACGAATCTAATCGAGTCGCGGTCTTTTACTAAGTTCTTCCGGCTCACTCACAACGCGCTTCATCGTGAATTTCAGGTTGACCGGTTTTGTCATCATCGCCTCTTCGCTATCTTCCCCGGTGTCTCCTGTGGCCATCGTGTTTATCGTGGCCGTTTCATCCTCGTCGTCTTCGTCGTTTTCTTCGATTTTGTCGATGTCGATGTCGCCAATGTCCTCCCCCGCCGCATCATCGTTCCCGACGACTTCTTCATCGGATTCATCTTCACTTTGCTCTTCTTGATATACAATTCCTGTGCGATCGATGAAGTCATCCGCCGAACGAATGGGAGCGGACTGACTCACAGCAGAAGTATCAAGTGCGTTCAGCTTGCTCACAGAGCGCTGACCTCGACCCAGCGTATCGTCAACTTCTGGAATGATCGACTGCGCCGCCTTGCTCGTTGCGAACACCGCTTTGTCGAGTTCCTCCTGCGTGTATCTGATCCATGGCGGACATTCGTTAGAACTCATGAGCTCACCCGGCCACGCAAGCTCTTGGTCTAAACGATTGAACAAATCCCATTCCTCCTTAGACCGAGCGATTCTACCGTTTAATTCGTGGAGGGGAGGAACATTTACGTCGCCTCGTTTGCCATTCGCTTGCACCTGAAGGAGGTTTTCGAGCGTCTCACGCCGCTCAGCGTGCGTTGTTTGGCCATCAAATCGACCGGCATCGACGATCTCAGCAGCCATTTCGTTCTTCTGCTTTTGAATGACGTTTCTAACGGATGACTCGAGCGATTCGCAGTAGCTTCTGTTTGGCCCTCCCCACCCCGCGGGAGCATCTTTTGGCGACTGCGTCTCATTGGGCGCGTCATCGACCGCTTCAAAGTGGATAACGCGAACTTCTCGCTTCTGACCAATGCGGTGCGCGCGCGCAATCGCCTGCTCTTCGTTCTTGGGGTTTGGATCGGGATCATAAACCACGACTGTGTCTGCGGTCTGAAGGTTGAGACCGCGACCAGCAGCTCTGATGGAGAGCAAAAAAATAAACTTATCACTGTGTTGTGCGTTGAATTCATTGATGGCGACTTCGCGTTGTTCCAACGAAGTCGTACCATCGATGCGACAATACTTCAAATCCGCGCCGTCTGGGGTCGTCCACCTCCACTTCAGGTAGTTTTCCAGCAGATCGAGGAGTTTTGTCATCGTTGAGAACAACAAGACGCGATGCCCAGAGTGCTGAAGTTTGACGAGTATCCTATCCAATATCCAGAGCTTACCACACGCACGCACGAGATCTGGACCGCGAAAATCACCACCTTTCTCTGGTGGATAGTTCAATGCGGGATGGTTGCACAGCTTACGCAGCTCCATCGCCCTATTGTGGATGGGCAAGTAACCGTGGAAATTTTGTTGTGCAGCCAAACCAAGTCGAGTACCAGGCTCAACGCGCACGGTGGCAGTTTGACGGATCCAATCGTAGCAGACCGACTGGAAAGCACTGAACGGACAGTGAACCACCACCGTGATACGCGGAGGGAGCTTGCTCTCCACGTCCTGTACAAGTCTTCTGAGCATGAACGGCTCGAGAATTTGATGCAGTCGACTGATAACGATGACCTTCTTTTCTCTTTCGATCCAATCTACATCATCGACACCATCACTGCCGCCCTTTTGCGTCCCGAACCACTCTTGGAACACCTTGGACGAGTCGAACACTTCCGGTAACAGTAAGTTAAGTAAGGACCACAGCTCTGAGAGATCGTTTTGCAATGGCGTACCAGTGAGGAGCAGTCGGCGTTGCGACCTAAATTTATCTAAATCTCGGCTCAAACGTCCTTCTCGATCTTTTAACCGCTGAGCTTCGTCAATAATGATGTACTTCCACGCAACTTTACTAAGTTTGGATCGATCTCGCATGATGAACTCGTACGAGGTAACCAGTACGTTGAACTTCAGTTGTGAGACTTGTTGCTGAAAAATTTTGGCGCGCGCATCTTTTGTGCCGACGTAGAAAACGGAAGTCAGCTTGGGTAACCATCTCTTGATTTCCGCTTTCCAGTTCACGACGACGGCGTTCGGTACGATGATCAGGTGTGGACCGTAGTTTTGCTTGCTTTCAAACAAATACGCAATCAACGCACACACTTGCACCGTCTTACCAAGACCCATCTCATCTGCTAGAATACCGTTGAGCTTGTTATTGTAAAGCGAGATCATCCACTGCAACGAGACCAACTGATAATCGCGAAGTTGTCCAAAAGTTAGCATTCGCGGCTGATGCGTGATGATCTCTTGCGTGCTGTGTGCCATGGCGTAGTATCGCTCCTTCGTGTCCCCTCCGGCAACAGCACCATCCAGAATTGCCTCGCCGTTTTCTAAAGCTGCGTTGTTCGCCGCTTCCTCCGCGATGATCTTGAGTTCGTCTTCGTTCATGCCCTTCAACTCGGCTTCAGACACGGCCGCCGCCGCGGCTTCTGAACGAGCTTGTTCGATCTTAACAGCCGCAATTTTCCCACCCAACTTGGTCAAATATGTTTCTGTGGCGTTCAAAAACTGCGTCAACGCCTCATATTTGTCACCCTCACCCCCGGCCGCCATGTCTGTCTCACGCCCTCTCGCTTCTGCGAGTAATTCTCTGTAAGCGTTCAGATCATTCGCCTTCAGCGCTTCTAAACGCAAGAGACGCTCAGAGTTCTCATCGCGCGCCTTGCGCATGAATTCTCTGTTCAACTTTTCGTGTATTTTCACGACTGCTCTGTTCCTCGAGATGCGCTCGTCACGCGTAGTGCTCGATTCTTGACTCATGCGTTTTCGCATCGCAATCAGATTGCGCAAGAAGTCTGTCAGCTCTGCCTTCTCCTTCTTCTCAGCCTGCTTCTTCTTCTCTGCGAGAACCTTGATGTCGTCTTTCACCATCTTTTTATACGCACGCTCTGGCATGTGCATTATGGCATGCTGCGCTAAAATGAGCTCATTGCGTACCCTTTGTTGCACGTGCACGAGCTCGAGCTGCTTGATGCGGATTTCCAATTGTAGCTTTTGCTGCGCTCTGTGTTCAGCCCGCATGTTGGCAAGGTTATTGACTTGATCGAGGCGCCGCCGCAGCGTCTCCAGCTCACGCAATCGCGCCCGCTCCAAAACTCGATTAGCTTCGCGCTCTAAACTATCCACCGGTCGCGTCACGACGCGGTTCACGTCTCCCAGCGTCAGCTCGGCGCTTTCATCTCCGTCCCGCTTTCGCGCAAACTTTGCCTTCGCCGCGTCCGTCGATCGCACGTCCGCCAGCTGTCCGAATAACGGCAGCTCCCTGTACGCGTACATCCACTCCGCGTTCGTGAAGTAGGTCTTCGCGTCGACGTTCAATCCGTATCCCACCCCGACGTCCAGAGGACCGAATAGCCGCTCCTTCCGCGCGCGCGTCGTCCCTCGTCCTCCGTATCCTGGCGCGATGAACCGCTCACCCGCGCGAAGCTTTCGCAGCATGGCGATCTGTTCCTTCAGTCGATCGAGCTGATTTCCCGCGAAAGAGCTCTGGAGGACGAACGACACGTCTCGGTCGCCGATCTTCCCGTGGCGCAGGCGAGCGTCGGAGCGGTCGCTCTCGCTCGCGCCATCGCCTCTACCGCTGTGCGTGGGGGCGTCGCCGGCGTCGGACGCACGCGCGGCGTCGAGCGCCATGGCGACGATGCGCGCTCGGCCTGGGGTCTCCGAGGCGGGGAGCAATGTGCGGCGCGCACGTGAAGCGGGCAGGTTTTATGCTCTGCGGCGTGCTCAGTTGCAACGATCGACGAAACGCGTGATTGGCTCTCGCGAGTGACGTCACTCGTGTATGTGTGTATATCTTGTTCATCTTGGTTACATCGAACGATCGGAGAGATCGTTCGCTCGAGGAGATCTAGTGTCCTAACGCTCTTGCGAGGACGAGTAAATCGAGCACGTACCAGTCCGCCTCCGCCTCCACCCGAGGTCGACGCTGGGCCCCGCCGTAGCCGATGACGATATCTGCTCCTCCCGGTCTCTTCGCTTCGAGATCTGTCACGCCGTCACCGATCATAACCATCGTTTCGTACCCTTTCGTGGCTTTAATGTGCTGCACTGCGTCCGCCTTGCCGCCGGCAATGGAAGGGAACTCTCGTGGGTCGTAGCCCCTGAACGAGCCGTCTTCTTCGAACACCAAACTGTTCGCCTCGATGTGATCACTCGAAATCCCCAAACCCTCCGCGATCGGAGCGATCATCTGTCTGAATCCACCGGAAACTAGGTAGACTTCCTTACCGCTCGCCTTGAGCGCGGCCATGAGCTCTTTTATTCCGGGTGAATATTTCGGAGGATGCGTTCGCACATACTCCTCGACCTGCTGACGAGAGACCTTCATCGCCTCTAATCGCAACTGAAGCGCCTCACCGAACGGCATCCCTCCCTCCATCGCCTGTTTTGTGATGGCTGCCACGGCTTCGCCCGCTCCGGCAAACTCCGCCAGCTCGTCGATGCCCTCGTCCTCGCACACCGTCGAATCCACGTCGAACGCCACCGCCTCCGCCCGCTTAAAAAACTCCACCACCTCCTCGTTCGGCGCCATGGGTCCGCTCGCGAGCGCTCTCACCGCCTTGCTCCCGCTCCGTCTCTTTCTCGCGTCTCTCCGCCTCGCCGTCTCGCCGCGCGCGCCCACCGCTCGCGATACCGTCGCGATCATTCCCTCAGTGCGTCGCTCTGATCGGTTCTCGCACCGCGCGTCGCGCCTGTGCCTCTAAAAGCCGCTTCTCCGCCTCCTCGATCGTCTCCACGCGAACGAGATGTTTCACCTGTTGGAGCTTTCCTCGAGCCCCACCGTCGTTGGGAACGATCTTGGCGTCGCGCGTTCGACGCAGACCCAGAGCGGCGAGCGTGGATAGGACGGACTTTGGTTTCCCAGCTGTGCCACGACGAAGAGTGACGAGGAGGTGCGAGGCCGACATACAGCGCAGCGCGGTGTGACGACGCGACGCGAGGCGGCTCGCCGATGTGTTCAAAACACCCGGAAAAACCTAGCCGGAGGCGAATCGAACGCGTCCGCGCGCGGAGACGAGACGATGATCGGAGGGAAGAGAGGCGGCGATCGGAGGAGAGAAGAATGCTTCTACATCGAATATTGAAATAAGCGACGCGCGCGCGCGATCGTTCGCGATCATTCGCCTTGAGCGTTGACCTCGTCAACACTCGTCTATTGGAACTCTGGAGCAGAGGTGGCGGAGCCCATGACGCTCAAGCCGTTGTCCACGTAGATGGTTTGACCGGTGATCGCGGACGCGAGCGGAGAGCACAAGAAAGCGGCGGTGTTGCCGATCTCGATCGCGCCGAGCGGCTTCTCCGCGAGCGGAGCGTTGGACAAGGAGTAGTTGATCATCTTGTCGATGAAACCGATCGCCTTCGCCGCGCGGGAGCCGAGCGGACCGGCGGAGATGGTGTTCACCCGGATGCCGTGCTTTCGGCCGGCCTCGTAGGCGAGGACGCGGGTGTCGGACTCGAGCGCCGCCTTGGCGGAGGACATACCGCCGCCGTAGCCAGGGATGACGGCTTCGGAGGCGATGTACGTGAGAGAGATCACGGCGCCGCCTTCGTTCATCAACGGAGCAAAGTGTTGGACCATGGAGACCATGGAGTACGATGACGCGGAAACCGCGGCCAAGTAGCCCTTACGGCTCGTCTCGAGCAGCGGCTTGGCGACCTCAGGGCCGTTGGCCAAGGAGTGCACCACGATGTCAATCTTACCAAAATCCGCCTCGACGCACTTGGCAACCTCGCTCACGGTCCACTTCTCGTTACCCGCGTAGCGCTTGTTCGTAGCGATATCCTCCGGAACGTCGTCCGGGGTATCGAACACGGCGTCCATCGGGTAAATCTTCGCAAACTCCATGAGCGACCCGTCGCTCAGTTTGCGCGATTCGTCAAACTTCCCTCGTCGGTACGACGTCTCAAAGATGTTCAGCGCCGGCACCCACGTGCCGAGAATAACCTCCGCGCCCGCCTCCGAGAGCGCCTTCGAGATCGCCCATCCGAATCCGTTATCATCCGCCACGCCCGCGACGAATGCCTTTTTACCTCGCAGATCCACGTTCAAACCCGCTCGCGTCGTCGTCGTCGCCGCCCGTCGTCCGACCGCGCGCGTCCCCTCGCGCGCGCTCGTTCCTTTGAGCGTCGTCCCTCGCACCGCGCGTCCTTGTCTCAGCATCGCCGGTCGCATCGTTCGCCCGCGTCACCGTCTCCCGCGTCGACCGCGCCCTATCCACGAAAACTCGGCGGCGGAGGGCGCGGGGGCGGTGGGCCGTTGTACATAATGTACGACTTCTCACGCCATCACGGCGCCCGGTCGCGCCATCGCACCCCGTCTCGGTCGGGGACGATCTGCATCACCATCGACATCACCACCCGACACGTGGTGATTTGAATCACGAGCACGACCCATCGACGGTGATTTCACCTTTCGAGCGCGCGCGAGCCGTGTCGACGCGACGTGCTAGGGTTCGACCGGTGACATAATGTACGCATCATCACTGTATTTTCTCGACACCGGTGCTAGGTTGGGTAAAATCTGAATCACCTTCTAAATCACCACCCGAAACAAGGTGATTTGAATCACCTTCACCACCCATCGACGGTGATTTCACCTTTCGAGCTCGCACGAACCGTTTCGACGTGGGGTGCTAGGGTTCGAACAGTGACGCAATGTACTTATCATCACTGTATTTCCTCGACACCGGTGACGAAATGTCGTAGTATCAGTCACATGATGTCTATCACTGTCAATATCAGAAAAAATGATAGGCTTTACATACACGCAATATGAAATCACCTTCTAAATCACCACAAGGTGATTTGAAATCACCATCACCACCCATAGAAGGTGATTTACCCAACCTAGATCTCAAGCACCACGAGGTGATTTGAAATCACCAGCACGACCCATCGACGGGGATGGACCCGACCTCGTCATCGCGCGCGGTCCCGGCTCGACGGCCGCGCCGACGGGCGACGGGAGATGACGACGACGGTGGCGACGACGGCGTCCGCAACGCGCGCGCGCGGTGCGGTGGCGGTGCGGTGGCGCGCGCGCGCGCGAGGGGGGGCGCGGGCGAGGGGGGGCGCGCGTGGCGCGGTCACGGTGGAGAGCGCGAGGGAGAGACGGTCGATGAGCGTCGTCGCGACGGTGTCGACGCTCGCGTGGACCGCGTGTCCGAGCGCGTGGGCGGAAGAGATCTCGCCGTACGCGGGGGTCGTGGACGTCACGGTGCTGTTGGCGCTGGCGTATTTGGCAAAGTTGGGGAACGATAAGAGCGCGCGCGCGTCCGAGGCGAAGACGAAGACGAGCCGCGCCGGGAAGAAGAAGTGAGCGATGGTGGATGCGGGGCGAGGTGTAATCTAGTGAATGTTTCGTACCACGCGCTTTCGACGCGCTACCTAAACTCGCGATTCTTGAGCACCTTGGGAGCGATGAGAGCCCAGGTGTACAGCGCCGCGGAGACGAACGCGCACGCCACCTTGGCCCAGGCGCTTTCCCAACCGGCGCCGTTAGCGTTCGAGCCATCGTTCCAATCGACGAAGAGCATGGCACAGTACGAGCTGGCGGTGAAGAAGACGGCGTGGAAGTACGTGATGTTGAATCGAGACGTGGGGTCGTCCTCGTCTACACCCGAGCGCTCTCCCGCCAGGGCGCTCGTCTTCGACGCGTTGTGCGCAGTGTATCCGAGAGCGCACAGGGCGATGACGAAACCAATGATGGATAAAGCCGAGCTCAAACTGTCGTTCATCGTCGTCGGTGCGCATTCGTAATTCGCCGGCTCGGACGCGAGAGCCGAGGCGAGGATGTAGACGCAGTAAAACGTCATCGCTCCGCTCGTGAACAAACCGCCGTTTACCTTGCCATTCAAAGAAATCACGGAAAATATCACGCAAAGGATCAACATACACGTGATCATCGCGATATTTCGCGAACACTCCTTCGACGGCGCCCAGTACTTGTACAAAAATCCAATCAAAGTGAACGCGGCGCCGTAGAGCGCGAGCGAGCTCGAGAGCAACATCGCCAGATATCCGGATCGTCCCTCTTCCATCCCGGTCATGAGTTTCTCGTTCACGTCGTACACCCATCCGAACAAAACTATCAACTGAATCAATAGAAACACCGCCGCGAAGAATCTATCGGCATTCACTAGTCCCTCGTAGTCGTCGATGGGCATTGCTAAGGCGGCGACGGTCAGTCCCACCCACAAAACCGCCTTCACCAGCCAATACGACTCGTTCCACCTCGCTCTCGCGCTCTTCCCACCGTTCTCACCAATCTCAACCTCCCTCGTCCCCAGCGTGAGTACGAGCATGAGCGCGAAGAACAACGAGCTCCCGAGCATCGTTCGCGTCGCCGCCTCGTGCGCGCAGCTCCGAGTCAAACCCGCGTCAGCGCACTTCCAATCGAACGCCTTTCCGATCTCGCGCGCCCCACCCGCATCGCGTAAAATCCACGTCGCGACGCCCGCCGCGACGAACGCCGAGGCGTAGACCCCGCGCCACGCTCGAGGCGTCATCGGCTCACGCCTCTCGCTCGCCCGCTCGACGTCCTCGTCGCCATCTTTCCTCGCCGTCCGTCTCTTCTCTCCCCAGCACGGGCACGAACAGAGCGACGACGCGACGCACTGTCCGCAACACGCGCCGACGCACGCCGACATCGCGAACGGCGCCCGCGTCGACGCGTGCGGCGTCGCCCGTCGTCGACCGTCCGACGCAACGACCACGTGGACATAAAAAAATCGGACACATGGTCACACGCATACAAACGGATGTTGGCGCATGTGATGGTCACGCACGGCGCGTACGTACTCCAGAGAAAGAAATGCTGTCAGGACGCGAAGACGAACACGTCGGTGGGCCGCTCGATGGAAATCTTCCACCGCGCGCGCGCGACGGCAGAGCGCGTCCACGCGCGCGCGCCGCATCGCGGGCGACCGGTGATCGAACGGTGATCGCGTCTGTCGACGCCGCGCCGCGCGCTCGATCGTGTTCGGGAGCGAACCCACGGGCGAGGGCACGCGTGGGTGATTTCTCGGGCCCAACACCCTTCGTCGAGGAGTCGGGCGTGGACGCGCGGGCGAGGTCGAGCGCGCGGCCGACGGGGGCGTTCGTGACGGGAACGATGCGGGAAGGGATCGCGCTCGGGACGGTCATGGCGTCGGGAGCCGAACGCGCCGCCCTGCTCGGGGTGTCGACGTCGAGAGCGGAGTTGGAGGGATCGCGCGACGGTGGCGAGCGGAGCGCGTCGACGAGCGGAGCGCGACGAGGATATTCGTACGGGCTTCCGAGCGCTCGGACGGTCGTGGGTGCGTTATCTTTGGTCGCGGTAACGGTGGCGGTGGCGATTGGGTGCGTGAGAGCGGGTGAGAGCAGGGCGAATCAGACGCGTCTCGCGGCGCTAGGGGCAAAGTCGCACACGTCGCACAAGTCGGGAAAGACGGCGAAAGCTGGGACTAGTTACCCATCGTCGTCGTACCCCAGCGACGATTCGTCGTATCCCAGCGATAGCAGTGACGGTTACCCAGACATGGCGACGCCTTCAGCGTATCCCAGCGATAGCAGCAATTCAAACACGCGCGCCCTCAAGGTGCAGCCGATCGGGCACACGATTTGGCTTGGTTCAGAGCTTCCGAACGTGAAGCGGGCGTTTCTGAACCAGAATAAGAAGATTTTGCACAAGGCTGGATGGAAGATTAAGCTTTGGCGCAGCGCGGACATATCCGCGGCGAATTTCCCTTACACGTATCACACGATAAAGCGAGCGCTCAAGTACAACTTGCACTCACACCAAAACGTGTTTTCGATGATTGGGGATCTCATGAAGTTCGAGATTCTGTATCATCACGGCGGTCTGTACATGGATACGAATATTGAGCTCTTGCGGGATCCAACGGATTTGTTTTCCGTCACGGCGACGCTCGGCAAGGAGGTGTTCTTAGTTGCGGATCCAGGAGGAGATAAGCGTTTCGCGTCGGCAGGCTTCATGGGTGCGCTGGATAAGCACTCGGCGTTGTTCGCTTCATTGATTACAAACAAGGAGTACCTCGATGCGATTCCATTCGAGGAGCACTGCATCGCGAACGCGTGGACGGGGCCGATGTACTTGACGCTCAAGCTACTCCACTTCGACAATGCCGTCATTTTGGATCGTGACACCGCATATCCACTCCTGTGTGGTCAGGATGAGCGCGACATGTGCTTAGAACAGGTTGATCACGAAGTCTTGCTTGGTGATCGTGTGTCGAAGAAGGGCTCAAAGCTCATCGTCGACAAGCACGACAAAGAAAAGATTTGGCGCATCAAAGTCCCGTGCAAGGAAATTCGCAAGCTGTATCCAGACGCCACGGCGCTGGATCACTTCACCCTTGGTAAATCGTGGACTGGATGTGATCCGGAAGCGAAGACGAAGCGATTAGTCGACTGGACGTTGAATTACGTCCATGACCCGTCGTCTTTCATCTTTGACTTCATTCTGGATCAAGTGCGTTGGTCAGAGGCTGACAACGTTGACATCATGACAGAGAAGCTCGTGAATCGTCGAATGAGTTTGCTAGGTACGGAGGATGTCTCCGCTCAGCTCGTTGTTTTAGCTAACACGGCGCGATCTGGATCGCAGCTCATGTCCGAGCTCCTTCGTCAAGCGTTCAACGCAGACGAAGACACGGTTGTGTGGGAGGATAGTTCAGGTTTCCACTCCGACATTCCGCTCTACAACAGATTCTTGGATATCGGGGATCTTTGGTCTGAGCGCGCGTTGGAGATGGACTGGGTGACGAAGGATATGAAGCCACGAATATTATCGCTGGGAGTCGACGAGGATGTCTTCAACAACTTGGTGAATCACCCCCGTACGTTTCTTGATCAGCTCCTGCTCGGTGCGGCGAGGCACGGTTACCGTTACGTCATGACGAGAATTGGTTGGAACAACGCGCTCGGAGGTGCTCGAGCCACAAGACGTATCGCACGAACGGTCTTGGATGAGTTTCCCCAGGCGAACATCTTCTTCCTTGAGCGAGCAAACATTCTAGCACAGTACGCTTCATTGGAGGCGGCGGAGCAAACGGGTATGTGGATGAAGTTTGCCGATCCCTTGAAGCCTGAATCGAAGGATCAACCCGCGCCAACGCCAGTGGTATTTGACTTTGAAAAGTTCAAGATCACGTTTCAGGAGAGGCACGATTGGATCGAGTTCTTCATGAACGAGATGCGAGCGCGCAGGCGGCAATACGTGCACCTGGTGTACGAGGAGCACTTGGCGACGGCTACTCGACAAGTCCAGACACTGAAGAGAATCAAGGAAGCGTATGGGTGGGACATTGACGTAAATCCAACATACTTGCGAAACTCGCTCCACTTGGTGCCAACGCAAGAAGTGGAGCTGAGGGAGAGATTCGTCAATCCGGAGGCTATCCCAGAGCTTCTCGTACAAGCCTTCCCGCTGAACGAGCTCGTCTAAGAAGCGTGTGAGAGTCATAGCGATGAATCTATCATCTATTGTAGTAGCTACAAAATCCTAGGTATATCAACTAATATTCATCATCGTAACGGTGACACCGTTAAATCTAGTCTAATCGAAGCAGATCGCCACCGTCTGCGGGGCGCTTTGACGGTGTCGCGCGACGCGAGGAAACTTTACGAATTTGCCCGCTGTACGATTTGCGCAAGTCGACGTCGAAATCCCCTCGCGGGGTAGTCGCTCGGCGTCCAGGAGTAACTCGACGAAGCAACGACTTCGCGGCGTCCGAGAGCCCGCTCGGGGTTGTCGATCTCGTGTGCCCTCTGGGCCTCGGAGTCGTCGAGGCGGCAGAATTCTTTGATGTGAGTTGGCGCAACTTTTTCTCTTTTGCACTGGACCCTTTCATGGAAAATCGTCCCCCTGCTCCAGTCAAATTCGTATCCGTGTCGTCCAATCGCAAGGGTGTGGACGCGATCTCACCCCAAGTCATCAAAGGACTCGCATGTACTCCCGGCGTCATGCTTGGTGTGTGCACGCGGTCGTACTGTTTGACTTTCTCTTTGCCACTCATGTCGTCGAAAGATTCGTTTCGGGGCAACGGATCGACAAAGCGCGTGTTTTTCGCGATCGTCACCCTCGGCACCGCCGTGAGAGCGCCTCCACGCTCCTTCACTGACAGCGCCAAGCCTTCCGGCGCTATGAAATAATTGTCGTGCCCAACAATGGCCTTCGCCTTGTCGGAAGAATCGATGACTTCACCTGTCTCCGATCGTTTTACCAAGGCCCTGGAGCTCTTCATCGAGGCGGTTCCAAGAGCTAATCGTCGTGAAGCTGGAGCCGTCATCTCCTCCAACTGGTGCTTCTTCAGCGCCCGTCTGGCTTCGCTCTGCTTGACGATTTCGCTAAACGCCGCATTGTCCTCCGACGTGTACCGAGCCAAGAAACCGTCTACGCTCAGATGTCGATCTTCCTCGTACGCTGTGGATGGACCAAGATGCAAGCCGTCCTCGCCATCCTTGCCGTATCCCTCGTCCTCGCCATATCTCTCGTAAACGTCTCGCCGTCTCGGCGTCTCCGTCTCCCAACTCTCCTCGTCACCAAGCGCCCCCACCGCCGATGTCGTCCCCGATCCCCCTATGCTCGGTGTCCCGATCACCCCACCCCTCGAACTCGCCCTCCTTATTCGCTCGACCCCCATCTCTCGATGAATCGCCGCCACGCGAAGCGCGTCGCCCGCGTTTGTCGCCTCGAGCAGCGCCGCCTTCAATCGATTCGACCGCAAGTCTGGAAAATAATCCCTCTCAATGATCGCCTCCAATCGCGCCGTGTACTCATCCTCATCCAGCACCGTCACCGAGCGCGTCGTCGAACGCGTGCGCGCGCTCGTCGCGCCCGCACCGCCCCTCGCGCGCGCTCGCACCGATGCGTCGTGCGCGTGAGATTCGCTCGGATCCACCATCTCAACCCCACGCGCGCCGATCGATCGACGCGCGACGACGAACGATAGCTCTCTTCGCGATCTCGCGCGCGCGCGCTCCCTCGCGCCCCCTCGCGCGCGTCACCGAGGACGAATCTGTCGCTCGAATCTGGTGGTGTCGTAACGACCGATCGATGCACGAGTCACGACTCAAGATACACCCCCTCAAGGGTCGCGACCGATGAAAACCCGCATCCGCGCGGTCGTCGCGCGTGCAGATTTAGGGCTTTGCGTTCGTCAACGTCATAGTGCGCGCGACGCACGCCCATGAAACGTACTCGGTGGAGGTAAAAAAGAAAATCTCCGACGCGCGCGCGCGCGGCGGCGCCGTCGTCCCGGCGTCATTCCGTCGCGCTCGCGCACGACCGCACGCCGTCCCACGCGCGCGCTCGACGAACGACTCGCATCGAACGTATTTCTGTGCGTTCACTCCGCGTTCGACCGACCGAACGACACGGACGCTCGTGAAGCACACGAGCGCGCAGCGATCTCTCGAGCATCGCGCATCGCATCGCCGCGCCGCATCTTGACGGGACGCGCGTAAGCTCTCTCTCTGTTTCGAAGCGATATGTCCGCCGCCACCGCTGCCGCCACTCCGGCCGCGACCGCAAACGCCGAACAAACGCCCGCCGCGCCGGGTGCCGCGCCGGGCGCCGGGACGTCGAGCCTGTACGTCGGTGACCTCGAGACCTCGGTCACGGAGGCGCAGCTGTATGAGAAATTCAGCTCCATCGGTCCGGTGGTGTCCATTCGCGTGTGCCGTGATTTGATCACCAGAAGGTCGCTCGGCTACGCGTACGTGAACTTCCAATCCTCGAGCGATGCTGCGCACGCGATCGACGTCCTGAACTTCCAAGTGATCAACGGGAAGCCGATTCGGGTGCTGTACTCGCAGCGAGACCCGGCGGTGAGACGTTCGGGTGTCGGAAACATCTTCATCAAAAACTTGGACAAGGCGATCGATAACAAGGCTTTGCTCGACACGTTCGCGCAGTTCGGTACGATTACGTCCGCCAAGGTTGCCATGGACTCCGCCGGTAACTCGAAGGGGTACGGTTTCGTTCAGTTTGAAACTGCCGAGGCTGCACAGGCCGCCATCGACAACGTCAACGGCATGGAGTTGAACGACAAGCAAGTCTACGTTGGTCCGTTCCAACGCCGCGCCGATCGCTCCACTCAGGGTGAGGCCAAGTTCAACAACGTGTACGTCAAGAACTTGAGCGAAAACTTGTCCGACGAGAAGCTGCGCGAGAAGTTCGCCGAGCACGGCGCCGTGACGAGCTGCGTCATCATGAAGGATGAGGAGGGCAAATCCAAGGGCTTCGGCTTCGTGTGCTTCGAATCACCAGAAGGTGCCGCGTCTGCTGTCGAAAATCTCGATGGCTACACCGAAGACGAGAAGACCTGGGTGGTCTGCCGTGCGCAAAAGAAGGCAGAGCGCGAGGCTGAATTGAAGGCCAAGTTCGAAGCTGAGCGCCGCGAACGCATGGAGAAGATGGCGGGCGCCAATCTCTACATCAAGAACCTCGAAGAAGGTACTGATGATGAAAAGCTCCGCGAACTCTTCAACGAGTTCGGTACCATCACCTCCTGTCGTGTCATGCGCGACGCCTCTGGCGCGTCCCGTGGCTCCGCCTTCGTTGCCTTCTCCTCCCCGGATGAGGCCACCCGCGCGGTGACCGAAATGAACGGCAAGATGGTCGGTGCCAAGCCGCTGTATGTCGCCCTCGCTCAACGCAAGGAAGAACGTCGCATGCGTCTCCAAGCGCAGTTCGCGCAGCGCATGCCGGGCGCTGGCATGCCGGGTATGGCCCCGTACATGCCACCGCCGGGTGTTCCGGGCGCGCCGATGTACTACGGCCAACCGCCCCCGGGTATGATGCCGCCGCAGCCGCAACCGGGCTTCGGTTTCCAACCAGTCATGCCTGGCGGTCCGCGACCGGGTATGCCAGGTATGTACCCAGGTATGCCGATGCCGCAACGCCAAGGGGTTCCGGGCGCTCAACGTGGCCGAGGTGGTCGCGGTGTACCGAACGCTGGCCGTGGCCAGCGCCAGAACATGCGTTACACCGCCGCGGTGAACGCTGTGCCGATGCCGCCGATGCCGGAGGCCCCGGCGAACCCGATGGCGATCCTCGCCTCTCAGCTCAGCAACGCCGCTCCGGATCAACAACGCATGATTCTCGGCGAAGCTCTTTACCCTCTTGTCGAGTCAAAGGACGCCACGAATGCCGCGAAGATCACGGGCATGTTGCTCGAGATGGACCAATCTGAAGTTCTCCACTTGATCGAGTCCCCGGACGCCCTGACCTCCAAGGTGCAAGAAGCCCTCGCTGTGTTGAAGGCAGCCGCCGAGGAAGGTGCTTAAACGTCTGGGCGATGACATCGAAGCGATCGCTTCTTCCAGTGACTGAGGATACGTTGGTATGAGATTCTTTGGCGAGTCTCCTTGCGCGCGCAAGGAGAGGCACTTAGCGAGCTGCGGGCTGCGCGAGCACATCTAGTGCTGCGACGCGGCCCGCGGCAACGACACGATAGACCCTAGACGAGGGCGCCATTGGGGGGTGTGAGACGGTATTTTCTTTTTGTCTACGCGCTCAACCGCGACCATGGTGTCCACAGCCGCCGCGAGTTTTCAAATACCTCGCCGCGAGCCGACTGCGGACAGAAACTAGCGTGCGTGATTTTATCACGTACGTGCATAAAAAAAACGAAAAAAACAACAGGGCGTGATCAGCGTACACGAGTGTACGCGGGAAACGCAGACCAAGATAGTGGCGATGAAGCACGTGCTTCGGCACCTTTCGGCTTACTAGCCACACTTTCATTTTAATAGACATGCGCAAGACTGCACGTTCACTACAACGCCTCCTCGCTGCTATCAACCGCTATTACTGCTTCGTCCGAGAGGATTTCGATCGCACGCGCTTTGTCTCCGTCAGCAGCTTGCAAAGCCCTCGTCGCGGCGTGCTCAGGGAAGCCCATTTGTACCAAAGTGTCCAGCGCACGTTGATCCACCTTGACCAGTGCGGCCATTTCGCCAGTGGTCGACCCGTCGCCTCCTAATTTTCTACCCTTGCCCGTGAACGCGCCGTGCGTCTCCGTCCCCGTCCCACTCCTGTGCACGGGGAGCTCCCACGTGCGAGGAGACGTGAACCCGGGAAACGCCCTCGCTGTGGCATCTCTGTTTGAGCGTGCGCCTCGCTCGGCGTTCGCCGAGACGAACGACGACAACGCGCGCACTGGCGCTAGTATCGCCGACGCCTCCAATCTCTCCGCGTGCGCGTCTCGGAGCAACAAAAAGTTCAGATACCCCTTGACGTACATCCATCCGCACACCACCCCCCCGGCGTGCCCCAAGAAGGATACCCCTGGTATCATCAACTGTATGAGGACGAGCAAAGCTAACGGGTACCACTCGCTCGCGACGTCGAACAACCCGAACACGCTCCTTCGACCGACGTCCGTGTAATTCGTCTCACACACGATCAACGCGAATATCACCCCAGACATCCCCACCGCGCACGTCAAGATCCCTTGCGTGTACCCCAAGCCGAAGTACAACCCCCACGCCAACGCCGCGCTCGCGAAATACGCCACGTGCGCGAACGTCACGAATAACCACGCGAAGTGAAACGTCCCGACGCTTCGTTCCAAGTTTCCACCCGTCGAGACGAACGCCAGGGCGTTAAAAATCACGTGCGGCAGGTTCCCGTGGGTGAATATCGACGTGTACACGCGGTAATACGCCGTCCAGTGGAACGCAATCTTCGGCACCGCGCACACGCCCACGAAATCGTTCGCACCGATCGCGACGCGCGACGCGAGCGCGACGAACATCACGACGACGATCGTCGTCGTCGCTAACGGCGCGTTCGACAACGGCGACGGACGCGGGAGCGCGGTTGACATGTCGTTTGACGTTTCGCGCGCGTCGCTGTGACGTCACTCTGACGCGCGCTCGCCCCGCACGCGCGCGCGCGATGCGCTGTTCGACGACGACGCGCGCGCGCGCGCGATGCTCGCCCGCGATCGCGCGCGCGGCGCGACGGGGGACGACGACGACGACGCGCGCGCGGAAGTTTCAGCGCGTATCCGACGCGTCCTCGAGCGAAGACGCCGAGGACGTCGGGCGCGGTGTGATGGCGGTGCGGGAGACGCGAGACGACGACGCGCTGCCGGATAATCTCTTCGATGCGGTCGGGCAGGCGGCGACGGCGACGGCGGACGCGATGAAGCGGGGGACGGCTGGGAGCGTGGTCGAGCTCTTGGTCCCAGAGCTGTGGGATCCGATGAGCGGAAACGTGATGAGCGAGGCGGGAGATCAGTTGAAGGTGTGGGAGATCTCGAGGGAGTTTCTGACGAGGTTAAAGGCGGAGAGTGGTCGGGAGGTGCGAGCGGTGTTTCCGGACGCGGGGGCGGCGGCGATGCTGCGCGCGCGATGGGGCGTCGACTGCGGGTTCGATTTGGCGAGCGCGGACGATAGGAATCTGGTCGGGGAAGATTTCGATGGGATTTTGGCGTTCGCGGCGCCGGATCCTATGTCTCTCGAAAAAGTTCAGCGCGCGACAGGACGAGCAAACGAGCTGGGGTGTCCGGTGGTGCTCCTGAACCCGAGGCTCGCGAGCGGAGACGCCGGTGTGGGGTTAAACGTCAGAAGGATGCGAGAAAACTTTTTAGGAAAGATGACCGTCACGTACTCGCTGCGACCATTGCCTTGGTGCAATGGAAGTATATTCAAATCGTTCCCAGGGGCGTGGCAGCTATTCCTGGAGGATCCAGAGGAGCCGGGTAGGTTCAAACTCATCGACGAGTTTGCTCAGCGACCGGCGGGAGAGGAACTCGACAACATTGTCGACGCGGCTCTCCGTCCTGTGGGTGAAGACGGTGAAACAAAGGAAAAGACCGCGGCAGAAAAGTTAGTGGGAATAATGCGCGAAATGCAACGCTTCGCGCGTTCGTTATCCAACTGAGCGGTCATAGAGCATATGAAAAATTATAAATATACGGTTACCATTACCGGCACCGAACGGAAAGGTCAAATTTCTAAATTTATGGCATACGTGGTTTCGTTTCAACTGGTTGATCGTCGTCCTCAACGCTGCTCCGTCGAAGTCTCTCGAACTCTGCTTCATTGGCGACGGCTTCCAAAAGTGAATTCGTCGACACTCTCGAAGTCTCTATCTCTACAGACGTATGTACTCTCTGCGTCAAGTCTGAAGGAAAAGGCGGATGAGTCGTCAAATCGACGCTTCTCGTCCGCCGCCGCACCGGAGCGGGCGGTTCCGCGCGAACGCGCATCCTCGGCGGCGTGCTTAAACCCTGCGGAATAATATCTCTGTCCGCACGAATGACTGGTACCGCCCTCGGCGCCCGAAACGCGCTCCGTCCGTCCTCGTCGCTCCCCACGGAGACGTCCGAATGCCGGTCGCCGCGTCCAAACTCACCAAACGTACGCGAAGGTCCGCGATGCGTGGTCCACTCCGTACCATCTACGCTGGCGCCGAGCCCCCATCTAGGCGTCGGTCTATGTAGCGATTGCCTCTCGGGTGAGATCGCGGCACCCGTGGACCGTCTCGCGCGTCCCTCGTCCCTGGACGTCGCCGCGTCGCTCTGCCCACCCCCTCTGAATCGCCCGCTCTCGCTCAACAATCTCTCGATGCGCTCCGCATCCACCCGCGCTTCCTCCGCTCTCGCCCTCGCTCTCGCTAACCGCTCGTCGAACGACTCCAACGTCGCCTCCACGCGCGCCCGCGCCTCCGCCCTGGTTTCCTCGCGCGCGCTAAATATTCCTTCCCGCGCCCCCACGCGCTCGATCCCTCGCCGTTCGTCCTCCGCGTCCGTCGCCGTGACCGCCCACGACCCCCTCTCATCTCTTCGCGTCGTCATCGCGACGTTTTCCCGCGTTCCGACCGCGCGCGCGCGCCGAATGTCACGAAATGCGCGCGACGACGCGTTTCCAAATTGTTCCGTTCCGACGTCGTCGTGCCTCTCCCAGAGCGACTCCGCATCGCCCGCGCGCGTTCGGGCGCGCGCGAAAATTGTATCGTCCGCGTCCGCGTCGCGCGCCCGAGCGGTCGACGTCGCGTCGTCGAGCGCGAGCGCGAATGTGTCGTCGCGCGCGTCGACGCGTGCCGCAAACGGGTCGACGGTCGCAGAGAGACTCCGACGAGTCATTGACTCGTCGATGCGCCTCGGCACCGTCGGTCGGCACCACACCCGATATGTTTCACCGCCGGCGACGGATTCCACCGGCGCGACCGACGTCAGAGGTACTGCCGAACGACCCATCGAACGAGAAGACACGGACGCGGGGCGTCGTCGCCGTCGAGCCCGCACTCGATCTCGGCGAGGTAGGCGACGCGAACGCCCGCGGGCGGGACGCCGAGCGGAGCGACGGCGTCGATGCGAAGAGAGCGAGCGCGCACGCCGGAATCGGCGGGAACGGGGGAGAGAAAACGCATGTGATCGATCCCTGAGTTGATCTGCGTCTTGGCCCAGGATGAGGAGGGAGCCGTCGCGTCGCGCGTCGCCGCGGTGAGCAGGGCGAGCGTGAGGAACCCGTGCGCGATCGCTCCACCCGGCGCGTCCGCTCGGTGCACGTACTGATCGTCGTGCGTGATGTCCGCGAACGCATCGATCTTTTCTTGCGTCACCCTGATCCACGGTCGCGTCGACGCGTCGGCGTCGGCGCTCGAGAGTAAATCCCTCGGTCCGAGCTCGATGTGTCGAATCATCGCTCGGCGTCTCTCCTCCGTCGACATCGACGCTTTCGCGGACGTCGACGCGGTGACGTGCGATGCGATCGACGTCACGCGTCGCGCCGCGTCGACGTCGACCATGCGCCCGACGCGCGCGTCGATATGAGGTGGCACAGTCGTAACGACCCGAGCTCGGCTGAAAGTGAAAAAAAGCAATCCATCGACATAACTCGACGACGCGTCCACGCGCGCGCATGGCGACCCGAGCGTGGACGACGGATATCTGTTCGCATCCGTCGACGAGCGCGCGATCGCGAGCGCGAACGTTGACGCGGGCGAAACGCGCGGCGAAGGATCCGAGTGAATTCGATAATGATTACGATTTGATACGCGCCGAGCTCATGGGCGAGCGCGAGGGTAACGTTGGTGCGCCCACGATCGGGGCGACTTTGAATTGGTTCTCTGAGCTGTCGTTTGGGTGGCGTAAGGCGGGCGAGCGCGTGCGAGGACCGGTCGATAAGCTCGCGGAGCTGTACGGCGACCTGCTCGATTTTCTTCCGTATCGTCGACAGGATGGGACGCCGCTGAGGTGCGTTTTGACGGGGTAATTTCGCGACTTCGAACGCGCATGTTACTGATGCGATCTCGTTGGCTGACAGCTTTACGTGTGTTCGATCGCAGTGGGAGATCAAAGACAATTGAGGACGGCGTCCGTCGTCTGCGTAGGCGTGCGGCGTCTGCTCGAAATATTGAGACAGAGCGCTCGGTCGAGGCGTTCTGGAGCGAACGGGATCGCCGCAGGGGATTCGCAAAGATGGCGATGGAGCACACGGTGGCGTTGGCGATCGATTTCGAACGCGGTGCGATTGCGACCGAGACGGTGGAGGACGAGCGCGCGTTGCGTTCGATGACGGACGAGCCCACTCTCGCGTCGTTGTGCGAGCGCTTAGATTCCGTGCGGAACATCTGCCTGTGTTCCAACGCCGCCGACGCGTGCAAAATGGCGTACTCTTATCCAGAGATTCTTCTCACCAGCAACGGAGCCATCGTCAGTCGATTATCCGCCTTGCGTTCCATGATTCCCGGCGCGGATGTGGGCAAAATCCTCCGCGCCGACGCGAGGTCATTCCTTCAGAGAGACGTCCCGGAGATCAAATTGCGCTTCCAAGCACTTGTCATCGCGTTTCCTCGCGTCAACGTCGCTCGTCTGGTCGAGCACGACCCGAGTCTTCTCCTCATCGACGTCGACGTCGGCCTCGAGGCTCTTCGCGAGCTTTGGACCGAGGACGAGTTCGCCCAGAGCGATGAAGACAACCCGTTCTTCGCCGAAGAGCTCGCCCTGGCGATCAAGACGCTCAGCGGTGCGGCTCCCGAACAATTCGGTGGTTGACCACTTCTTGTATTATAGTGAATTCGCTCGCGCCGCTTCTTCACTTCGCAGCGCGCGTCGTGTCGCTCGCGCGCACGCCCGCACGCGCGTTCGTGCATGCGCGGCGCTTCGTTCGGACTCTCGATCGACCCCACACGCGCGGGCGTCGGCCTCCGAGACCGCGTCTCTTTCGATCGACGCCATCGACCGCTCGCACCGAATCACAGACGAGGACGAATGGTTCCGGCGCCTCGCACCGGACCCTCGGCGCGGTCGCAGAAGCGTCTGCGACAAGACGTCATGGGTGGCGACGTTCGGTTCAAGCGACGCGTCGAGCGGGCGTACGGCGCGGAAACACCGGGTTTGGAGGTGTGGTTGGAGCTGAGCGGAAAACTCGTGGCGAATGACATCCTGCCGACGCGACTACGAGACGCGAACATGCGTCACGTGAGCACGACGGCGGTGGAGATGCGGGCGCTGATCGGGGATAAGATATTTGGCGCGGCTTTGTTGGAAGAGATGGTGGCAACGGAATTGGTGACGGATACCGGGGAGGCGACGAGGCAATACTCGCTCGTGGCGAGCAACAGCGCGATGGCGCAGTTTGTGTCGCAAGTTTTGCCAGCGCACGTGGCGGGTGGGAGGGTCGTGGAGGAGCACAGCGCGGGGACACTGATTGAGGCGGCGGTATATATGGTGAATCAGATGCCAGGAGGACCGCAGGCGGTGAGACAGCTCGCGAGATGGTTTGTGTATAACGTCGTCGTGCACGGACGATTGCAGGGAGAGATTGCAAATCCGAAAGGGTTGATCCTAGAATTGAACGGCATGACGTCCGCAGAGCGCGTTCCCGGAACCCCCGATCACCTAGCACAGTTTGTCGGCCGATGCATCTGGCCCGCGGACAATCCTGTGCGGGAAACCAAGGCGATCGGGCGAAGCAAAACGGCGGCGGCAGCCGCCGCCGCCAAGGAAATGCTGGAGCTCTACGGTCACGAAATCCATAACGCCCCTCCGCAGGAGCCCGCCAAAGAAAAGGAGAAGAAAGACGCCAAGCTCGCAAACGCGTTCGGTCACCTTCTCACCCTCGGAGGCATCATTGTCGGCGGCGACGCCGTCCTCATCTCCGAGCCAGGCGACCCGCCTCGTTTCGTCGCCACCATGCGCTATGGTAACGAAGAGGCCCGCGCCGAGGCCTCGACGAAATCCGACGCCAAGCGAAACGCTAGTCGACAGCTCTTAGAGCTCATCGGCGAGTACGATGACTGAGGCGACCGCGCGAAGAGATCTAGAACGTATGGGCTCCTATTGTACCGGAGGATGATTTGGATATGAAATGAAAAGTGTATGACCAAACAGTTTGAGCACCCGAAGCGACATGCCGCCAACCACGAAATCGACCGCGCTGCGCGACGCGCGCGACGGCCGTCACGACGCACCCGTCGCGCGAAATCGACTGCGTTATCCGCCGTCGAGCGCGCCCGAGCGCACGCACTCATGTCCCTCGACGTCATCGATCGGAACGCGACGAAAGATGCCTCGACGACGCGTTTTCTGGAACAAAGGTTAAAACTTGAGGACGACGCTCGCGCCTTCGCGCGCGATCACAGGGGCGCGCGACCGCGATTATTCACCGGTCTGTGCGCGGATGTCCCCGCGGTACGATCGTGGATGGACGTCGAGGCGTTCGAGCGCGCGGGTGCGGGGTCGAGGACGTGCACTTTGTCGTCGCGCGCCGCGGATGGGAGAGCGTTCATAAAAGCGGACTGCGAGAAGGATGAGAGCGGAACATTCGAGGAAGCGTGCGAAAAGGTGTTCGTGAGACGAGAGCGCGTGTACGCTCGAGCAGAGCTCGTGGCGTCAATGGCAAGCGCGAGCGGGGTCGAGCGCGTGAGTGAGATTTTTGGAGAGGAGGCAAAGCTGAGGAACTGCGGTGTGTGGTTTGGTGCGGCGGGAAACGTTACACCGTTGCATTACGATCTGTGTCACGGGTTTCTGGTGCAAGTGAGGGGCGTTAAGACGTTCACAGTTTATCATCCAGACGATTGGCGCGCGATGGCACCTCGTAAGAATCGTCCAGAGTTGTCGCGCATAAATCTTGATAAATACCTGAACGGCGACGCGGAGGAGCGAGAGAAGTATCCGCGTTTCGCCGCCGTCGCTCCCGTCGGAACGTTCACACTAAACCCTGGAGACGTGCTCTATACACCGCCGTTCTTCTGGCATCACGTGCGAACGCACGACGAGGAACCGGCGATTAGTGTGTTGGTGCCGTTTGATCCCTCTCCGGATGAACCGATTCACGTCTGTCATTTGTATGGATGATTTGTTTGTCGTCGACATCAAATATTACTATTCGTGGTACACTCTAACGACGCGACTTTTTGGTTTTGATACCATGCGCCTTACGACGCGCGCTCGTCGCACTTTTCTCGTACGAGCCGTCGCGTTTCTTCTTGAACCCAGTCGGCTTTGCGAAAGGCGCGTCGTCGGAATCGGAATCAAATCGACTTGGCCCGCCTTTACCGGTTGGTCCGTCGTCCGCCGGTACGATTTCAAAGTCTTCATCATTTGTCACCACTTTCTTTTGAGGTTTCGTTACCTTTCCCTTTGCAACCTGCTTCGCATTTTTCGCGTGAGGCTGCTTCTTTCTATTGGCCGTCTCATCCTGAGCCGCCTTGGGCTCGGGAGCTTCCGGTGGATTCTCTGAAGGCATCGCGCACAGACAGGTGTACCGAGCGCCCGTGTTGATCTCGACCACGGATTCAGCGGGCGCTTCGGCACTCGAGCGCGTCGCTGTGCGTAAATCCCACACTCGCACGGCTCCCTCCGAACCGGCGCTGATGAGTAGCTTCGGATTGGAATCCTCCTCGGCCTCTTCCAGAGTCATCGAACCGAACGCCAAGCCACGTACGCGTTGCGGATGCGCCTTAACGATCTGCCCGACTGCGTCCTCGGTGCGGGTGTCGTACACAATCACGTCTCCACCCTCGCACCCGACGTACGCCACGCGACCTCGCGCCTCAAACGTCAACGCCTTGCTCGGCGTCGCAAACGTCCGCACGATGCTCCCAGCCTCGACGTCCGTCACGCTCAGCCGTTTAGACGTTAAACTCACGTATTCCTTCCCATCTTGCGTAAACGTCAACCGCTCGACACGCTCTGGGGTCTTAAACTTGTACGCCACTCGTCCCTTGAGCATGTCCCACATCGCCACGTGCGAGTCCGCCCCGCTTGTCAACGCCACGCGCCCACTCCTGTGCGCCGCGATCGACAACACTCCACCTCGATGCGCCCGCATCGTCTTCATCATGTTAAAGTTATCCCTCGCGTCCCACACGCGCACGCTCCCATCCGCACCTCCGCTCAACAATCGCGTCGGCGCCCGTCCGCTCGGCGCGTGAAACGCCAGCGCGCGCACGTCGCCCTCGTGTCCAACCAAAACCCCGAGATCAGCCACCGCCCCCGACGCATCGCAATGATACACCCGTATCAAATCGTCCGATCCACCGCTCGCCGCGAACCCACCGCTCGCGGCGACGCACTTCACCGAGCTCAGGTGCGCGTCCGCGGTGAAGCACTTCTCCAGTCTCGACGTCTCCCCCGCCGCACCCTCGCCGTGGACGCCGTAGCCGAAGACGAAGCGCTCGTACGACCCCGCGATGACGGTGCACCGCGCCATCGCGCGCGACGCCCGCGTCGAGCTCCGCGGGCGCGGCGACCGAGGCGCGCGCGCTTTCGGCCGGCGGCGGGGCGCGGCGACGCGAAGAGGTGTGGATTTCATGGACATTTGGTGGTGGGCGTGTGGGCAGACAGTACGTCCCG